TTGTAATTAGCATTGTATATAAGTTTCATAACATTTGATTGAGGCAAACTTAATTTTAAGAATGGAAATGAAAAATTCAGCAATTTTTCTATCTGTAAAGGGGCATAACTCTAGAACGATAAAAGTGACACTGTCACCAACCAAATTCGAAATTGATCTGTGTTTTATGATAATAAGCATTGTGTGTAAGTTTCATAGCATTTGGTTGAGGCAAACTAAAGTTAGAGAAAGGAAACCAATTTCGGGATGTAGGGACGTACAGACGGACAAGGGTAACACTTAATGCCCCCTCCACTGTGGCGGGAGCATTAAAGTAAAGGACATGGGATATCCATCCATGACATAAAACAAGCACAAGCACAGCAAAAAAACACACAAAAAGCAAAGGAACAGCGCTTTTACTGCTGTTCTTCATCTCAAAGTCACAGTGAGGCCTTCAACACGGACTAAAAATAAATGGGGAATGTGTCCATGGGACACAGATGATGCCCCCACTTGCTTACAACATTATAAAGGGAAATAACTCAAGAACGGTAAAAGTAATGCTACCAAAATTAAAACTTGATCTGTGTATTGTGGTAACAAACATTGTGTAGAGCAATTTTTTCCATTTGAAAAGGGACATAACTCTAGAATGGTAAAAGTGACTCCACCAAAATTCAAACTTAATCTGTGTTTTGTGGTAATAGGCATTGTGTATTAATGTCATAACATTTGGTTGAGGCAAACTTAAGTAAGAGAGTCGAAGCGAAAAATTCAGCATTTTTTCCATTTGTAAAGGGTATAACTCTAGAATGGTAAAAGTGACACCACCAAAATTCAAACTTGATCTGTGTTTTGTGGTAATAAGCATTGTGTGTAAGTTTCATAACATTTTGTTGAGGCAAACTTAAGTTAGAGAACGGAAACGAAAAATTCAACAACTTTTCCATTTGTAAAGTGGCATAACTCTAGAATGGTACAAGTGATGCCACCCAAATTCAAACTTTACTTGTGTTTTGTGGTAATAAGCATTGTGTATAAGTTTCATAACATTTGGTTGAGGCAAACTTAAGTTAGAGAACGGAAACAGAAAATTCAGCATTTTTTCCATTTGTAAAGGGGCATAACTCTAGAATGGTAAAAGTGACGCCACCAAAATTCAAATTAAATCTGTGTTTTGTGGTAATAAGCATTGTGTATAAGTTTCATCCTATTTGGTTGAGGAAAACTAAAGTTAGAGAGCGGAAACCAATTTCTAGACGTACAGACGGACAAGGGTAAAACTTAATGCCCCCTCTGCTACTGTGGGGGCATAAAAACTTTCACCTCACTGCAAGTTTAAGACGGCCCCTGAACGGAATTCTTTGCTAAATGATTTGGATAGACTTTGTAAGATGTAACACCACTTATTGTTTTATTATGAAGAGATTTGTTTTACCTAACATTTAAGGCTTTTGAATTATATCCATTTCACAACCAGATTAAGGCCTTTCTGATATTTTATGATAAAGATGGAATTCAAGGCCATATTTTGTTAATTGTGAAACTTGTCCTTTCTAACATAACGGACTATTCTATACATGTATGACCGAGTTACATGTATAACATGTATAAGTACGTTTCAGTGTTTTCTGACAATACATTTTACAACTTTTAACCTGATAATGGATCAGCATTCTTTATTTAATAATCAATTAGGAATTCTAAATCCTCTGAAATAAAAACGCCAAATTTTCTGGACACTGTTAAGTCTTTTTAATCCAAAACTACCTGTAAATAAAACCAACTACTAGTATGTAGTACTATTAAAGTGAATGAGGGGGAACATTATACTTGGTTTTTGCCTAACAAGCTGAAATGTGTCAAATTGAGTATCTAAAACTTTAAAATCTTGTTAATATGAGATTTTGTTTTTAATGTCATAGTGATAAATCACATTTTTTTTCAAATAATACATACAACTGTTTATGGTTTATGGTTTTATAATTTACAAAACTAAAAACTCCTGCTCATCACTTATAATGTTGCATTGATGCGACTGTCATACAAGTGAGAGGTTTCGTTAGCTATAAAACCAGGTTCAATCCACCATTTTCTACATAAGAAAATGCCTGTACCAAGTCAGGAATATGTCAGTTGTTACCCATTCGTTTGATGTGTTTGTTTTTTTGATTTTGCCATTTGATTGGGGACTTTCCTTTTTGAATTTTCCTCGGAGTTCAGTATTTTTGTGATTTTACTTTTTAATGGTAAAACATAATGCATCATATGCTTTATATTTAAAGTATATAACACTTACCATAAACTGAAATATTTGTTGGAATTTTTTCATAAGTAGAACTAGATATGATTCACATCCTTGGCTTTTAAAAAACTAAGAAAGAGTTGTATTTTCATTTCATTTCAAATTCTTAAAGAAAACTACACTTTGTTATTTTTCTTTCAGTATTAAGATACACATTAAAAGACCATTCCAGCTCCCTCTTAATCTGTCCCTGCTAGAATAAAATCATACACGTCTAATATGTTGCTTTTATTAAAACAGGAAATTATTGGTCATTTAGAGGATAAAACTCCCCTTTCAAATCAGTCATGTCAGTCAGAACAGCTTGTTGAGACAATTGATCCACTGTTCTATAGAGGTTAATTCTACTTATACAGCTTTTATAACAATTTTACATTTCTGCATTCTCTTAATATTTAAAAATTTTTAATGCACAGTTTAAAACATTTTTTAATTTTGTAAAAAAATCAATTCTGTATTAAAAGCTTTGTCTTATTATGGCCAATGTTACTATGCAGTTTTCATTTGAAGCTGCTATGCATAAAAAAAGACCTACGTGTAGAGTTCATCTGAATATACCTGTCAATCTGAGGAAATTTTCTATACAATTATCATCAGGCAAAGATGAACCTGATCTGTGAAGCCCATTTTGTTTCCATTGCTCATATGTACAACAAAGTATTGATACATGTTCCAAACTATTGCCTGTGATGGTTTTATTCAGAAAAGTGCTTTGAATGCAGTTATTTCTGAATGCTCTATTTCACTTTACATGAAATAAGATTAATAATTATAATTTGAAGTAAGAAAAATTATTTCCTGTAATTCTGCTGTTTACAGTGAATTCACTATTATCAAATAACAAATTGCAGAAATATATATAACAAAACAAGTATTATTTCGTCTTACTTGGGAAGTTCCCTTTAAAATTTATAGTGGTACATGCTATCCATGTATCACTTAAATATTAAATAGGATTGTTTGACCATAATTCATTTACTATATGTATATTTAAATTCTTAGAAATACCACTACTACAATTATAGATAACGCAACAGTAACAAATCTTTTTACAGAGTCAATATCCTGAGTCTTGAAAATTACATCCTTAAACAATTTTATATCCTTTCTAGGAAACCAGTACTATTATGTTACAATGCTAACCTATAGTGATATCATCTTTAATTCCTGTAAACTATTTATGTTATTATAATTGATTTGCAAAATTATGATATTTTAACTTTTTTTCATTTGTAATGTTTGATGTTAAACCTATTTCATTTCAGAATCTAAGGCAAGTTTGCAATTGGTCAGCTATCACTTCAAAATCTGGACGAATGCTCATTTTATAAGACGGTACTTTATACATTGTACTTGAGTGTTTATGTGTCCATAAAACTACACCCCCCTCCCCTCCCACCTCCCGTAAAAAAAAAATTAATTCAATTTTTTTAAATAATAAAATTTCATAACAAAATAATTAACATTTTCTTTGCATAAATATATAATTCATGTGCTGGGTTTGGTGTTATCACAATGGATCAATGGATTTGTGTTTAATGTCCAATGGCAAACATACATAACAGACAAGAACATGTTGTTGTGGAAATGATTACAAATGCTGCTTAGACCAACAGGCTGAGACGGATTTCACAAGGTAACAGTCTTGAGGAAGACATGTTGCCCTACCTTGTCCAATAATTCTAACTGCAACCTACCAATCTTTGCTTTAATTACTTCTAAATCTTGCATGCTTAACAGAGAAGCAGCAAATACCAATTTTTAAGTCTTTTGTTTGGCCTCACTAGGGATCAAACCTACATTATCACAACTTTAGAAGACGACAGTTCAATGAGACCACAAATGAAGTTGTTACTACAATGTGCCCTAGGAAATATACATTTAAATACATGTATGACAATGCCAGCACATCCAGTTATCCTTCATCAAGATTTTAAATGCTCTTTTCAAAATCACTAAAATTGCTATATATATATTTTTAAACTACATGGAGAATACATCTCTATATTACTGAGACCATACACATACATGATCAATACTGGAAATATACAAACACTGGCAGTTTAATACTAAGTCCTTGCTCTACTTGTTACATGTGGGCTGTGACTTAATTTTTACACAAAAAATTCTTATGATTATTAATTTATAATCATAAGTCGGGAATTAAGTTTCAGTTTATCTTAGAATCAAATTCAATTATTATTGCAAGTTTTTGTGAAAATAGCTGCTTTTCTTTTCATTTATAAAGTCTTCTGTACATTATTTTTAGGAACATATATATATATAGATATACTGTTCCCAGATTATTTTAATTGGCATTCAAGCATGGATCACTAGATAAATTAAATAAGATTTCACACATTAGAAGGTATTTTCATTAATACATTGTAGATATTATGTGATACATTAAAATTGGTCAATAAAAATCAATTTTCAAGTTGAAATACTGAGCTCAAAGACCGTTCTGTATCTAGTCTACAATTTTGTTTACATATTTTGCGGTTGAATGAGCAGGAAAAACAGGTGCTCGTTTACTAGATAACTATTTATTCGACAAATTTATTATACACTACACTGACTTTCATTATTGAAATGAATATTTTAGACAAAAAATGAGTTGTTTTTTTTAAATATGTTAAGTGTAAAAGTTTCTAACGTGTATTATTTTCATGGGTGGATGTGTAATATATAGTCTGTTGAGAAAATGACTTACGTTCCGAGCTTTTTCTTAAATTCGTATCTCCTTTTAATGTCCGATTCTTTTCCTGGGTGCTTCTTTTCACCGTCATTCTTCTTTCCGAACAACGGCATTATGTCCCTACGGAAAAAATTGTCAACAGAAATTTGTATGTCCCTCTCAAGTCATTTGTGTATTTGTAAGGCTTTTCTCATTCAACACTTTTCTCACTGTATCACGTGACGTCACAATATGGAAGGCGAGTTTGCATATGTTATAAAGAAAATCAATAATATTGTCAGTTGTCATTATGTAATTATACATGTTTGAGATCAGTCTTATTTGTACAATTATTTACAATGTTTTCTCTATTTAACATTTTCATTTGTGTTCTTAGTTTTTACTGGGAGCAAGGATTTGTATAGTACTATAACATACAAATCCTCGCTGGGACTGTTATAACTAAGAGTCAATACTGACTGACTACCAGTATAGCCATATGCTCAAGCTGAGACTTATAGTAGTCTCAGGCTAAGTAGCCACCTTTTCAGATGGGCCACCAAGCTTCAGCGATTCATTGAAAATTATGCTGTGCATTTTATTTTAGATTGATGCTTAAAAGGCGTATTTCCCGTAACGGTTTTATACGAATGATTTGCCGTACGATTCTTTTCACAATTCGAGTACACCCAACAATCACACCGACGGGATGCCAGTAGTGGACCAAGACAGGGGCGGATCCAGCCATTTTTAAAAGGGGGGTTCCAACCCGGGATAAAAGGGGGAGGGGGATTCCAACCATTTGTCCCCATTCAAATGCATTGATCGTCGAAAAAGGGGGTTCCAACCTCCAACCCCCGGAACCCCACCTGGATCCGCCACTGCAAGAACTGCTTTTTCTTCCAGGGGACACTGGATTCACCACTGTATTTTTTGTGGGGGTTAGTAATTTAAACCTGTGTGTTTCAGAGTAATCAGTGTTATGATTAGTGTTTGACTTATGTTTTGTCTGTCCTTGTTCGGCTCATGCCCTTTGTTGCCTGCATATTTTTTTTATATATCAAATGAAAATAACAGGATTGATTAAAAGGGAAACTGTCTTATTTCTTTTTTTAAATTTCAACTGATATTTTAAATGTATTTGTAAGTTGAAAAAACAGAGACTCAAATAAATGGGTATGGACCCGTACGTAATGCCGGATTTATTGTGAAAGTGTGAGTCGATAGGCAGACATTTAATTTTAATAATATCATTTCACACTGAGATTTTTTGGGGTTGCGGCATTGTAAATACACCAAACCAGCAAACAAGTTTGAGACAATCATGTCCTACATTTTTTTTCGATTTCGGTTTATTTAATTTATTGATGAATTACACCAAAAGAGAGGCGAAACATACCAAAGTGATATTCAAACTCATAAGTCGAAAACAAGACTGACAATGACAAGAAAAACGATGAAAAGACAAAAAAAAAAACCAGTTTTCAAAACGCAACATAGAAAACTAAAGACTGAGCAGCACGAACCCAACCAAATACGGGGTCACGGATCTCAGGTGCTCCGGAAGGGTAAGCAGATCCTGCTCCACATATGACATTCGTTTTATTGCTCACATTCGAGGAGAAGAGGACGAGATAAGTTACGACAATTGGAACATATCTGTTGTCATCTGTGAAACATATATTACATAACAGTCATGGAAAGCTCCGATTTATCGTCCGGATTTGGCTATACTTTAGGTCCTTTTTGGTTTGATACGCTCTTCAATAATTGTATTATATTTTGGATATTCAAATTTTTCGGCCCCGAGCATCACTGATGAGACATTAATTGTCGAAGTGCGCATCTGGTGCATTGAAATTCGTACTGTTCATGTTATTGGAACTCTTGGTTTAATAGCTTCCTTGTAAGCAGCAACCCTATATCAAGGAAATAATGATAGGAAATGCAAGCTCTTGAATGTCGCAGCAACTGGGAAATATATACTCCATACGCAGGCGTCAGTGGCGGATCCAGAAATTTTTATAAGAGGGGGCCCGCTCCAGTCACGCTTCAGTGATTCTCTATATAATCAACCAAATTTTTCCCTCAAAAGGGGGGGGGGGGGGCCGGCCCCCTGCCCCCCCCCCCCCTAAATCCGCCTCTGGGCGTAATGAACAAAATGTGATGTCGTGTATACGTCAATGCACATTCTTTTATTAACAAGACAAATAGATTAATTTTCCTTCTCTGTATACAGATTTTCTTTGATAATTGCACATGGTCGTGATTTCTGTACTTTCTACTCACGGCGCATTCTTCATTATATAAATAACACATAGCTGAGAGGGTGATAGAGCAGATTGTTACCCCGAGAAAACATTGAGGCGAAGCCAAGGTTGACAATGTCTTTTCAAGGGGTAACAATCTGCTCTATCACCCGGCTCTCAGATATGTGTTATTTAATTTTTTATACTGAATGTTCTGTAATTACTGACTATTAAATTTCAAATTCAAAGAAATAAACTGTGTCGTATTGTACATAACAATCATCCGTATCTATTAAAGCGCACACTTGAGCAAGCGTCTCCGTGAAGGGTAAAAGAGTATTTGCCATGGATAGAGTAAATTGTCTCCCTCGTATTAACCAATCAAAATATAGCATTTTGACATGAAGTATAATAATTATATATTGATCAAGTAACAATGAATATATGAAGTCAAGGTAAGATAAACCCTGTCAAAACTACATGTACCCCTTGCAACAATTATAGAGAACAAGTATTCTGACTAAATATTGATTAATGAACCCTAAAAACGAATCTATGTTCAGGTGAACTCCGTCAGTCGAACGTGTCCCCCCTAGAATAACAGAAGAGGGTCATAATATATTAACAACTGTTATCATACAATAATGGATCAGAGCCAGAACACATTGTAGATACGTGAAAATAAGTTAAAATATAAAGGAATATTTAAAAAAAATAATATAGAAAGCGGAGAAGGGTTCATCCCCAATCGCCTGTGCCCTAAAATGTTCAGTATGCAGATCTTCTACCTTCTGAAATATCAAGTTTTATACAAAACACCACCGCAGCCCTGAATTTAACATCCCGATTTTTCACAATTGTCTTAGCATTAGGATTAAATTGAATGATACAAGTACGACATGATGTTGCTATAAGTAGCTAATAGGTTGAATGCTGGAGCATCCACATAAAAAAAACTCATATATGATTATCCCTCCCCATTTTTTACAGAAAGACAAGAGAAATATTACAATCAGTGTTATATTAATAATTCTAAAATCACGATTGCTCCAGACCAAGAATTTCCACATAGAAACAATTCTGTAAAAAAACTCGTAAAGGGATCCGATGAACCTTGTGTGGTGTCTGTGATTGCTAATGTTGACTGTTAAACTAATTGTAAGTTCATTTATCAGTAAAATAGTAAGAATAAACAAATATCAGACTTTTTTCTTCTTAAGATGCTATCTAAATGCTTGATCTCAGAGAAGCTCATGTTTCATAACATTCCATGAAGGTTAAGCAAAGCTATGGGTATCGTACAAACTTAACAAACGACTGCATGTAAATGTTAACTGTAATGAAGTCCTTTTAATGGTAAAATGCTGAAAAAAATAGATTTGCAAAAAGTTGACCCAAATCATTAAAAAGCTTCTGCCACAGTTTCTTAAAAATTCTATTGAAGGATATTTCCAATGCCATGATGATTAAAGCAAACATTTCTATGTCCGTTTTTTAACCTTACTAGTACGACGATTATCCAGGGGACGAAACCCTTCTAGAATTGCATTCTAAAATGGTAACAGCACATTAAATCAAAGTACTGAAGTACTGAACATCCGGATGACCGCAAGTTATGTTGGATGATGAATAAATAACAGGCGGTAATATGTTACCTGCCAGACAGATATGTTCACCTTACAATTATTCAATACACATGATATAAATGATATTTTCATCCGCAGACACAATCTTTCGGTACGTGTGCATTGATATCTGGGACTATTATACTGTTAGTATAATAGTCCCACTGAGTATATATATATTTCTCACGACAAAACATTTTCATATTATTTATTTATTTTCTTAAAAAATATATTTATGAATATTCATTTAAGAAATGAATTTGTAATAAGCGATAAGGAATGTTATTTTGCTCTCAATAATCCGTGTATTTATACGAAATACGTTCGGTTATCAGTCAAAAGCGCAAGGGACGTGTGCAGAAATGTATGCGGCAACATAACACCGGTATGACCTATCAAGGTCACATCCGATGTAAAAATAAGAAGGTGTGGTATGCTTGCCAATTAGGCAACTCTCCACCAGAGACCAAATGACATAGAAGTTAACAACTATATATAGGTCACCGTACGGCCATCAACAATGAGCAAAACCAAGAACGCGATAAAAGGTCCCTAAATGATAAATGTAAAACAAATCAAACGAGAAAACTAACGGCCTAATTTATGTACAATACAATCAACGAAAAACCCATATGATATACAGCAACAAACGACAACCAGTGAAGTACAGGTTCCTGACTTGGGACAGGCACATACAGGATGTTGCGGGTGCCAAACCCTGCCCAAACTGGGACCACGGTATAACAGCACAACATATGCACAAACTATAAAAATCAGTTGAAAAGGGCTTAACTCATCAGATCGATACAAAACAGAAAAACAAGCAACAAAAACACAGAACGAACGTGGCACTATATTCATACGTCCATCCTCACAACAAAAATACATTAAGTACAGATCTGATAGTTTTCGCCGTCACGGACAGCTAGTTCAAAGCCAATACAAACTAATTAAAAGATCACGTATCTAAATCTAGAATACCAATCAGTACACATCCAACATCCAGTGGGTTTAGTGTAAAGACGTCATTTATAGTCAGAGAAAAACATGACCTTGTGCATTGTCTGCTTTTAAAGTGGCAGTATATAGACCATTCTTAAATATTAAAAGTAAATTTGTCACGATGACAGTGCATTGACCTTTCTTCTTGTCATGATGACAGTGCATTGACCTTCCGTTCTGTCATGATGCCAGATCACGTTGACAGTACATTGACCTTCCATTCTGAAACGGTGACAGTACATTGACCTTCCTTTCTGTTATGGTGACCGTGCATTGACCTTCCTTTATGTCATGGTGACAGTACATTGACCTTCTTGTCTGTCATGGTGACAGTGCATTGACCTTTCTTTCTGTCTTGGTGACAGTGTATTAACCTTCCCGTCTGTCACGGTGACAGTACATTGACCTTCCTTTCTGTTATGGTGACAGTGCATTGACCTTCCTTACTGTCACAGTGACAGTGCATTGATTTCCTTTTTGTCATGGCGATGATCTTCCCTCCTGTCGTGATGACAGATCACGGTGACAGTGTTTTGACTTTCCTATCTGTCATGGTTACAGTGCATTGACCTTCCTTACTGTCACGGCGACATTAACCTTACCTTCTGTCGTGATGACAGATCACGGTGACAGTGCATTGTTATTCTTTTCTGTCATATTGACAATGCATTGACCTCCCTGTCTGTCACGACGACAGTTCATTGACCTTCTATTTTGTCATGACGACAGTTTATTGGCCTTCCTTTCTGTCATGTTGACAGTGCATTATGACGACAGTGCATTGGCCAACCGACAGTGCATTGGCCTTCCTTTCTGTCATGGTGAGAGTGCATTGACCTTCCTGTCTGTCTTGGTGACAGTGCTTTGACCTTCCTTTCTATGTTGACGACAGTTCATTGACCTTCCTTTCTGTCATGACGACAGTTTATTGGCCTTCCTTTCTGTCATGGTGACAGTGCATTGAACTTCCTTTTAGTCATGGTGACAGTGCATTGACCTTCCTTTTAGTCATGGTGACAGTGCATTGACCTTCCTTTTAGTCATGGTGACAGTGCATTGACATTCTTTTCTGTCATTGTGACAGTTCATTGACCTTCCTTTCAGTCATGGTGACAGTGCATTGACATTCCTTTCGGTAATAGTGACAGTGCATTGACCTTTCCTTATGTCATGGTGACAGTGCATTGACCTTCTTTTCTGTCATGTTGACAGCGCATTGACCTTCCTTTCTGTCATGGTGACAGTGCATTGACCTTCCTTTCTGTCGGGACGACAGATCACGATGTCAGTACATTGACTTTACTTTCTGTCATGGTGATAGTGCATTGACCTTCCTTTCAGTCATCATAACAGTGCATTGACCTTCCTTTCTGTCATGATGACAGTGAATTGACTTTTCTTTCTGTCATGATAGTGCATTGGCCATCTTTTCTGTCATGGTGACAGTGCATTGACCTTCCTTTCTGTCATGGTGACGGTGCATTGACCTTCCTTTCTGTCGTGATGACAGTTCATTGACCTTCTTTTCAGTCATGGTGACAGTGCATTGACCTTCCTTTCTGTCGTGATGACAGTTCATTGACCTTCTTTTCAGTCATGGTGACAGTGCATTGACTTTCCTTTCTGTCATGGTAGATAGTGCAATGACCTTTCTTTCAGTCATGGTGACAGTGCATCGACCTTCCCTACTGTCATGATGACAGTGAATTGACCTTCCTTTCCATCATGGTGACAGAGCAGACTTTTTTTTATTAACTCATAGGGAATGGTGACTGTATGTGAACCTTTTTTTGACATGTGATAGAATTTTGACCTTTTTGTAATAGCAACAGTATATTTACCCTTTTGTCATGGTGGCTGTACTTGACCTTACTTAAAAAGTGACAGTACATTGACATTTCTGGAATAGTGATAGAATATTGAATTTTCTTAAAAGGTAAAAGTATATGTAACATTTCCGGAATAATGACAGTACATAAACTTTTTTGGAATAGTGAAAGTTCCTTGATCTCTTTAAAATAGTGAAGTAACTTTGCCTTAGTTCATGTTTCTTTCTATAATTGTGACAGTGCATTAACATTCGAGAATAGTCACAGTACACTGACATTCTGGAATAGTGATAGCAAATTGATTATTCTGAAATGGTAACAGTTCATTGACATTTCTGGAATAGTGAAAGTACATGGACTGTTCTTAAATGGTGACAATAAATTGACCTGTTTTAAAATAATGACAGTACTTTTACTTTTCTGAAATGAAAACGGTACTTTGACCTTCATGAATAGTATATTATCCCATGTGCCTTTCTGGCATGGTCTTACATGTAGAACGTTTAAGAAATAATTCATGGGAAGTTGAATTTATGCCGATTTTACCACGGGTTGGCCCTTTATGCTCAATATTCTAAAATGACGACCTATATATTGTCAACCAGTATAATCACAGAATATCCACTTTTAGTGCAGACGCATTAATACACAAAATAGGCTGTTCTTTTTGCAATTTTGCCAACCTTATTAATACGTCCAGGTAAACTCAATCTGCGACAGTAAAACCCACGTTTTACGAAGGCAAAGCTTCATATAACAATATGGTTATCTCTACTATAATGCAAAATAAACAAATCAGTCTAATTCATTAATTATTTCGGTGTAAATTTTAATAAAACGAAAATTTTCTAGACAAGCTTGGTTCCTACTAGAAAAGTCTCTTCTACAATGTTTGTTACATTGGGCTGTTTAGAAGTAAAGTAAAGTAATGAAAATTGTCTGCAACAAATAACAAAATGCCACATGTGAAAACATAATTTATTGTAAGAATTTTATGTTTTTTCAAAGATATCACAGATGAAATAAAACAAAATACCACATATATCTTACAGTTGGCTTTCTGTTTTCTAAATAACACTTCACTACTTTAAGTGTTTATGCAACCTTTTTTTAATTGCATTCACAACTACTTGTGTCTAATTCTTTTTTCTTCTTCTCTCAAACATACAGTTATATGATCAGTTCTACTTTGTGGTCATAAAAAATACATGGAATGTGAAATTTAAAGACAACACCTGGTTAAGACATAATGTAAAAATAAAGTTTGGACGGTTAGGTATTCATTGTAAAATACATATATATAAACAAAAAACAAAAAAAACATTAATAAATATGTGTTGTATATTTGTTTCAGCAAAGACAGTTTTATATGGTTTAATCAGTATTGGACGGAATGTATCAAATCATAAACTGTGTATAAAAAATATGTACATATGATATTCATTTAGGTTCTGTCAAGTTATCAGTCCTGATTAAAAAGTGTAATCTTATAACAATAACTTCACTGCAACACTGAGAAAGCAAAATCTATATAATAAAGGTCAGAACACTATAAACTGACAAATATCATGTGTTGTGGTCTGAAAAAATAAAATTAATTTGTCTTGGAGAAGTCCATATCACAGCATATCCAACAAATTAAGTAATTAAATAAATATATCAACAATATTTCAATTAAAACTTCAAATAAATAAAACAGATTTATAATAATTTTCATTCTTACAAGAGATTAACTGGTTCATACGCATAGCTCATCACAGTATGTCAATAAAAATATAAAAATGAACTAAAGTCCATAAGAGAACTAAGATAATTAATCGTCCAGTTGACAAAGTAATGCCAATCCACGTTTTATCCAGTGTTCTATAGGTCTATCGGTTGGTAGCAGCATTGCCAACACAAAGTTTGTTGAGTGGCCAGTGGTTGACAAAACACCTTTTCTTTCACTGGTTTTGTAGACTGGTATTTCATAACGCTTGTCTGATTTATCAATATCAGCTTTCTTAGCAGGTCTGGCCCATACAGCTGGGAGTGGATCAAATAAAATCTTAGGTAGCTGCTCTGTCAAATTTCCCCTGCAAAATAAACAATTAGCAGTTAATTAAATTATTTCTGATGCTTCAGGAGAATTGATTAATTTTCAGGGGAAATTGGTAGCATGATGCTTAACATTGTATGCCCTGTTGTGACAAGTTTTGTTTATTAATTGTGTTACAATTAAAGAATATTAAGTAAGCAAGCCCACATTCCACACACCTCCATATAAAGGGAAACAAATTATAGTGACTTGCTTTCATTCCTTTTCTGATTACTTTAAGGAATGATCCTTTTCATGTATAATTTCAGACAAAATTGTTGTCTAACAAAAATATATTTTTAATAACTATGACCTTGAGCTTAAAACTTGTGACTACAAAATCAAAAGGGATATTCCTCTAATTATATATAACCTCACATTCATAAGGTTACAAACTGATATGAAATATACTATGCATCCATAAACCACCTTCCTGTACATATTTAGGTCTATTTTTAGTAACTATGACCTACATCTCAGATAAAGTGACCTAAAAACCAATAGGGATATTCTTTTCATTTATATGTGACCATATATCCATGTAAGGTAGGGGTCAAAACAATAAACCCCTGCAACTTTGTAGCGTAGGGTATAAGATCAGATTCTCATTGAGGAAATTACTAAATCAATCTGTACCTATATGCTACAATTTTTATCTCCAATGAAAAAGATAAATCATAATATGAAAAAAAAACAAAGATACCAATTTACTTTGATCACTGAAACTGTGTCTTACCCAACTTCAAGAGATTATTTGAACATAAAACTTTGTACACTGATTGAGGGAGAAGGGCTTCAAACTGTTGCTGTAAGATAGTATGCTTGAACTTAAATGTCAAGTTTGAAAAATGATCAAAATTTCATGAATTTTTTTCGTAGCTTTGTACTTACTTGTGCTTGTCCCAACGTCCACCGTCTAAAAATAGACCAAAGACATAGCAACCGTCCTCTGGGTGTTCATTCATAATGTCAACCTTTAATACCTGAATAAAAAAAGTACAAATGTATCAATATCATGTTATTTAAAGTAAACTTTCAAATGTTTATGGGTGTGTCATTACATTGTTAGGTGACTACAAAACTTTCCTTTTCCAAAAGGTGGAGGGATGATTAGAGGAAAATAATTGACCCCTGAAAATTTGAATACAAGTAAAAGTCTTCAATTAATTCATCCATGGTTTTATTGTAGACAAATATTGTAAATTCAAAGATTATATTAATTTTTATTGATATGAAGTATAATATAAACTAACCTCAAAATCGTATCCTAATGTATCAATAGGTATAGTATACTTTCTGGCAAAATTCTGCATTACACCAGTCAAGAATGCCTGTGTGAAGAAAAATCCTGATATCCAGAATGATGTTGGCTTTCCTTCATCATACCATTTCTGTATACAAAAATATATAATAATTAGTATAATGCATAATCAAAATAACTGCTGGAATATATTGGTAGTAATTCATAATGTTTGTTGTCAGTAATAGATGAATAAACATCTGTATGTGTCAAAAAGTAATAAATTTAAAATTTGAATTTGTTCTTTGAAGTCCCCAGTTCTGACAAGAGTTGGGAATCACAAAAAGTATTTTGTCATAAATGTCAGGGAAAATATGCAGTTCAATCTACGACATTTCAACAGTATGACCTGGGAACTAGATATCATAGAGATGGGAGCCATCTCTGTGGGCCCTGCTGTGAATAATGTGTGGTAAAAAATTTGTATCTTTATCATTGGACATGGGGTTGTCAACTGAAACCAAAGTTTTTGACCTTGACCTTTGACCTAGGAAGTTGTACATAAATTATGACACACCCTCTGGTGTTGGTTTATATACATGTCAAGTATAAACTTTGAAATCATAAAGGTTCTCAAGATATAGAGCGGACACGATCTTTACCATAGGACATGGGGTTGTCAACTAAAACCAAAGTTTTTGACCTTGACCTTTGACCTAAGAAGTTGTACATACATTATGACACACCCTCTGGTGTTGGTAAATTTACATGTCAAGTATAAACTTTGAAATCATAACGGTTCTCTAGATATAGAGCGGACACAATTTGATACGGATGGACGGACAGACAGACGAACGGACAGACTGATCACTATAGGGCGTCCACCATTCGGCGGGGCCCTAATTACAATAAGTCTATTTCAATAGTAGCAAGTCTGTGTGTCATCAATACTTTCCATTCCATCCAAAAGCAGATTTTTGAATAAAAAAAAAGAAAAAAAAAGATTTGTGATTCAAAAGGATTGCATCTTTAATTGGAAGTGCAAAATTTGCCAAATCAAATCATCAAATATTAACTAGCTATATACTTTTTGCCAAAAGAACTTTTTCATTCTTTTTAGCATTAGCCCTGTTATTATCATTTTCAACATAATCCTTATGGTTTTAATGGGTTTTGTGAAATCAAACTTTAACAAGAGAGCCTTGGTCTTGTTTGTTTTTACATTTATACAAATAAGTTATCAATTTGTTCTATCCATTTAGAAACATTTACTTGTCGAACAATAAGTACTAGTATCAGCTAGTGCTCCTTGAAACTGGAGTTACTGGTCTACAAATACTGTAATCAATCAATCAATCTTTCTGCCTCAAACAAATTGAGAAAACTTATTTTATGATTAAATTATGCAATGATTTGCATTTAAAAAAGAAAAAAACTGCTATTTTTATAAATTTTAGTTTGTTTAAAATAATACCTTTTTAAATTAGTCATTGATTTTGAGAAAAATCATTACTAGAGTTAAGTGAGTTGTTTTTTCTTTACATGTGAACATATTTTTTCCCCTATACTTTACCTGTAAAAATTTAAGTCTGTCTAAGAAGTCATTGATGTAACTTCCAAGTGGTTTGAGTGATGGGTATGATCTCTTGGCCCACATAGCAGGTAACTGACCAATCATCAAACTGCCAGCTAATTTTTCTAAATCTGTTGACATGACCACTAGACCTTTGATAGCTTTCTGTATGTTTATCAGACTGCTTCTGATGATGGACAGCAAACTGTAAATACAAATAAATTCAAATATTATTAGGCTGTATACAAGTGGCAACAACATTTTGTAAATAGGATAACTGCTATTCAAAAATATTTACACTTGTCATATTAAAATAATCAACTGTGTATTAAACTATGACGTGGTTGCTTTCTGCCATATTTGTTTTTCATTATTAGGTCTTTCCACTTTTCCGTTGAAAGACCTTTTGCTTCTGTTCTGATTTTTTTTTTTTTTTTCTTCCCCCTAATTTTTTTCTTGCGCTGTATTGTTGTTTCCAAAGATGTCGCTTAGATTTTTGGTTTATGATATCGAACAGTTTATACGCTTTTGTAACTGACATCGCTTAACCGAACACTTTTCTTTGTAAGAGTTATCTCCCCGAACACTGTTTTTCTTGTGTGCACTACTTCTTCGCAACTGTAAAAGATTACAACAAAATTATTTCACCAATTTGCTCGTCATATCCTTAGAATTTGAAGAATAATTTTGACCGAAGAGATCTGAAGATTCCATATGAGTTATTTCCCCTTATGCATTTGATATAAATGATATGCATTTGTAACTGATAAACCATAAGTGATAGAGACCCAGGGTCTTTAAATTTGAGGTCCTTGGCAAAAAAAAAAGAAGAAAACAAGGTAAGGGTCAAAGGTCAAGGTCATATTCTAAATTTTGATTTTGGCTTATTTTCACTTCTTTTCAAAAACCATATAAGATATCAACAACATATTTTTACTAAATTGTTGGTTACGACATGTCATAACACATAACTTTTGGTTGAATGGGTTATGTTGACATTTAATGGGAGTTTTCTCACCTCTTATATTTAATATTACGTGTTAATGATATAACTCATTAACCATATATAGGTCCTTGGTTTATTACCTTGAAAATGAAGTCAAGGTCATAAGTAAATTTGACGTTATAGATTTTAACCTTTGCTTTAACTTCATATCTATACATGATAAAGCCATGGGACTTTTTGTGTTAGGTTGCAAGCCATATGACCTTGAAAAAGCCAACCGGAAGTGACCTTGTGTAAACCTGAAGTAGCTATTTTTTGTACTTTTTTAATGTAAAAGAATATAGACCCATATATTTTTAGAATCAGCGTCAGGTAAACTATCAAATAATACCGGAAGTGATCTTTTTTCAAACCGTTAGTAACAAATTATTTCCCTTATTTCAAACAAAAGTGTATAGAAACCATATATTTTTGGAATCAGCATATAATAAGCCATCATTTGACACTAGAAATGACATATAATACCAGATTTTAATATTTTCAAAGCAAGTATATCGTTTCAGGTGGAACGACCTTCAATTGTTCAGAGTTGAATTGTTTATAATTTAAATCGGGTCATTAATTTTCACTCTGGAAATTGTATCATATTTTGTGAAGCGATGGCCTTTTATAGTTTACTATACTGTATAGGTGTTGCTAAATTAAGAAGGCTCTATGGTGACCTATAGTTGTTTACATCTTTGTCCTCTTGGCTCTGGTGGATAGTTGTCTAATTGGCAGTCATCACATCTTTCTTTATTTTATATATATGTGAAGCTTATTTTACAAAATACCAGTGGTTTAAAACTTAAATTAAACTCAGAACTATCAGTCAAATATACTACTCATATGAATTGTTTATACATTCTAAAACTTCACCATGTTTTCTATATTGGTATACTTACGTATTAAATCTCTCCATTTCTTGTACCAACACTGTATTCATACTCTCACTGTACACAACAGGGTACTTTTTAGTGGCTGTCTCAATATCAAAATTTTTAGGAAGCTGAAAATATACACAACTCTATCAATAAAGTCTGAAACAAATGCGACATTTAATTAAAAACCTACAGAAAAAAAGGTGCATGTTTTCAATGTGATCTGTATCCACTTTAACCTTAGGTATAATTAATTCAGTTAATATAAGAAAGCATGAACAAAGATTCTTCTATCTTGTCATACTGCCATCCGAACAATATTCTTTATTTTGAAAAGTATATAACATCAAAAGGAGAATGTTTGCATACAAAAGGATACAAACCTTAGCAAGGATATCCCCAGCAATTGTATACAGTGAATCATCAGCCTGACCTCCACCACCTGATCCCCGACCTTCTGTCAGCAAAACAGAAGAAAATAATAATTTGGTGTCCTGCATGTCCTTTGATATATCAACATTTTCATGCATGCCAAATATTTCTGGGTTCTGATTTGTTGGCAAATTCTACAAATAACAAAAAAGAAGAAAATATAACAAAGTTAATCTAGATAATGGAATAGGATTAAAGGTCTTCTCCTGAGCTTGCGTACAATTTTTTTTTTTTTTAAAAGGACATTCACTTTTTCGTTTGATACATTACTTATAAATGGCTATTGTCACTGCAATTTTTTTAAATTAAAGATTAAGACATATGATTAGGAATTTAAATCCAAGTGACTGATATTGATAAAAAAAAAATTACTTTCATCTGCTAGAAACCAATTTCAGCTTTTATTTCCTGGCATTATAACATGTATATATATGAAATATTCATTCAAGGGGAACTTTTAATTGATTTTTTCATTAAAAAATGGACTCCCTTATTACACTGAATATTATATTTACTTTCCCTTTCGATAGGCTCTTCAACATACCCTTATAAATTCAATATAATCTTCATATGCCATCTTAGGTGGTGAATAGTAGTTTCCACTTGGAGAGAACTTATACCGGGCTTCATTTATTATAGTAGGAGTATAGTAATCCTGAAGTATAGCTCTGAGACATCGCCTGTCCCAGTCATCAGTAACACGACCACCATAATTACACTCTCCTGTCATGTATGTGATAGCATCAAATGGTACCTCTTCATACTCATTAATAAACATCTGGAATAGAAAAAAAAATAACAGAACTTAACTTCAAAGGTACTGACAAACAATGGAGATTTAATTCAGATTTATAGAAACTAAATGTAACATTTAGTATTATTTAACTTGACGCTTAAATGCAAAATTTTAATTGGTTAATACGAGGGAGACATTCTACTCCATTCCATCACTTATATTCTATTATCCATGATGGAGATATTTGATCATTTGTGCACTTTATTAAATACAGATGGATGTAATGTACATGACATCATAGTTTATTACTTTAATTTAAAATTTAAAAGAAAATGAACATTCAGTATAATAAATTTAATAACACATGAAAGAAATTACTGTGTTTAAAATTCTTGATGACTAAAATAATGTTTAGACAAACTTTTTTTTTTGTCATAAAGTTCTGTGAAATCTTAAATGTTATTTTACGCATAATTTGTGTTTTGGGGTCTCTGTTTACAAATGGTTAGCTGTTTCTTATAATATTTCTAAGAGAGTCAATTGTAGCTAAATGTCCAGCAGCAAATATAAAGTAAAGTAAGAATGTGTGACATAAATCATACCTGTAACTGTCTGATCGAGATTCTAAGATCAGATTCATTGAATCCATAAGCAATATTCCATCCCAGAGGACCAAATTTACGTCGCTCTTGTATTATTGCATGGAAGAAACACAACCCATACAGCAACTTCTCAAAATTCTGAACAAAAAGAAATCATCAAATATAACAAAACACATATAGAAATGCAAAACTAAATCATATAATTATTTTTATAAAGCAGTTCATTTTAAACCTGAATGAAATGTCTTGGAAGTGTTGAGAAGGTATGAAAGTTAAATAATACTTGATTAAAAAATACAAAGTTTGATCTACAGTCTACAATATGTTAACTAACGTGTTCTTTTCCTGGACATCCTGCATAGAATTCAGCATCACTGATTGGATCATTAAGATAGGACTGTAACAGGTTCTGTCTCAAACCAGTTGGTGGTTCATTGGTCATCTTAACTCCATTCTGTAAAACTGTTACAGGGAACTGCAAATGACGGTAGTATATTATTTAAATGCCATACATTTTCTAGAAATTCAAGTTTTTTTTATGTTTCTTTATGTCAATGATGATTTTACATCATAAATAAATGAATGTTTATCATGATGTATTTACATGCAGTGAGAACGGTCTAAATCTAATCCAAATGGACAGAAAATTGTTAAAATTAGACAAGTATCTGGTTAAATAAGGTTATAATACTAAAGAATATATACTGCATGTCCTGAAGAATTAATCTACAGCTGGTTAACTCAAGATTAGATTTGTACCTGTTTCACAATATGTGCCTCACAGAGTTTAATTTACTCAGGTTTCTGGTTTATTCCAGTGGAATATTTAAGAGCATCAATTTTGAAATCATCTTGACCTCAATTAAACTGATCTAATCTAACAAAACACATATTAATCTTAAACTGAAATTTCAAATCAATTATTGGCATATTTTTCAATTTTTCCTGGCTACAATACCTCTAGTCTACCGACATTTCAAAATAACTAAATGTTGTTTGGGAATGTTTATGTTTTGTAGATCATTCTAACTGAAACTATAAAATAACTCACCTTATCGGATGGATAACTGGTAAGCCACAGTCTAAATTCTGAGTGTGTATTTTCTGGCGTAAGTTCTTCACACAACTTCTCCAGTGGAGTCATCCATGACACGGCCAAGTGACAGTTCTGTAACATCACCCAGCTACCTTCTTCTCTTGCCTTCTGTATCATCCTACTGGCTATTGGTCCCTATGTCAGAATAGATGTCATTTGTATATTATTATAGCTGTTTTCACTGAAAATGCTTTTACATATAAAAAGATTTGAAATCTGCTCTAAATAGGAATAACCAGCAGCACAGTTGACGACTTACATATGCTAGTACAAAAGCTGAGAAATAGATTCAATATATCATGTTCATCACATGTAGTATCTTCATCATCTAATAAATTCAAATCCTGTGGACTTAAGATCTGTTAAAAAGGTATTTATAAATGAAGTTGTCCTACCTGTCCCTGACCCAGAGATATAGAGTTAAATTTATTTCCTCCAAATCCTTTGTCTTCTGCAAACTTCAACAATGCCATGGTTGGATCAGCTCCAGGTGATAGGACAAAAATCAATGGAGCACAGCAGTTGGAATCAGCATAACTCTTGGCTAAATCAAATGGTGGTGGTTCTACAAACTTTTTACCAAGCTTCTCCTGGACAAAATTTGTAATAGCTGGAATAATCTAAAAATAAACACCACATTGTTAGGAACATTTAAATTTACATTAATGTACCAGCGAATAGTGGCAAGTACAGAAGAAAATATAAATGTATGTAGAGATTGTACATTTGAAGAACCAATGTAGATTTGGCTCTACCTACATTGCACACTTAGAATTAACACCAATTAAACAATCATTCTAACTTAATTAAATCTGTTACCAGATGCATGAACAGTGCTCCAGGATATGTCTATCCGTCTTAAAATTGTCACTATTGAGTTATGATTGAAGTCTTCTCTTTAAATATTATTCCAATACTCTCAAAAATATTTTTCCTCATATTTAGATAAAATGAAAAAGACAAAACATTCCTATATATTTTGTTCATAGCAATAAATATTAAATATTTGGTTACACATAAGTTGTGTGTAAGATAACAGTACTCTTAGTAGAGTAAGAAAAGTTTTCTTTTATGATATTGATAATTTTTTTTTTTATCTTTGAAAGAAAAGTTGTTCTTTTAATTTAAAGATATTTGAAAAAAAAACATAAAAAAAATAAGTTCTGACACCAATTTTGGCTTAGCTGAAGAAATATGAAAAGCTGATTCATACTTTATCTGGTCGAATAGATCGTAGTATCAACATTCTTTGGAATTCATTTAATTCAGTTTGGAAAGGGGCAGGTAGTTCTTCATTGTGTGGTTCTCTGTAGTTGTAATATTTATTCCAAGCATCCAGATTCTTCATAAAATGTTCTCTGTGAAAATAAAACAATATAAACATTAATTTTCTTTTTACAACGTGACAGAAGAGAACATGGAAATATTCACATAATTATGGCATGTGTAGCTTTATAAATCTCAATTTAAGTTCCTTTGAAAGGACATTAAAAAACTATAAAATAAATCTTCTTACTTACTGCACAAACAGTTTCTGAGAGAACATGTTCAAATGAAATATACCACAAATTAGATTATGGGAGTCAATCTGAATGTAAAACAAATTTGTGTGTGAATCTTAAAAGTGGATGTCGGTTAGTAGATATGTCAAACAATTAAATCCAATAGCTGTTTAAAATCTTCCTATATAAACAAATTCATAGTCAGTTTAGAATAACAGAAATGTCAGATGCATTATAAATACAAATTCTCCTGATCTCAAACAAGTAGGTGCAATAAGGGCATTATTTCATTGGAAATTGTTATTAATATTTCTTCAGAGATTTTTTTTTTATGTCTGTATCAAATATGTCATGAAAAAAAATGAAAAATAGATACATTGGAGTCATAAGATTATTAATTTTAGATGCCACAGAAAAAACAATTTGGAAGAACAGTCTTAAATTAAACTGTTTTTTTATAAATTAAGCTGTTAGTTTTCTCTTTGATTAGTTTCACAATTTTCATGTCAGTGCCTTTTATAGCAGACTATATGGTATGGATTTTTCTCATTGTTGAAGGTCATACAGTTGCCTATTATTGCTTACATTCACTTCATTTAAACTCTGGTGGATAGTTGACTCATTGAAAATCATACCAACATTTAAAATTTTGATTCATGATTGAGCACCAGAATTGCCAGTCAGACTTCATAGAATTTCACTTTGGCTCTTTCTCTTTTACTTCAATGCAATAGAAATAGTTGTATAATGTTTTTGTGAGTCTTAAAAGTTTTCAAAACATTGGTCTCAATAATAAAAATCCCCAGTAATTTAAGATAACAAAAGTTTGAATAAGATAAATAAATAATGAAATGAAATAGAAATAGTTGTATAATGTTTTTGTGAGTCTTAAAAGTTTTCAAAACATTGGTCTCAATAATAAAAAGCCCCAGTAATTTAAGATAACAAAAGTTTGAATAAGATAAATAAATAATGAAATGAAATCATAATGTTTTTGCAAGTCTTAAAAGTTTTCAAAACATTGGTCTCAATAATAAAAAGCCCCAGTAATTTAAGATAACAAAAGTTTGAATAAGATAAATAAATAATGAAATGAAATAACTAAATCTGAAAACATAACAAACTAGGCAAAACAGAAACAAACAGATACATACCCTCCTCTAAAAAGTGTACACTTTATCTATTACATTTGTATTGATTGGTTACATAATTATAAACAAATGCATTCATATATATATATATATATATATATACAGACAGATATCAAGCCATTCAGATTTCAATTCCACACATATAAAATTTAGACAATGTTCAGTCCTATTTCTAACAATGTAGGACCCATGCAAGCTGTTGGGTATCAGTGAGGAAAATTGGTCTCAGGGACAATAAAAATACAATTCTTGAGAAGAAATGTTTTACTATCACTATCCATGAAAGGTGTCTGGTCATCATTCTATTATGTGATTTTTTTGTGACTTACAGTGGGGCCTACCACCTGGATTAGCTGACTTACAATGGGGCCTACCATCTGGATTAGCTAGCAAGGAGATTGATGGGGCCTACCACCTGGGTTAGCTGACTTACAATGGGGCCTACGACCTGGATTAGCTGGCTAGGGCATTGATGGGGCCTACCACCTGGATTAGCTGACTTACCATGGGGCCTACCACCTGGATTAGCTCACTTACCATTGGGCCTACCACCTGGATTAACTGACTTACCATGGGGCCTACCACCTGGATTAGCAGACTTACAATGGGCCTACCACCTGGATTAGCGGACTTACAATGGGGCCTACCACCAAGATTAGCGGACTTACAATGGGCCTACCACCTAGATTAGTGGACTTACAATGGGGCCTACCATCTAGATTAGCGGACTTACAATGGGGCCTACCACCTGGATTAGCGGACTTACAATGGGCCTACCACCTGGATTAGCGGATTTACAATGGGCCTACCACCTGGATTAGCGGACTTACAATGGGGCCTACCACCTAGATTAGCGGACTTACAATGGGCCTACCACCTGGATTAGCGGACTTACAATGGGCCTACTACCTAGATTAGCTGGCAAAGAGATTGATACGCCCAGTAGTAATATCTGGCAAGTTCCAGTCATTTCTTTTAACGTTTCAGACTTCTGTCTGGTATGTGCCAAATGTAGAAAAGAAACCTGTCCCTTTATAAATACCATTTTTCTTCGACTTTTAAGTTTCAGTCAAATCATTTGTTAAAATCAATACATTTGCTGTGCAGAATCAACATTTGTCTCAATTTGATAAAATGTGCCATAATTTTGAAATCATCATCATCATCATAATAATAGCTTACCGTTGAAAGTGTGGAATATCATTGGTGCCAAAAAAGCTGAGTTGAGGGCCAAGTCCGCATATATCTGGGCTCAACATCAAGAAGATTATAAATTGACTCTATAAGATCTTAATCAATGTTTATATAACTTATTTTCTATTTTGAATCAGATTTCCACATGTCACCAGTACTTATTTCAAGTAAAAATTTGTCAACAGCCATAAATATCAAGCTTATTTCTTTATTTTGTTTAAATATCTAATCCTTAACTCAGGTTTAGTGCTTGTTAACAGCTAAAGTAAAAAGCATTAATTAAATCCAGTTAGATTTTACCTTAATTTTTTGTATTTTTTAAGATCAGAAAGACGACACAATTCATCCCAGCTCTTATCTGTCAGCCATGTTGGTGCAGGGTTAGCAAGTTTGTTCTCCAGACCAACACCTCCAGTCAGGAAAAACATATACTCATCATGATCTAGTTCATTTTTGGATCTAATAACACAAAACATTTATAAGTACAAATGTATAAATATTGTTGATGTATCATAGTTTATATGTCAATAATCAAAATATTGTAGATTATATCTCTGATAAGATGTTAATCATAATAATTATCAATTAACCAGTTTTTACATCTCAGATAAGACTGCAGTTACTTTTAATATAATGACTTTATTGAATGAACTCATCTTCAATTAAAATATGAAATGATTGATTTACTGCTAGGAAGATTGACTACAAATTAAATTCTACTTAAAGTAATTAATAATTTAAACCGGAAAATTGGAAGACTATTTGCAAATTAAATTCCATTTTAATCAATTAACATTTTCAATCAGAAAGCAAACAAAAGCATAGACACTGAAATAAATAATTTACTCACACAATAGAATTAAAACATGCCACATAAACATTTCAGTAAACACACAAAGTTGTAAAGGCATAAAAAATGTGCAATTATAAACAACAAACAATACAAATACAGTGATAGTATTTATAGAAAGAATGGAAAACAAATTGGGAAAATTAAAATGAAAATGTAAGATTACTGAGGATATATCAAAATCAAGTTTCTATATGTTAAATAGGAATGTATTGGTTTACTTTGTCTTTTTTGTTCAATGTTTCTCAGATAATTGGAAAATATAAAATAATTACTTGTATTAAATTTTATAATCACTAAATTTTACAAGTGACAAATTAAAAGTGAAAGCTGATATACAGTAATGGCAAATCTTAGAAAGAAATCAATTATTAGGATTCAAACAAGTTTAACTAATTGTATTGATATTCCCATTGGTTGGGATCAGTGTTCTGTCAATATTTTCTCTTCTGAAAACATCTTGTCTTTTGAATCAACATTAAAAATTTTTGTAATTCCCTTTGATGGAACATCATTCAGATTTATAAATTATAAGGAGGATTTAACATTTGTATATTTTTTTACACTGACTGAGAAAACTGGGTATTCATTACAGATTGATGTTGCCTATGCATTTATTTCAAGCACCCTATAACCTATAAACCTATAGAAGAAAATGACAAGAAAAGAAAGAGTGGGAAAATAATAAATACAAAATAAACCTTAAAATCATACCATTTTTTTTCTCAAGCACAGGCAAAATTAAATGCAAAGATTCATGCAAAAAAGCTTATATTATACAAACCAACAGGTTAAATAATTAAAGGGTTCATACTGGTTAAATTCAAACCATTAACTGAATCAATTGTTATATATAATAACACACACCAGGAGAAAATAACTCCAAATGAATAAAAATCACACATTATGATCTCAGCAGACCAGCATTTACTTACGACATAATATTAGTATTGAGAATAAAAGAAAATAGAAGTTTGTCTTTCTCAAAGAGTGACCGACAAACATTACAGTATAAACTGTAGGTAAAGTGGTCAGAAAGATATCGCAACCGTCTCTCCAGGATCTTTGATTTGTTGCTGAAAATGAAGAATCACAACAAGATGAAGAAAATATCTATTAATTTCAGTAGAGTAGTCTACCCTATACAAAATACACACGACTGCAGAATTATCTACCCTAAACAACATACACATGCAATAGTTAGTGCTAGAAGTAGTTTTATGACTAGACCTCTTAGGGTGACAAGCCTGTTACAACTAAAACATTTATCAAAGGCATAACAAATATTATTTCTAATGTGTGAATGAAAAGTTCTTAATTTAAAAAAATAATAGACAAATGTTTTAGCTGTAACAAACACCAAATCCTCCTGATATATAAGAGAATTGCAGTGCTATAAAATGTATCATCAATGGAAGGAATACTTCAGTTCAATCTTAATTTCATTTTACAGAGTAGCATAGCCTGTCTTGTTTTACTAAAGATTAATTTGAAAATCTTCAGTAAACTCAATTAAAGTATGAAAAAGTACATCTGTTAATAAACTGAAAAATTGTCTTCCATTAATGACCATTACAACTATTTCTGGTGTAGATATTCATTGACAATATATATACGTTCTACCAAGTGGCTCTGAGTACATATCTACTCATTCATACTCACAACAAAAGGTTTGCACAGAGCAAGAATGAAAACACCAGCTTATGGTTAGCAAATAATGAACGACATATGTTATCGTATAACTGATACTGGAAGTGGTCGTTCAAGTACCGTAAACGTCGCTCCAATATCTTGGACTTATTGCTGTAAACAAAACCAAGCTTTTTGCTGAATTAATGCTCATAATGGTTGATTTGCAAAATTAACTCTTTTTCTTATTCAAATAGAATAATTAACTCATCTCTGTTTCTAATAAACTTGTGCTTATACATATGGATGGGAAATAGGGAATGGAAAAGGATAATTGTGTGTATGCTATATAATTACAACAACAACTGAATATATCAGTGGTTCCTTATACAAAAAAAAAAAACATAATCACTTTCACTGTATCTACAGGACTGACTTGTTTTTGTTTGTTTTCTGTCCATATATGACAGCAAAACATACATCTTAACATATACAGTCGACCCTCGTTATGTTGAAGTCGAAGGGACCTGACCAAAGTATTCGACTTATACGGGGTTCGACTCATCCGAGGTCGAAATTGTTGTCATAGATTTGGAAATGCATGAAATACAGTATCAGATTTGTGTAAACTAGATACTTTGAATAGTGTGCCTTCGATATGACACTTTATGATTGTGTATTCAATCTCCATATTTTTTGGTCCTTCATAATAATTAAACACACAAGTACAGATACAAGTCATGCACATAAAAAAAAAAAATAGTAAACACAAGTACATGTGTATTTACAAAGGTCAGTCACTATAAATTATGAAATCACTCGCGGAACGAAACAAGATTTAAAGGTCTCTGATGAGGTCGTCTGTTTTACATTAAATTATTATAAATTTGTCATAATTGTCTTCACTTTATTTATTGTAATTAATGAATTCTAATTCTGACGATTCATTTAATCTCGGCTTGGGTTATTTAAATTTGTTTCGTTTTAATATCAGGTGAAATATGTTCAACACACTAACATTCCGCTTGGACGATCAACAAAGGTGTTAATTACCGGTCCCCATAAACATGTCATTTTAACTGTTATACAAACAAGTATGTTTACTCAGCTTTAATCTCTTTTGAAAATGATTACATTACATAAAATTTCCGAATTGAATTTTTATAATTAGGTCTGCATCTTTCTGAAATTGTTACTTTTGAACTTCGAGACATCGGGGTCAATTTACATTAATTATACATCGACGGGACTATAAAATTTACTCGACTTAACAGAGTATTCAAATCAACCTAGTTCGACTCATCCGAGGTAATTATGCATTGATCAAACAGGAATTTTACTGGGACCAAGAAATTACTTCGACTCATCCAAGTTTTTGGACACAACGAGGTTCGACTGTATACTGAAATGTAAGCATGTATAACTACAACAAAACAGGGCTCTTTAGGGGAGCCATCTTGAATATTGAATAAGCACCAAACATTGCAATTAATTTGATAATCTTTTATGTATAATACGAAACAATTTACAAGAAGCTCATTTGGAAGTATTTTTCTAAGTGTCTTGTGTAAAACATTTTTTCAACATTGGTTTATGGTTATCTTAGATTGTAGTTGATCAACATAATTACCAATATAATATAATTAGGAAAAGTTTATCTACATTCTCCGTTCCATCATTTTTAATACATTGAGGAACCAGTGAAACCTATTAGGCCCATATTGTATGGTCAAAAACATACTAACAATGTGACATTATATTTCCTTGGAACATAGTCCTCAATGGTTCTAAATGTTTAGTGTGTTAATACAGACAATTTCAATAGCCATTCCATCATAACGAAATTTTTGGTGAATTTGTCTAATTTCTTCTTTTTTTAAAAATACAATCCCCATGCAATTGTAGTGAATTTTATATGATTGTTCATATTTTCTCTTACATGTCTGAATAAAAATCATCTGCCCATGAAATACAATTGCATAGCAGAAGTTCTTAATGCATCCCCCCTTTTTTACAGAATATACACATGTATCTGCTGATGGAAATGTGCGTTCCTAGCAAAAGTCTTATAGATGAATGAATAAAGAAGGGAAACTATTATAAAAACTTCAATTTGGAAAATCAATTTGCAGCCCTATAAAAATTAATCCATTAGTTTTCCTTTAGTTTAGGATTTGACCTTATTCAAAATAAATGTAGTATAAAGTCTTACCTGTCATGAATAGACATAACATAAAGGTTGACAAACCAGGTCAATGAATACTGGTACATAGGGTCAATATTAGGCAAATCAGCAATTGAGAAAAACAGAATAGAGGAATGTTTAGCGATTGGACGATATCCCATTCTAGAAGCATCTATTTTCTGTTCAGTTTCCTCTGCAATCTGAAAAAAATAAACATAATTTGTACCAAATTTGAAAATTTATATGTAAATACTGTAATGAAACTGATTATTATCCAAGATGTAAATAAAAGTCAGTCGGTTTCAAATTCTGGATAAACAAGTTTGAATCAAAAATCATTTTAAGATTTTGAAGACAAAATATCTGACTCATTCTGAATGATACTTGAGAATCTGAACAAATGTAAAAGCTCTGTGAATCACAAGACTATAAAATGAAACCAAAGATCAGAATATGTCCTTATCAAAAACTTTTAATAACTTTGACCCACATAGCAATATTTGACTGCAGTCTATTGAACCTTTGCATTCAAAATTTAAACAAATCTTAATTGTCTGACTGCAGAACTGATAATAAATATTTCAAAATGTTAATCATTTTTATCCTTTCTGCATTTAAAAATCCCCCCCCCCCCCCAATTTTGGTCCATATATTTAACAAACTGAGTGATAACTATAGCTTTTGTTTCTTGAATCTGAATAGCTGATAGATAACTGTACCTTCTGCTTCTTAGGCCTAAATTAATATATTGTTTGTTTCCCCAATCCCGACCCTGCCAAGCAGGTGTGGGTAGGTAGGTAGGGAAATAATTTTATTTTTCCAAAAAGCTTGAACATTATGGGATGATCCGGCAAGCCTGAAAATCGGAAATGAATAAAATAATATTTGACTAAGTTTTGACAATAAAATTTTATGAGTAGGACCATTTTTGCAGGGTCGGTCGGGATTGGGGAAACAAACAATATTTTATTTTAGGCCTTAGAGATTTCATTAAAAAGTATCTCAGCGGAGTCCAAAATAGATAACTATACCTTTTGTTTCTTAGAGATTTCATCAGAAAGTATCTTAGACGAGTCCAAAATTTGAATAGCTGTTTCATCTTCCAGAATGTTGCCTTCGGAAGCTGATAGAGTATGTAGAATTTTATCTTCAATTTCCTTTAGTTGTTTTTTGTTAGCAGCACTCTGAACAATTAATGCTTGTCTCTCTTCTTCTAATTCTGGCCTGTAAAGCAATTTATTAATAATTAGACATGACCATAAAGACAAAGAGAAAAGGAACATATATTGATGTGACAGTAACTAATAATCATTATTATTACACAGAGAAAAGTTTTCTTTACATCAATATTATTTAAAAAAAACACCTGAGAAAAACTTTGATTGTCTCATTATTTTTAAATTAGAAAAAATCAATAAATAATTAAAAAAAAAAACTTTCTTACCTTTCTTTAGCGACCACTATTCCCAGGAGCTGATCCTCAAGACCTTCAGGTGTTATCATAAAGTTCAGTAAAGAGACCTTGACTGCTACTTCAGGTAGATAATGAGGATTTCTCAGTTTAGTAGTGATGTAGAATCTGAAATCTTTACTGTATTCAATCACATTCTCTCCTAGTTTGATCATGTCAACACCAGCTGAAATTTTAGGTAAATTTTTTAGTAACACACAATAAATTCTTCATCACAGAATTTCTGTCTTCAGGTTCTCTCAGTATTTAAAAGTCTAAAATTCTTTCCCAATGCCAGGTTGCTGCTTTTTTTTTATGTTTTTTAGCCATTTCTAAATTTGATGTGGATGTCCGGGCTCTCGGTCATAAAACTTTACTCAGTACTCGGAGTACAAAATTTGTGCTCGAAACACCAAATCCATGATTTTGATTGGTTGCTTTCTGAGTCCGAGTACGAAAATCGTGCTCGAAAGTTTTATGACCGCAAGGCCAGATCTCTCATAGTTTGTCAAACTACCCTGTAACTTGTCTTTGAATTTATTGATTTAAAGCTTGGAATATTGTATGGACACATGTCCATCATTAAAAGTCTTTAAATGACTTTTTTGTTCTGCTTGTGTTGTTGGGTTGCTGTATCAATAACTTTTACCCTAGATCTCCCTTCATCCACTCAAGTTATATAACTTTTAAGCTAGCAGTATAAGAAGTGAAAAGTAAGACATGGATAGGCTTGAACATAACAATAATGACAGTGATTAAATGTGCTCACCTTGTTTGTAAGTTTGTTTCAGCAAGAGAGGTTCCAGAGAAGGATCCAATTCTTCAGCAACATTTTCCAGTAGAGCGGGATTACCAAAGGTGATACAATTCTCCAGTGTTCTCATGTAATCTGAATCTGTCAGTTTAATGACTGAGAGTTTGAAATCTTTCTCCATGTTCTTCACCCATTTGTTGGCTTGACCTTGTGGATCAATCATAAGAGGCCTGGAAAAGACCACACATTCATAAGTGATGATTCCAATATCATGCTTAGTAAACACAAAATTTTTGTCGCAAAACTTGTAATAGAAATCTCTTTTTCATCTCCTGACATTAGTATAATTTTGATACTAAATCCAATTTTTAAGCGAAATTTGAAATTTTGTGGGCACATTACTTTGTGGTAAGTTTGTTATTGCATACAAATAAATTCAACCCAAATTTTTTTCCCCATTGAACTATAAATTCTTGATTCTTTAACCCAGTGAAATCCATTAACATGAAAACATCAAAGTATTTGATTATAAATCCACAGAATTTGGTTAAATTGAAATTGAACCAATGCAAAAGACTTAGCAAATTAACAGAAGTGCAGCATAAATAACAACACTATATAAAAATCTGCTGAATTAAACAAATGTTTACCATCTCCTGGAGTTAGCTACAATGACACCATTGTCAATGGAGAAACTGTCTCGTGGTAGTCCAAAGATGTTCCATGCCTGTATCTTAATCGGCTCTCCTAAAGTCTTACTTAAAGAGAATTCCTGTGAGCATGGAATCTTTTTTTCCTGTAAAGAAGTAAACATAATTACAATTTTATCTTTTTTAAAGAACTTAAAAATCAAAATACCTGTTCAGGAATTAACTGATTGGTAAAAAAGTAAACAAAACTTACTTTAAAAGGACGATTTATCAGGAAATAATCTTATACAAGCTATACTATATAATTTACAATGACAACAATAATGATAAAAAAAAATGTATTAGCATAGTGCTTATATTTGATTTTATTTCAGTATTAATTTTATTTAATACCATTTTTGGTTATTTTAAGCTGCACAAAAAGCAGCATAAAAATGTATAATCTCATCTTATGATACGAGTACAAATTTAAATCTATGCTCTGTTAACAAACTAATAATTCAAGCTAGAATTTAAATCTAAAGGGTGGAAAAATGGCATTCTAAGAGGTACTGTGAAATATCACTTTCCTATAAGCAAATGGCTTGTGAAAAAAAATAATTCTTTTTAAGTTGTCTGTCAACTATTGCTCAAATTCTTATTTTTTCCAACAAAAAAAATGTGAATCTGAAAGAATGAATACTGCAAAATATAAAAATGTATTAAAAAGATTTTCAACATTTTATGGTTTACAGGTTTCATTAAGAGTGAGAATTGAATATTGCTTGATACAAACAAGTTATCTAATTACAATATAAAAATAACCACACCGTTGGAACTTGGAAGAGTTTATTACTATACAGCAAAAGTTGATAGCAAGCAATATCCAATTCTCACAAGTTGTTAAACCTATATCTCTTATGGTAGAAATTCTGTTTATGTCATTTATTTTGCCAATCATGCATGACTCCCTTTGTCAGAGTCCTTTTAAGATATACCTGTTATTAGTTTTAAATGGTTGGTCTACTTAAAAAATGCAGTTATTTCCATTCTTATGCAAAATAAAAGCCAAAATATTCCATTCAAGTCATTATTTTGGTGTAAAAATCTCCTAAATTGAATTTTCTGCACAATTCTCTTCTTGAAAATGACACCTTAACAGTACGCTTATAATGGTATCAAAACTAAAATTGCAAGTTTTTATTTTTGAAAAGTCAATTCAGCCACTTTTTTCTCAATAAAAAAAAAAAAAACATCACAAAATTTTCTCAGTTTGTAGTACTATAACTCACACAATCACATCTCCATGTTCAGTGAACCAAAATATCTGGTTCAAAACCATAATTTGGCTCATATTTTTAAAAAGTTACATCTTAATTAACATGTCTACTAAGTTTCAAGTAGATGTTAACACAACTTCATGGTAAACTACCTTAAATTAAAACTTTAACCTGATACAGAACTGATGGACGTAACAATCGGTAAAAACAAAATGATTCTTTACATTCAAAGGCCCAGCATAAATATGTAGACAGATCAATATAGAGGGTATACTACTTTATTTCGGATATCATTTTTCTAAGGAAATTAAAATATAACAGTAATGCTTTGCAATATAAAAAATTCATACAAAAATCACATAGACAGAAAGACCCATAGACTATTTCCAAAATATTTTACCAAAAATAAGAATCACACCACGAGCTATGGGACAACTAAAATCTTCATGACATTTAAAAAGAAAACTAAAGTTCTAAGTCAGTACAACAATAACTTTATACATACCCTTTCCTATGCAGAATACAGATAAATACAATTTCAGTACATTATAATTTTAAAATATTTAAAAAAAAAATGAACTCCTAGAGTGGGTGGCCCATATTCGCCTTTTAGTGATTTTCTAGGGATTTGTGTCAAGCTGGGAGGTCTGCACTATTTGGTTACTTGAAAAAATTTCCATATCATTGATTCATACACATTTTATGTGTTTAATCATTGGTGTGGTAAGTTTTCAGAGGTATATAAGAGTAAACTCCACTCCACAGTATTTATACAGTTTTCCGCAATTACACACTCCATTTATAAAACCCTGGATCTGCCCCTGGATGCCATCATAATGCAAACAAAGAATGACCCAGATTTTTTTTCCTTCTGCTCAATAAATAGGAAAAGCTGTTTGTTTTTTTTTTCACAAATAATCTGAATCATATTTTAATTGCAAATTCCTTCCTTTTCATGTCTTTTGCTGATAACTTTTCTTGTGTGCAAGTGCGCTGTTTCTTTGATATAGCATATACATTTTTAGGGGGTATAATCTAAGCTCTTCTGAATAGTTTATTTATTCATTTTAAATAGGTGCAGGCACTCCTTTAAAAAAAACTAAGCTCAGTGCATTTATGTAATCTGTTTAATGGACATAATAAAAATTTCTGGAAACTACACATGCGCAGTGCATAAGCAAATATTTTTTGTCAGTTTTTGATCTCTATTGTGTAACTGCTTCCAGCAAATTTCACACTTTATCATGCTGTTAAATATAACAGGGTTAATGAAAATTTTTTAGTCATATATTACGGTGAAAATGTGTCCACCATGGTATGCAATATACTTGATTTCTTCTCAAGTTTGTCAACTTTGTGTTAATTTATAGACCTAAAATCGAATGTCTTGACAATCCACCTTCATCAGACATGTAATTCTATAGTTGAATTTTGGAAAATTTCATAATAAGTTGCCAAAGATTGAATGTAGATTGGTCATAGGTAAAAATAAACTGTTAAAGTGGCAAATATGTGCACCCCACTCTACAGACTGTCTTTTTATAAAAATATCCCCAACTACTTTATTTTGAAATAAATACTATATGCCATGATCACTATTAAAAATTAGAATTTATCCCTATGTTAAACATAAAGACCCAATCCTAAATTAATTAACATAATATTCACAAGAGTGCACACGCTGAAATGTCTCGCCTTCTTTACTAATCATTGATATTATGTTGATAGTCCTAAATATAAAGCTTTATTACAACTGTCACATAAACTTAACATTAACCAAGTAAACTAAACATTGACCAATGAACCATGAAAATGAGGTCAAGGTCAGATGAACCATGCTAGGCAGGCATGTACAGCTAACAATTCTTCCATACAACAAATATAGTTGACCTATTGCTTATAGTTTAAGAAAAACAGACGAAAACACAAAAACTTAACACTGAGCAATGAACCTTGAAAATGAGGTCAAGGTCAAATAAAACCTGCGTGACTGACATATAGATCATAAAATATTTCCATATACCAAATATAGTTGAACTATTGCATATAGTATTAGAAAAAAAGACCAAAACTCAAAAACTTAACTTTGACCACTGAACCATGAAAATGAGGTCAAGGTAAGATGACACCTGCCAGCTAGACATGTACACCTTACAATCATTCCATACACCAAATATAGCTGACCTATTGCATGCAGTATTAGAAAGAAAGACCAAAACTCAAAAACTTAACTTTGACCACTGAACCATGAAAATGAGGTCAAGGTCAGATGACACCTGCCAGCTAGACATGTACACCTTACAATCATTCCATACACCAAATATAGTAGACCTATTGCATACAGTATAAGAAAAACAGACCAAAACACAAAAACTTAACTATAACCACTGAACCATGAAAATGAGGTCAAGGTCAGATGACACCTGCCAGTTGGACATGTACACCTTACAGTCCTTCCATACACCGAATATACTAGACCTATTGCTTATAGTATCTGAGATATGGACTTGACCACGAAAACTTAACCTTGTTCACTGATCCATGAAATGAGGTCGAGGTCAAGTGAAAACTGTCTGACGGGCATGAGGACCTTGCAAGGTACGCACATACCAAATATAGTTATCCTATTACTTAAAATAAGAGAGAATTTAACATTACAAAAAATCTGAACTTTTTTTTCAAGTAGTCACTGAACCATGAGAATGAGGTCAAGGACATTGGACATGTGACTGACGGAAACTTCGTAACATGAGGCATCCATATACAAAGTATGAAGCATCCAGGTCTTCCATCTTCTAAAATATAAAGCTTTTAAGAAGTTAGCTAACGCCGCCGCCGCCGTAGCCGACAAAAGTCGCAGGCTCGACAACAAAACAATCCATACATTAGTTAATTCGTTAATAAGTATAAATATTCAAAAAAAGAAACTAAAATCCAAATTTGTTACAAATAAAACTTACTGTACAGACTTTGACCCATTCTTTAGTACATTCATCTCTGAATGCCATGGTGAAAGGACCAAGATAGGCAATTACTCCTGCAGCTATCAACACATCACCAACTAAATTGTCAAAAATATTCTGTAAGTTTGTGGCAGCAACGGTCCACCTTTCTTTCTCTCCTCCCAATCCACCTATAAGCTTCTCTGCTCTTTCTAGTTTCTTGGCACAAAGGTCCACCTGAAATTCCAATCTTTCTTTCTTCTCTGTCATTTCTTGGAAAGTAGCACGTAAATCTGCAAGACGTTTTTCAACAGCTGCAAGCTCAGCACGTTTGGCATTCAGTAGTGTCATTGTACTATTAAGTTCTTCTTCTGCTTGTTTGAGTTTTTCTTTCTTTGGTGCTACAACTTTCGCCACTCTATCGTATATTTCCATGGCTAAGACCCATTTACACAGACCCTCAGCAGCAGATGACGCATTAGCTACTTTGGCAGGGTCAAAATCTGCATTTGTTATGAAATCCTTACGAATCTGCTTCATACAATGTACCTGACAAAAGTTAATAAAATCAGTCACTTTTATCAACAATTGAAAATATTTTCAAATCATGTGCGATTCTCTATAATAAGAAAACAATTGCTGACAGTTTCTTAGCACTTAATCTTCCATATTCTCAAGAAAGTATTTTCAAATAACTGACAAATCTTCAGTGCTGGGTTATTCAAAGATCTCTGACTTGTTGTAAAAAAAGTCTATCAGGAAATAAGTAGAAATATTAATCTGCTACAAGATTCTGACCTTATTATCTTCCATATTCTTACAAGTATATATACAAATTACTATGACATATTCATTTCCAAACTATTCCAAAACCACAAACTTGTAAAAAAAAAGTGTATCAAGAAGTTAATAAACAATTGCTGCAAATTTCTGACCCTGCAGTTTTCCACATTCTAACAAATTAATAATTCATCTGAGCAAATTCAAGATCTATGTGATATATCTTACTGGAATATTATCTCTGTCATAGGCTTTCAGATTAGCCAAGAAACTCATGTCTCCCAGAACTTTCTTTGATGGTCCCCAGTAATCAAGAATCTTTTGTCCAGGTTTATCTGGGTCATTTATTTTATCTGGTTTGATGTCCTTCATTACACATACAGCAGACATGACAAGTTTGACACCGGAAGGAGGGTTCTTCATAGACTTGACAATAACAATATCAGCAGGCTATTGATAAAAAAAAAAACAGAATACACACATGTATTTTATTGTATTCATTGAACAAAGTAGCTTTTTCTACAAAATCTGTTTGATTATGTTCACGGAATACAGCCGCATCAAATTATTTCCAAAGTCTTTATTCTTTACACAAGAGTTTATGCAACAGTTTAAAGAGACCCTATTTGGCCCAAAAATTGAAATCAGGTGATTTTTATGTAAATAGAATGGAAAAGCATGTTGCTTTACAGAAAATATTTTTTTCCTTAACCATACTTTTCACTGTTTTTTTTTAACATGCAAATAAAAAGAGGTGATACACTTCATGGACACTGTGATGAGCTAAGATACTTAAAACTAATTTGGCAAATCCAATATTTTCTGATTTCATAAGAAACACCATTATGATATGATAGTAGGACTAAATACCTTTAAGGTATCCAGGGCAGCGAGAGCAGCCTCAAGAGCAGGAATAGCCTCTGCAAGTTCTGCCTCACATTCATCTTTCAGAGCCTGAGCCTCAGCAGCTTGTTCATTAGCAACAGCTTCATCAGCTTTGACAATTTTACTTGTAGCCTCTACTTCACCAGACTCCTTCTCTATAATGACCATCATTTTAGAATTTTCCTCTGCAGAGATGACAAGCTGTGGCTGGAGTTCCTCCAGTTCTTTCTGCATGTCTGCAACCTAGTAATGATCAAACAAAACAGGTATCAGAATAAATACAGCTGATAACTGAAATACATGGATCCTCCCAAAACGGGCAACCTTCTTACAATTATAGGATATCAGAGTCAAACTAAGAAACAATAACTCCAACTTATCAAAGCTTAATAAAGTAGGTAAGATTATCAATATGCAGTTTCAGGAATAGAGAACAATATTTTTAAAAGTCTTCGTCTTCATACAAACAAAATTCTCATGTGAAAAATTTTCCTTTTGCAAAATAAAAATCTTACCTGTGAAGCAGCAAAGGCCAATTTCTCTAAACCAACCACATATCTACGTTTGGCTTTAGATATCTCATCTTGTTTACTTTGGAGTAAGTTCTTGAATGAGTTGATCAACTCCAAGTAAGATGTTGGTGTTACATAATTATGTCTGCCTAACTGATTTAAGAACTTTGTTGACAGATGAATGGTGCTCTGATGGAAGTGCTTGACAATCATGACAGATTCCTTCCTGTCATGGTCAGAAAGTTCTGTATTCTCTAAGAATTTATTGGCTACTCTCTCTAATGCATCATCTGGCCAAGTCTGTTAAAAGATAAGCACAGAAATGACATCTCATGAAACTTTAACTTGGCATTAAAAGACTAAAGATAATTTCATAGGATACAAAAATTGAATTGTCTAGACTAAAGGTGATTGAGAGCATAGTACAGACACTTGTCTATAGTTAAAAGATCATTATTGTTGAGGTAGCAATCTAACAGACATAAATAATACATCTCTTATTTACCTGGATCAATCATGAGTACAGCAGCTAGAGATAGGAACTGCCTTAGTCTTCTATGGATATCTCCTATGGAGCTAGAAGTAATATTATAGGATAATAGAATTTACTTACCTGGAACCAGTCAATAGTACAGCAGTTAATTAAAGACGGGAATTGCCTAAGTCTATTACGGAAAGCATCTCCTATTGGACTGAAGGCAATAATAATATGTAAATTCTCTCTGATACGATTGACAAAGAAAGCAAACAAAGCCAGTGGACTGAAGTCGGCCATCTTGTCTCCAGCTTGTGCTACTGGTCTAACAGTCTGGAAGAAATTAAGAAACAAGTACATTACTATGGCTAAGGAAAGGTAAAAGTCTACTAGGTAAAAGATCAATTAAGACATTAAATTATAACCTCTGGAACACTTTTTAATAAAGAAACTTTTCTCTTAAAAAATTGAAATAAGCAAATATTTTGTAAAAATATTTCAATCAGAAAGTGTGGCTTACCTCCATTATTTCTGCTTTCTCATCAGCAGGGAAAAGATTAGGGACTTCTCCTGTGTTTAATAAGTTATCAATGTCCTCAAGGAATGATTCCTCTTTGATCTGGGTGTCTGTCACTAAGAATACAGTTGTCTTTCCACTTGCTCCACATCCTTTCAGTACTGACTGTAGAATACATTTATTGTCATATATACTCAATCGTACATTAGAGATATACAATCTACAGTTCAGTTTATTAATAAAACTTTTTAATGTAAATCATTTGTAATTATTTTGTTAATTTAAAAGTGAACATATGTCTTATGTCATATCTAAATGTTTTATATTATTTGGACAATTAAATGTTGATGTCATATCTAAATGTTTTATATTATTTGGACAATTAAATGTTGATGTCATATCTGAATGTTTTATATTATTTGGACAATTAAATGTTGATGTCATATCTAAATGTTTTATATTATTTGGACAATTAAATGTTGATGTCATATCTAAATGTTTTATATTATTTGGACAATTAAATGTTGATGTCATATCTTTGCAAGTCTGTGTTTAATTTATTCACAACTTTTTAACTTCAAAGTGATTTAGAGTTTGACATTTATTTCAGACATCTATCTATTGTTCAAGACTGCATGTTGCCCTTTAAATGTCATTCGGTTGTTTATATTATTTAGTTGCTGCATCATTGACATGTACCCCACGTCTGCTTTTATTCATATTACCCTGTATTTCTTTGTTCTTGAATACCTATTGTATTTGATACTTGCAACACTTGATAGGCTCAAAGTTACAAATAAATGAGTTACATTATCATTTTAATGTGTTGATGGAAAACTCAATATCTGACAGTTCAAACAACAACAACTGTCTTGATTCTGGGCAATTCAAAGCTGGTCATACTTCACAGCAGTTGTCCATTTTAGAAGGTCATATGGTGAACGCTAGATGTATATTTCAGTTACAATATGATGTAGTGTTGATGTCAAATTGATTATAACCCACATCTCCTTACCTTAATGTCCTCTCTCCATTCTACTTAGCCATAGTTCTTTGAGATTTCTGGTTTTATTCTTACCTTAATGTCCTCTCTCCATTCTACTTTGCCATAGTTCTTTGAGATTTCTGGTTTTATTCTTACCTTAATGTCTCTCTCCATTCTACTTTGCCATAGTTCTTTGAGATTTCTGGTTTTATTCTTACCTTAATGTCCTCTCTCCATTCTACTTAGCCATAGTTCTTTGAGATTTCTGGTTTTATTCTTACCTTAATGTCCTCTCTCCATTCTACTTTGCCATAGTTCTTTGAGATTTCTGGTTTTATTCTTACCTTAATGTCTCTCTCCATTCTACTTTGCCATAGTTCTTTGAGATTTCTGGTTTTATTCTTACCTTAATGTCCTCTCTCCATTCTACTTTGCCATAGTTCTTTGAGATTTCTGGTTTTATTCTTACCTTAATGTCTCTCTCCATTCTACTTTGCCATAGTTCTTTGAGATTTCTGGTTTTATTCTTACCTTAATGTCGTCTCTCCATTCTACTTTGCCATAGTTCTTTGAGATTTCTGGTTTTATTCTTACCTTAATGTCCTCTCTCCATTCTACTTTGCCATAGTTCTTTGAGATTTCTGGTTTTATTCTTACCTTAATGTCCTCTCTCCATTCTACTTTGCCATAGTTCTTTGAGATTTCTGGTTGGAAGAGATCGTATCCTGCCATGGCTGTTGCTAACCTGGTTAAGGATTGACGACCACTACCTCCTACACCCACTAACAAGGCATTTCCTCCTGGGATTCTCAGTACACGACAGATACGAGACAAATGTTCCAACACATATCTGAAATAGATACATTGAAATTCAGGAAAATGTTAAGATTGTTCTGACATATATAACTCAACAGAGTTTTTTGTCTATTAATATTCAAAATGCATAAAATTTGGTTCACATACTTCAAAATTACATATTAATTTTCTTAATCAAGTCATTGTTTTATCATAAAATTTTGGCATCTACCTTTCTGCAATAAATAAATATATTCTGAAACTATTGAAAAATATCTTATTCCAGAAAAAAGACCAAAGATTTTTTTAATGTATTCAGAAATTATTGTGTGCATTCATTATTGCTTTTTTTTGAAGTATGAACAAAAATATGAGATTAATTATTGCAATTTCAGGAAATTCTGCATACAGATATCAGAATGCGATTTCTTATTATTGCGATAATTACCTAATCACATTATTTGCATTTATAAAATCCTCAAAATAATTTCTGAATTTACAGTATACAATACAACAATTTGAATATTTATGAACATAACATTATGTGCTGACCTGAAAATAACCAGATTCATTCTATTTTTATGTGTATTATTGTACTCTTCTAAACATTGCTCTACAATGGTGTACATAGAGTCAACAGATTTCACTTCATCATAAACTCTCTCCTCAGACTCTGCATCAGGGTTCATATAATCACCAAACATCAAACTTCTTAAATCATCTTCTTTAACCTGCGTAAAACAAATATCCTTGCTACAGTTTATATCAAACATGATTTGGTTGATAGTGAAATATCTAAATTGCTTACATATTTCAAATGTATAAATATTAGAACTTTTTTCATTTCATTTTTACCCTAAAAACTAAGGTATGGGTGTTGTTTTTAATTCAGAACTTTAAACTTCCAAAAGCCAATAGTGATGAGTCCCTGGACTAGCTTGAAAAAAATTTCTGACCTTAAGGATGTACACCTACGAGGAGCAAAAAAATTCAGGAATTACAAACTTTTTTTCATAACCTGATTTTTGGGTTTATATGACTGTAAAAAAATAATTGGTGAGGAAAAAATCATATGGTGGAGCACTTATTTTTTTGCTACAGCCATTTGAAAGTACCCAATTTTGATGATTTTCCCATTTTTCATCAATTTTTACCCATTTTTGGGCTATTATCATGAAAATAATCACAGTTTCACAATTAAACTTTTCTTCATACTTTCACTAAAGATGAAGTGGACCAATCTGAATAAATTTAACTTAAAACTAGAGGCTCTAAAGAGCCTGTGTCGCTCACCTTGGTCTTTGTGCATATTAAACAAAGGACACAGATGGATTCATGACAAAATTGTGTTTTGGTGATGGTGATGTGTTTGTAGATCTTACTTTACTGAACATTCTTGCTGCTTACAATTATCTCTATCTATAATGAACTTGGCCCAGTAGTTACAGTGGAAAATATTTTGTAAAAATTTACAAAAATTTACAAAATTTATGAAAATTGTAAAACATTGACTATAAAGGGCAATAACTCCTTAAGGGGTCAATTGACAATTTTAGTCGTGTTGACTTATTTGTAGGTCTTACTTTGCTGTACATTATTGCTGTTTACAGTTTATCTCTATCTATAATAATATTCAAGATAATAACCAAAAGCTGCAAAACTTTCTTAAAATTACCAATTCAGGGGCAGCAACCCAACAACGTGTAGCCTGATTGGTCTGAAAATTTCAGGGCAGATAGATCTTGACCTAATGAACATTTTTATCCTGTCAGATTTTCTCTAAATGCTTTGGTTTCAGTGATATGAGCCAAAAACTGCATTTTACCCTATGTACTATTTTTTAGCCATGTCGGCCATCTTGGTTCGCGGGCGGGGTCATAGGACACATTTTTTAAACAAGATACCCTAATGATGATTGTGGACAAGTTTGGTTAAATTTGTCTTAGTAGTTTCAGAGGAGAAGATTTTTGTAAAAGATTACAAAAATCTACGAAAAATGGTTAAAAATTGACTATAAAGGGCAATTACTCCTTAAGGGGTCAACTGACCATTTTGGTCAAGTCGACTTATTTGTAGATCTTACTTTGCTGAACATTATTGCTGTTTACAGTTTATCTTTATCTATAATAATATTCAAGATAATAACAAAAAACGACAAAATTTCCTTAAAATTACCAATTCAGGGGCAGCAACCCAACAACAGGTTGTCAGATTCATCTGAAAATTTCAGGGCAGATAGATCTTGACCTGATAAACAATTTTACCCCATGTCAGATTTGCTCTAAATGCTTTGGTTTCAGAGATATAAGCCAAAATCTACATTTTACCCCTATGTTCTATTTTTAGCCATAGCGGCCATCTTGGTTGGTTGGCCGGGTCACCGGACACATTTTTTAAACTAGATACCCCAATGATGATTATGGCCAAGTTTCAGAGGAGAAGATTTTTGTAAAAGTTTACGGACGACGGACGCCAAGTGATGAGAAAAGCTCACTTGGCCCTTTGGGCCAGGTGAGCTAAAAACTATGGGTAGGTGTTAATATATGAAAGTTTTATAAAATTTTGTTGCTTTTTCATTTCAAATTTACCATGTTGTCAATTTTGTAAATTTGGGATTTTTCTCTTTTTTCAGAACAAAAAGCATATTATTTCAACTTCTTTGTTATAAATGATTGAAAAAATACATATATAACAAATTTAAGAAGAAAAAAATTGATATGGGATGTACATGTATCTGGTAAAATCATTTCTTGTACCCCTCACCCATTTTCTCAACATTTTGGCTAATGAGACTGACTTGATTGGTTATAAAATTTGAAAATTTTATTACTCAAAAACCGCTTATTGTAAATACACAATTTTTTCACAGAGTTAAGTTTGATTATAATATTTTTTAAATTCATTGATATTTTCCACTTGTATCACGTTTTGGAAATAATTCCAGAATGAGATTTCAACAAGACTGAAGTGTCAGAAGAATACATCCTTAAATGAGAATGCTCATCATTTTTCTCTAATTCTTAGTTGATATATACTTTGCCTGATTCTGGACAGTTAAATTTTAAATATCTAAAAAGCTCAACAAGCCTCACATTTTAAATATGAAAATTTAACCGTCTCGAGTAGAGAACTATCGTATCACACTGGATGCAGATGTAGAATCTATATTTATTTCAAAACCAGTTTATCAACAATCTGCATATACAAGTAGGGAGTATACAGCATAATTTGTTTATCTACCCTATCAAAGTAATAAATCAAGAAAATCATAAACTTGAAAATATGCACATCTGGACTAAAAATATTTAAATTTCGTTGTTATGTAGGGGGCAACTATTCTGTGAGTTTTGATCGTAGTTCTTCTACTTTAGAACTGTATTACTTTCAATCTATACTTAAATTGATGTGATGATGCATGCAAACAAAGTAACTCATCATTTGTGACTAAGGTAAGAGGTATTAAATGGGTAATCTCTTGGATATTTATCAAACTAAAGTTAATGGAACTGCATCTGAATACTGAAGTTACTTTTATACTTCCACAGATATAGTAAATCAAATATCCAGTAGATATAAGTATAAAAGTATTGGTATAAAAAATGTCAAAAGTCCTATATTAAGTGTAAAACACTGAGAGCATAATGTAGACAAATCTTATTTTGCAATGTTTTTAGATATGCCAAACATGCTTGCATGATTTATACAGTACAGGTAATATAAAAGTTGGTGACCCCATTAAATTATGCATTTATAAAACCAAAAATTCTCAGGATAGGTTTTTGAGAAATATCTATCTGAAATGAAATTATCAAATCTATTCATATGTGCAATTCAAACATATATTCCACTATTTGACATGTTGAACCAATCTATATTTTAGCAAATATAAAAGTTAAAATATATTTTGATATCTAGACAATGCTAGATGCAGGTCCACATGTTCTAGTTAAGGAAAAATTTCCTAAAAATCCCAGGGATCACCAATTTACCCATTAGTACCTCTTACCTTATATATTCTTGAATAAACAAAAATTTAACTGTAACAAATAATTTGTAATTCAACTATGTGACAAAACAAAATAAAATTATATAAAAACAAATACATCAAAATATTATGAGTGCACAGTGCAATGTCTCGTCTGCTTTACTGAATCATGTTGAAAGTGTATAAGATCAATGTCTTACTACAGGTACCACACACACTAAACATTTTCAATGCACCATATGAATGAGGTCATGCTATGATGATCTCTGCCATACAGACATGTAATCCTTACAACTATTCCATACACCAAATATAGCTGACCTTTGCTTATAGTATCTGAAAAAAAAACCTATCATGAAAACTTAACATTGACCAATGACCCATGAAAATAAGGTCAAGGTATGATGAACCCTGCCAGACAATCATGTACACCTTTCAATCCTTCTATTCACCAAATACAGTTGACCTGTTGCTTATATCTGAGAAACAGACTTAACACTGATCCATGAAAAGAGGCAAAGGTCAGATGAACAGACATGTATACCTTGGAATAATTCTATATACAAAATATAGTTGTCTTATTTCTTATAATAACTGGAAAGTCATGTGATGTTGAGTTTTTCAAGCAGTCACTGAGCTAAGATAATCAGAACAAGGAAAATGTAAATATGCCAGCAGAAGTACAGTTTAAAAGGTGTCCTTTAACAAGATATGAACTTTCCAGGTTTTGATAAAAAAAAAACATTTATCTATGTTCAGTGGACCGTGAAATTGGGGTCAAAACTCTAATCTGGCATTAAAATTAGAAAGATCATATCATAGGGAACATGTGCACTAAGTTACAAATTGATTGGACTTCAACTTCATCAAAAACTACCTTGACCAAAAACTTTAACCTGAAGTGGGACAGACGGATGGACGGACAGATGAAAGGACTGAGGAACGAACGAATGGACACACAGACCGAAAAACATAATGCCCCTCTAATATCGTAGGTGGGGCATAAAAATAATTCAGGCCTTGGTTGTCGCTGGATTAGCATCCCTATGTCACGCATGCTGCGACATTCGTTGCAGGTGAGACAGGCATTGAACTTCTCACCTCTGAATCAGTACGCTGTTAACAAATAATATACTAAATAGATAAACACAAGAATCTAGTAATCTGCTTAATTCTAATTTCATATCTAGGATTACTACTATTAATATACCCTCTTTTTTGTGAGTTAAGCAAGAATTTATTCTTTACTAATCTAAGTATTCTATTTCCTACACTTGCATCATCTTATTAAAATTCATAACATACAGAAGGAAAAGCAAACATTCAATTTTCAGAATTCAGAAAAGTTATCAGCAAAGCGAAACAGAATAACAGGTAGAGTTTGACAAGAAATGTCAATGCTGTTTAATATGTCTCTGCCAACAAGTTGACATGACAAAGATATGAAAATTATCACATTAGTTTGTAAATCTTACAATATATATCATATCATATGTCAAAAAATTACAAACACTTATTAACGAAAGTTGATGAAAATCACTTGAATAGTTCTGTTGTATTTTAATATGATTCATGAAAGAAAAGATTTTTTTAAACAGTTCTCGAACAAAGTAAACACACTCCTAGACAATAAGATCTAGCAAGAAGTATCTATTTTTCACACTTTATTGCTACCTTTACTGGAGCTCCCTGTTACAGATAAATAAATACTAGATGATCATAACATAAAAAGTCAATATTATTCATATAAATAAAAATATATAAAGAAAAATCTCACAAAAGCTTTACTTATTGGTTTGTTTCCTGTCAATGTCTATTATTCCAGAATGCAAAGGATTCTGATATGTCTATGTTTACCCCCTCACCATTGGGGGTGCAATATTACAGCCTCTACCCCAAGTCAGCCTTTTTTTTGGCTCCAATGATTTCTATACTTTAAGACGTTAGCACATGAAACTAATTTCAAAATTCGTTATGTTCCTTTAACCTAAGACAATTTATTGCAATGTTCTCCACATTTAAAGTAGACTTTTGCATCCTTTTTCAAACTTTGAAAATTATAATCGGAAACACAGCAATTTTTGACAGATGTACTTCCCTTCTATGTCTTGCCCATGCAAAACAGGGGTCTGGAACTTGAAAAAAAACAACCTAAACTAGAGAGAATGTAACTACTTAACATGCTAATAATTAAAATATGTTAACTACTTCTTGTTGAAGGTACAGCAAAAATCAGAAAAGTCTGGATTTTGGTTGAATTGGCCTTCTCAAGATCACTATATAAAGAGTTAAAATGAACATTTTCTATGCAAACATATACTTGTTTGCATTCAGCACAGTGATGGCTGTCTAATTAGATGAATTTTATTATTTCCTAAATTGAAAACATATTCCCATGTAACTATATATTTTCATGACACAGATTTGATTCCTATTAATCCATTAAATGAAGACATTTATCAGAAAATGTACCTTTCCTTCTCCGGAGCCACCACCAGCTAGATGTTCAAACAAACTGTCAAAACTCTCTTTGAAGTAGTCTTTTACAGCATTCTGTGTTGTTCTGTAAGTTAAGAAAAAACATTCGTAATCAATATCAGTAGTTTTGTTGATTCCCCAGAAGAAGTTCACCCCTTTTTCACAGGTTAGCAAGTTTAACCCAGAAATTTATGTCAAATGAACTGAATCTGAGTACATTTAAGTACACTGTAAAACTAAATAATCAGCTCTCCATCAGAACATCACCTTCATTTCATATATGGTTTATGATGGTAAAACAGTTCTAAATATTTTTTGAATATTGCACACAGGGTCACATGTAACACTACTTTAAATGACCATATGATATTTGTTGGATACTTACATCATTTAAGCAAATATGTATCAGTCAGCTTAAAAAGTATAAATAGGCCTTAAATTTAAAAAAAAAAAAAAGGATAATGTGTCCAAGGGACACAGATAATGCCCCTGTTATAAAGGGGCAGAACTTGAGAAAGGTAAGAGTGACGCCACCCAAATTCAAACGGGGATCTGTGTTTTGTGGTAATAAGCATTGTGTATAAGTTTCAAAACATTTGGTTGAGGCAAACTTGTTAGAGAACAGTAACCAATTTTAGGAAGTACATACGGTTGGACAAGGGTAACACTTAATACCCCCTCCGATGACAGTGGGGGCATAAAAACTCAATAATGTTACTTACTTGAACAACCATGATCTGTCTGCATCATCTGTGAGACGATCGTAGAATACTCTCATCACTTCATGGACCCATAACCTGTAATAGTTGGATGAACATTGTTCATATAGAATTTTTCATGTTTATACAGAGGATACAATATCATTTCAAAATGTTTCTTCATAACTACAAGAAAAGCAAAATCTTGAAAGGCATACTTTTCCATGACAGTAACTTTGTCTTCACAATAAACAGGGTTGATTGCAAAAAGTTTTTTTTTTAAAACACTATGACTCTGTGTAAATAATGTTACCACCTTAAATGTTACTGAAGCTTAATGAAATATATACAGCTGTTTATTATCTTCTTCTTGTAATCAAATTTTAGCAAAAATATCAATGGTAGCTCAAAACTATATTGTTTGCCTGTAGGCAGTTAATACCTACCTCATCATCACACGTTTGTTTTCCACTTCATTCTTCTTGATCAGACAAACTCCAAGGATGACTCTGGAGAAATCTCGTAAATTAAACACATAATGTGATTTAGCTGGTGTTGGTAACAGGTTGGCAATAGCTTGTTTATACATGTCATTTGTGGCACTTACAATCATGTTTCCAAGGGCCAAGAAATCTCCTGAAAACTCAGCACCCTGAAAAAAAATAACCACATAAACAATCATGATTCATAAGGCTCAGAAATCTTCTGAAAACTAAACACACTGAAAAGATATACATCATATAACAATCATAGTTCCTAGGACCAGAAAACCCTCTGAGAATTACACATTAACAATCATGTTTCTAAGAGCCAAGAAACTCTTGGCTAAATAAGCAAGTTTCCTATTTGAAATGCAGACAACTGCTGAGCTTATACAAGTTTTTTTTTATCTTTAGTATACTTACCCTCAAATAGGTAGATATCATAATGGAGAAAATTTTGATCATAGTGTCTTCACTGAAGGAATTTATTCCAATCATGTTAAAATGTCTCATAAATCTAAGAGTGACATCATTTCTACCTCCTCCTGGTGGTCCCATGGCACAAATCAACTGTACATCTTGTAGTAGAAGTTTGGACGTTTCCTTCAAGTCATACCTTCAAGCAAACAAACCATTATTCAATATAAACAATTCTTACAAACTTGATACTAAATGTAATGTTGTGTCTGCCATATATAAATCTAATACTATCCCCCAAAAGTTCATATGAGCATAAATAATGAAGAATTTGGTCAGTTTGAACCTGATCTCATTGAAAAATATTTAAAGAAACAAGATGCATTATGTACATATTATCTATATATTGTAACTGAATACTGTCATCACAAACATTTCTATGACTAAATTTTACAGATGAAAGTAAAATGTCCAGCTCTTTATGCACTTGATTTGTGGGGTGGTTTGTGTTGTGTTGCTCATTCTTTAATTTACTGTGTAGTTTTTTAAAGACTTGTTTGTTTTTTGTCCTTATCTTTAAGGCCATGGTATTTTTTGGTTTTTCTTTGACTTATGGTTTAGGATAGTCCCTGTGGTATCTTCTGCCTCTTTTTCAAATTTGTCTTTAGTAAAACTGTCTTTTTTCTAGCAATCCATTAATGCATCTGAAAAGGTTTCTTGCCACTACAAGACATTTGAAAATTTTCTGCATAAGTCCCCCTCCTTTGTTATAGACTGCTGCACAAATCTGCTACTCACCAATAACCATGATCCTGGAACTGTCTCAGAAGCTCAATAGGAGGTTGAGCACCATACACTTCTTTAGCTGGCATGTTCAAATCATCAACAAAAATAACAGCCTTTTTACCCATCTGTGGTCCAAACACACCTTTTCTACGTTTGTCCAACCTTGACATTATGATGTTCTGGAAAAATAGAATTTAATTGAAATTGTTGATGCTTAGGACAACAGATACAATAGTCCCCCTCTTATAAGATAAAATGGACTGGAAAACAATGCAAAAGACTCAGATATAAAATAAAAAAGGGTGCATAACTTCATTTCATGTAGAATAATCTTTGCAAGTTTGGTGGAAATCTGTAAAAAAGTTTTCATGAAGTTGTGAATTAACAAACTAAAATAGAATACAAAACCAATCTGATGGTATTTTTTATCAGATTTTTTTTTTTTTTTCTTTGCACTAAAAATGTAACCCTAAAGTTTAATCATACCATAACTATCACATATTAAATAGAACATGATTTTTTTTACCTGTGTTTGGTTAGCACTGGTCTGTGCAGAAAAGTTGACAAAAGCTGGAAGATATTTATCCTTAGAAAGACCATTCATCAGTTTGTCTTGTACATACACCGATTTGCCTGTACCAGTTGGTCCAACAAACAGAATAGGTCTAAAATATAAATAAAATAATTTTTCAACAGTTGAGGCATGTTTGGCATAAACCATACTTCTATGGCTTTTACATGGATAAAAAAAAGATATTTATATATCTTGTAGTGGGAGAACTGCCTAAACTGGTTGAAAGTTGCATTTAAAGTGAGATTTGGGAATTTTGATAAAGAATATACAATTTAATAGCAATTTTGTCCATCAAAGATGGTTTTTATTGTCAATTACATATGTCCTTTGCAGAAAATCTTAATATACTGTGGATTTATTTATTTTCGTGGCTATCAATTTTCGTGGATTGAAGAAATCGTGAATTTTCGTGGATATTGGATTTTAAAGTTTTGCCAATCTCTGCATATAAGTCCTATAGAAAATTTTGATTTGTTGAACATTTGAATTTGTGGTTCACCTGTACCCACAAATATTGGTATCAAACGAATAATAATGAATCCACAGTAAGCCTTATCACTTACTTGCTTAATCTGACAGCAAATAAAAATATAAATAAAATAACTTTTCAACAGATGGGGCATAATTGGTTTAAACCACACTTCTTTGGCATCACATGGATCTACAAGACCAAATTATATATCTTACAGCTGGGGAACGTGCTAAACTGGTTGAAAATTGCAATTACATTTTTATATCTGTATGTTTAACTTTAAAAAGGCCTGGATGACATAGTCTATAAAATATATATTAATGGTATAGTATCATATTCTTGAATACTTACTTCGAGAAGCAAATATGATTAATGATCTTTTATATATCTCTGTCATTTACCTTATTCTATCAGTAATATATCCATTACCTTCTGTGGATTAGGTTCATTCTATAGGCATTTTTTATAGTTCTGAAAAATTGCTTCAACCACAAAAAATAGTACTTAAAGGATAATAATCTACAGTATGTCAGAAGATTAAAATGAAACATTGACAAACCTAGAATGCTCAATACACAATTCCATTAGGAATGAATATCTGGCTGTATCCATGGTTGGAACCAACATTTCTCTGATTTTCTTGGCTTTTATTTCAAGATTTTTTATCAAATCATTCCAGTGTTTCCATGCTCCACGATTTTTAAACTACAATATCATGAGGTCATTTTTATTATTATAAATTTCAATGATATGAAATTACTTTTGTATTCCATTTGCTATTTGAAACACAAAATTAAAAGGATTAAAAATCATACAAACTATAAAAGTTATATGAACTTGTGAAATATCAAGTCTTTCTTGGATTATGTGGTTCAATGTTAATAAAAGTCAAATAAAATAAAACATCTATTGATTTGCTGTTCAAAATATGAAAACAAAAATTTATAATCACAAGAACCAATAATATTGAAATATTTCTTGCATGAACAAATAAAAATACTGTTGAACTATTTTGGTAGTGTACAATGTAGTCATGGATTAATAAAACTTTTTCTGAAAAGCTTTTCACTGAAATTAATTTACATTTACTAAATTTGTATCTACTCATGTGCGACATGAATAAGTGAATATATGAACATCCTCATCAAATAATTTTTTGTTTAAATGAAAAACTGTTGTTAAAAGATGGCAATTATTTTGAATTGTGAGCATTTACCCTTCTGAATAAATTATAAGCCTAAACGACTGTGAACATCAGTGTTTATTAACTTACTTCATAAAATACTTCATAAACATGCATATTGTCAGGTATGGGTACATCAAACTTAGTTCCTACAGCCTTAGGCATGGGGAATTCTTCCATCTTTCCAGAAATCAGCTCTTTGAAGAAAGCATCAAACTTGTTGCGACCATCAGCGTCAACACATGCTCCAATACTCCAAGGTATGGAAAACAATATGGCTGACTATAAAACAAATAATAAATACCAATATAACTGTCCTATTACCCGATTTATAAAAATCAGAATTCAGACGTTTGAGCATGGAGGTATGTAAGATAGACAGATAAAAAAAAAATAATCTTTTTTGTGACAACATGTGTGACATTTAACATTCTTCTCTTGTAGAAATTATAAAGTGAAGACTATCCAATATCAAAACTCACATATAATTTCTAAACAGAAATATAATCAACATTCTTTGTGACTTATCTTAACCATTATAGCCTTTAATTATTTCTCACATCCTGTAACTACCTAAGATAAACATTTTCCCCATTGTATACATGTATATATAAAATGATCATTATCTAAAAAGTATATATATGCAAAGAAGTATAAAAAGCACTATTTGTCTTGTTTTCATGCATTTTGTTACTGCTCTGATCTGTATAAACTTAAATTCAATCTTTCTAACCTAAACACAAACAAAAAAAAACATACTCACAACACAATAATCAAATGTTTATTCATCCTAATGTTACTTACCACAGCATAAACTTTGAGGTTTTTGTTGTCATGGCTATCTTCAGCATTTACATGCTCGTGCATAAGCATATCAAACAAGTACATCAATGACCTCACTTGGTTGGCATACCGACCAGCAACATATTCCTAAAATTTGAAATTCTCACAATAATAACAATTGAAGGTTTTATGCCATGATTACTTAGTCATCTATCCATTTTTACATTTCCTTACTTATATTATTAAGAGAAAATGGTATTTCATAAAAACTTACAGTATGACAATAAAATACAAAAACATTTCTTTTTATTGTTGTGTAGCATTTTTTGGCGTATGTACAAAATATATATAATATACTCCATGTGCAACACATGCAAACAAACAAATCTTACCATTGTTTTATCAATATAAATGGAAAATACTCAGTGCATAATGGGGATATATAACGGTTTTCTGAAAGGCAAAGTCCAATAATTTAGTAGTTAAAAAATCATTTTTAAAAATATCTGTATAATTGAAAAAAACAAAACTCATTTTCAATGTATCTGAATTCTTCTGGACTTTTTATGTAGTCTAAAATTTCCTTAGATTAATTGAAAGCTATCATTAAATATTTTCTTTTTCCCATATCAAAAAGGCCATAAATAACACTATCTTCAACAAGAAACAACAACAAACTGTATAGTCTCTTTCTGGGGGATGGGGTGGGAAATAGGAGGTGTGTGTGTGTGGAGTGGGCAAATTATGAAATACATATGGAATATTCAAAGCATTCTTATCATATCGCTTGTGTAGTTTTATATTTTTCCCAAAAAAACTTTTCTTCCATGGATATAAAAAAAAGGACATCACGAAGAATAGTTTCAAGGATAGCAAGAAATTTTGTGTTTTCTATGCCTTTAATTCAAGCATGTGTATAAACTGAATAAGGAATAAAACATTTGAAGGATATGCAGTGTATCAATGTGGAATACCTGTGAGATATATATAATACTTACTTCCTTTTAATTGAAGGGTTAATTGTTCAAAGTACATTGCTCATTATATCATACAGAAGATTAATTTTACAGTACATTCTTAATTCTACATTTGATCTAACTTTCAATATTGACATACAATGTTGTCTGCTCTATGGTCGGGTTATTGTCTCTTTGACACATTCCCCATTTCCATTCTCAATTTTAAATAATGCATTATAACTAAGATCTGTAGTTAAACTATTTTCTTCACAGACATTAAAAATTAAGTATACAAAAATGGATAGCAAATAATCTGCTTAACCCAAGTTTGTATTTTTCTTGCATTTTTTTGGCGTTTACATGTAACTGCTCTATCTTACACCAACGGAATTTCAAGATTAATCCCCATAATTTTTTTCTTAGTAATCTTTCACTGTAGCTAATATATTGGTAGTAGCACTTGGTATACTTTATATAAGAGGTAAGAATTTTTGAGCAATTTTTTACATACCTTGGTATTTTTTCTGATGAATTCTAAACATGGATCTACCAGCCATTCAAACATGGCTTCCACAACATCAAGTGCTTCCTTGGCAAGGACTTCTGGGAAGACATTCAGCCATGACTTAAAGAATGGTCTCCAACCAAGGGAGGAGGGTTCTAAGTATATCATACCACACCTACTGACTGTGGCTGGCTGGAAGAATAAGAAATCTAATAGCAACATAGGTCCAGTATGTCCTCAATAAAAGTATACATGTGACAATTGAAAAGAAGCTAGATAATCATGCTGGAAAAAGATATTTGTGTAAAGATTGCAAATAAGATACACTAGTAAAATGCTGTAAATCTGTCCATGAATATAATTTACATTCTGGAATTAGTAAAAAAAAAAAATTGAACTATATGTATATTCAATTTTCTGTAAAAAGAATTAAAAAAAGCTCAGTCTACTTTATCAGATTATTTGATACATATAATGTATAAAAGAGATCTTACTGAAGCTTGTGAGAGATCCATTGTCTCAAAGATTAAACTCATAGGTGGTGACAACTGTATAATTTCTCCACTCATCAAACAGAGCTTCTTGTTATCATCTAATACTGTGTTCATGTTCTCGATCCACAAGGCATCAATAGGTCCATCAAATATTACCCATTTACGATCAGGTGTGTCATTCGAAGCAAACTCTCTGAATGTATTGGCAACAACACCATCAGTCCATTCATGAGAAACTGGGTCAAACATACCAAATAGTTGTCCCATAGTAATTGACTTAGGATTGATAATTTTGTACATGACCCTTTCAAAGTCCTCGTGACCTTGTTCATTTAGTAAGGTCATTCCCTCACACAATGTCTTTAAAGTCATTGTTTTCCCACCAAAAGGTTCTCCAACTAACATAAAACTGAAAAGCAAAGACTTTAGTATAAAAGTTAATCAAAAGCTTTGGTATAAACTTTATGATGGTTTAATGAAAAGTTCCTAACATCTAATTAATGTAAGGAGTTTTTTATATTTAGAGAAATTAAGCAATAAAAATCATCTATTACATTTGAATATTAAGATTGCAACATTGCATTTCTCTCAGTTTTATAAGATCATTTAAACTGCATAGCAGCTTTAGATCATACTTATAAGAATAACCACAAATACTGGAAGGTCAAGAAATCAAACACTTTCAATAGAAAAAGTAAGATCGAGAAAACTTAATACACTTTACTCACAAGGCAATGCATATTAATCTACAATTATCAAAGAAACATATTTGTGTGACAATGGTTTGAAAAAAAATATTTCCAAAAAGGTAACTTCTCTTTTGGATGTAATTATAGGTGGTCTTTTTTTGTGTGGCTAACATGTAGGTTTTAAGAATGAACATCAACTTCATATCAAATCAGAAGTAATTATTCAATAACTTTTAATTCCATAATACTAAAACCTTTATGACAGGACATTACACTACATTTTGCCTACCTGAATATGAAAAATTTCAATATATCTATTAAAACCTACCCGTGTCTCACAATCATCATTTCATATGTCTGGATTATCTTTTCTTTGAAGAATTCAACAAACTGTAGGTTCTTTTTCTCACAGATTGTTTCCATGGCTTCCAAGAAGATTTTATAGTCTGCCTCAGGAAGGGTAACTCCAGGGAACAAGTCAGAGGTGATACCATTGAACAGAGGAATATCATGAGACAAGAACTTGGGAAGATTAACATCAATGATGGATCTTAACAACTGAAAGAACAGGAATAATATTTTCGTTTCATTATTTATTTTATTTTAGTTTCAGTACTGACCTAATAGTTTCCTTTGCTGTGATTTTCATTACTTATTTTTAACATACATTTATGTTGAAAACAGGAAGTAGATAAGTGACATATTTGAAAATGTGTCAAAATGTAAAAATTACCAGTATGAAGATTAGCACCAAATATTAAGAAGCTCTGATTTGTATTTGCTGAGAAAAATGTGATGAAATGTGTTAAAGATAAGCAGACAGAAGTAAATCAGTAGACCCCTCCTCTGTTGGTGCTTGGTATATTTGGCATTGAATCCAGGAAATCTAATTCAATTTCAGTGCTGCCAATATGCTTTAACATCAATACTTCAAATGCATGTCAAGTTTTTACCCTCAAGAAAAGGACTAATGTCAAAAACTATAACTTCCATTTAATGTTTTTCTCCCCTTGAGACTTTTTACCTTTGATATTTATGCTACTAGCTATTAAAGAAATGTCCTTATTACATTATGCAATAGATTATATGAAACAGTAGTCTAAATTTAAATTGAATTTTATTCACCAGTATATCTTCATCCTCGTCTGGAAATTTCAGTTTCAAGTTTCCAGCTGCAGATAACACAGCCTTGACAGCCCTCATTCCATAATCGTAGTGAAACTGTGATGACAACTGTTCTGAACAAAGTCTGTATACAGTCACAATCTTCACGGACAACGGTCTGGCATTCTGGAAACCAAATGAGTACAGTGAGATTTCAGCAATCATGGCATAGTCTGGTACCATCATAGCTACTGTACGGAAGAGAACCTTAAGATTGTCAGGAAGTTCAGATCTTCCAGCATAACCAGGGTTCATTGTAATACAGACATAACAGTTAGGATTAAGATCCAATTCTGTTCCTTCAAAGTTAAATGAGGTCATATGGCCCTGAACTGCTCTGATAATACATAAAATCTGAAAAATATAACAATGTTTAAATTTATTGATTATATTTATAGGTTTACTTTGGGACAAAAGCTCATACATATCCCACTCATCAATGAAAACTGGAATTACCTTCCATTAAAAAAAGGGTTACCAATATTTCCATTTTTCCTGGTAAGTGAGCATATAATATTTCTAAATTAGAGAAAAACTTCATTAAATTTCAAGAAAATGTTATCCAAATGACATCAAAGTCATGACAGACAAAAACAAAAAAAACAAAACACTATTACATAGGGTATGATAAAAATGTATGTAAAACCCTACCTCTTGTTTCTAATTTGCTTTAATAAAGCATGTGAAATATAAAAAATCATGATAGAAATTTCTTTAAAACTTGAACTAACTGGAAATCAAATTTAAAAGGATTGTCAGTATGATTTCATTTTGCACTCGGACAAATAACATTGATGACTTGACTGTGGCTCTCGTAGTTTTTTACCAGCTGAAGAGTTTGATTTGATGAATATATACAATTGGGTCCGAATTTTAAATGCACTGCAATAGGTGGAGAGAATCACAGTCAAGTCATAGTAAGATTCAACAAGGTTAAATATGTAATCTCATCCATTGAATTTAGTATTTCCGTATATTTGTTTTGGTATACTGTAAAAGATTTATAATCATTTACATGATTATCTCTTTGGAAAAGTGTCTTACCTGCTGTGCAATGACAGACAATACTTCTAAATCTATTCTGTTGAATTCATCAAAGCATGCCCAGGCTCCTGCTGAAGCCAATCCTTTGAAGAACTGAAAAGAGAAAGAAAATAATTTGTCAGAATACTTTTCCCAAGGTCAAATCCTTATATCAAAATTAAATGAATGAGGTAATATTTCAATCATATTCAAGGTAAATATCTGATTCAGTATCCATCATGGTATATCTGTAAACCAGCAAATACAGAAATCATACACAATTTTTTGGTCCATTGTAATATATACAATGTAGACAAGAATCTTACATTGTGTGTTATTATTAACATGATTAATCATCCATATCTCATTATGTTGGGTCAGTGTAGAATTTCACAGAAAAAAAAAAACTTCAACAAAACAAAGTATTTTGAAAACTAAGCCAACTTGCTACCTGAATAATGTATGTATTATGGGGAAAAAAAAGTAAACATGTTTTTGATTATCTGGAATACTGGAAACTATCCCAATAAAATAACACATTGGAGAACAGTATGCTAATAACTATACTATTAACATTCATGATACAATTTAACTAATGCTTTCTGCAGATTGGTGACCATTGGTCTGATTATCTTGCAATATTAAAGTTTCTTTGAAACAAGTGTTCCAAGTTGAATTTAGAAGCAAAATACTTAATTGACAGCAATAGTATCTTATTACTTACTTTTCCCATAGCCAAGTAATCCAGACCATCAGAACAGTTAAACACAACACACTGTACAGCTAAAGCTTTGGCCAGATCTTTGACTGTTTCTGTTTTACCGGTTCCAGCGGGACCTTCAGGAGCCCCATTCAAGTTGAGATGAAATGCTCCAATCAGTGTACGATAGCACCTGTCAGTAAGTGGTGTTATAACCAATCTAGCCGTGTTTCCTAGATACTCATAGGCATACTTCACAGTGGCATTTGTCATTCTGACTCTCATATTTTCTTCTTCCCAGTAGTATCTCAGCTGGGCTAGCCAGTTAAAATCATTCTCAGATGACACACCTAAAAAAAAAACATAATAACTATTTTCGTAAGTCTTTTTCAAGGTATTACTGCATACAATTTCATCACAAATAATTTGTTTTATGATGCAATTTTTAAAACTTTGCAGAATATTAATACTCTGATTATGCTGTGAAACATAATTCTTTAAAATAAAGTTATTTATGAAAGGTTTAGGTTTAATTTTAAAATGTATCAATGTATCATTGCAGTCATTTTTTTCAAACAAAAGATTTTTTCCTTTTATTTCATAGAAGTGAGCAGTGATGAAAAAGTTGCACCCTGCAAAAAATGAATTAAGAAGCACTTCACAAGTGAAATGTTTCATGATAAGCATGGACTGATGAACTATATAATCAGTACACATCCAATGGATTTGGTGTAAAGATGTCATAAACAGTCTGAGAACAGCATGCCCTTGTGCAATGCCAAAATATTCAATATTTGCAATATTCAAAGAACTTATTGTAGCCTTTAAGAATAGTTTTGTCCTCTTGTTTTCACTGTGTAACTTTATGTTTATACTAACTGAATCTATCAACAGCTTGTGTGAAAAAAAACACCTTATAACTACATCTAGAGATATGTGCTAATTGATATCTTAAAAACACTTCCTTAACTCAATTTCTAAAATAGGTCAAATTTCAGAAGTTTTATTTCTATTTCCAGCAAAATCTATGTATAACATTTCAATTCTACAGCCTAAATATATTAAACACAATGATCATTATGAAAAAAAAGAATGCCACATTGTATATATATGACCTATTTGTCTTACCTTTTTCAGCCATATCCAAGACACAGTCACGAGCATGTACATCTAGTACCACTAAAGCTCCAAGAGTAGTTCTAATCTGTTTTGACAGTTTTCCTCTTACCAGAATTACAATTTCCTGTAGTTGTGCCTGTAATTTGTTCCAATAATCTCTGAGTCCCTGTGGTCCAAGTCGAATGGCTTCATGGACTTCCTTGGTCCAGTAGGCCTGTGATACACACAAAACAACTTGTCCTGGCCATTCTCTCACCCAATCAATACGTGGATCTATTGCATAAGCCTAAAGAGTCCAAATTATAAAAGATTCAATTATCACATTTCAGCAGAAGAATAATGTGGAATATCATGATTTCTTGAATAAATTATTTCTGTATTTCACTATCAATCTACAGATATTATACAATGTGAGACAACAAACTACAAACTTTTAAACAAATTACTGTCCTATTCATTTTTGCACAAAGTTTTTAAGTTTACAAAATCTCTGACAAGAATGTGGGTGACATAGCTTCACAATCTACCAAGATTGATTTGGTACAAATAACGTGAACATTGATGTTCTTAATACTCACTCTTGATCTGTCCTTTTTTGCTTGCTTTTATGTTGAGAGTAAATTAACAACTTTTATACATGGAATTACTCAGCAGCAAACAAATAGTCATTACAATGGTTTATGAAACATTCACTATTTTTCATTATTAATGAAATTTTAAAGGTAAAAATAATAGATAACCTTTGAACAATTTTTAATTTTGGAAAAAATCATGCTGAATTTTCTCATTTAAAATTGAATATTTCTAAATCTGAAAAACTTTATCTATGATTATTTACATCCATTGCTCTTGCACAGACATCTTTGATGGACATCAGCATAACGTCCTGTACTTGTAACAGCCATTTCTCCACAGCTCCTCTAGCATCTGAAGTTGATATCACCTGTGAGAATGTAATTTTCTCTCCTTCACTGGAAAACATGGCATGAATGTCAAGTTTGGCATCAAATTCAAGTTTAGCAATGCCTTCAAAACATTTCTTCAAATGTGGTTGTACTCTCATTGGGTCTTTTGTCTCAGACAAGATTTCCAACATTTCATCGTTGGAAAGGAAAAAGAATCGTGGGAAGTATAAACGTTTCTTCTCAAGGTAGGCATTCAATCCTTTCATGATTTTGTCTAATAGTCCATTACTGTCCTGTAGTTTTTCCAATAATCCTTGTAAGCTAGTGGCTGCCAGAACCTAAAATAATATATAGGTCATGAAGATCATTATATTCTAGAACTGTGTTAAAAGCACAATGTTAATTACATGATGCATATATATGTCACATAGAATAATTGTTGCAAAGCTGCTGCTTAACATTCAGTTACTGTATGAAGAGCCAAATGAACAACAGAAAGCACTGACAGTCATACAAACAATATATAACCTTGCACAGGACTGACACACAGAACAAAAAATAAAATGCCTCCTGCTACTGTCGAGGGAGGGCATAAAAAACAAGTGAATCTGTGAGCTACTGCTCACTAATGATACCCTCGCCCCCGCTAAAAGTATAAGGTAAACAGGAAGTTTTTGAGTGATGAATCTGAAAACGCATCACACAGTATAGCTGACTCGTATAATCCCTGAAACCAAATTTCAGAAATCCTTGTAATGTAGTTCCTGAGAAAGATGCGACGAAAAATATTCATTGGACGGACTGACGGACGGACAGACAGAGGTAAAACAGTATACCCCCACTTTTTTAAAGCAGGGGTATAAAAATATTTCATTTATGCTTGGAGTAACTTTAAAACTTCTGCATTCAAACTATATAGCATCTGATAAAATGAAGATCTAAATTGCAGTAATCTTATACTCGTGTGAATCATACCTTAGGATCTCTAGTGGTATGTTTCATCACATCTTTCCAGTTTCTGTCCACAACCAAAAACAACCGTCCTTCTTCAGGCATCTGTTGCATGATATCTTCTGAGGAGAAGATAGGTTCCAAATATAGCCACTGTGCTTGTACTTTTAGCCATTCATCTATAGTATCCTGGATTCTGAGTAGACGCTCCTCCCATTCCTATAGAAAAAAGAATAATAAATACCAATGTATGGATCCATGTTTATTGTTGAAGACCATATTGTGAACTGTACTTTCTTATCTTAAGTGTAGGTTTATTTTCAAAAGTTTGTCACAAATAGCAGATAATATATATTGCAGGGCAGAAAATGTCTGCAAGGAAATATATGCCTATCTAGAACACAGCCAAATTTTATAAACACATTTAGAATTTATTTGACACTATACATTAAAACTTGAAGCTTCCTTATGTTACATCAATTACATTGTATCATAAAATACTAACACATACATTCATAATTCTAATGCAATTAAATTGTATTCAAAATTTTAATTGGACAAGATCATATATTTTATGAGGTAAATTCCACACTTTTAATAACAGTCTGTAACTAATTACTAATTGTCATATTGTTTAACAATTAACTGACCCTGATTTCTTTATCAAAAGGTTTAATGAATGGTGAACCTCTCATGGTCTGTGTTTTGACGATCTGATCATCCAGGGTGGTCTGTATGTCATCAACAGCTGACAGAATATTAACACCAGAGTCTCTGTATGGTGATAGATTGAAGGTGATGTTCTCCCAGTCTTCCTTCATCTTAATCATAGCCTTCTCCAGAGAGAATTCCTGTAACAAATTCTCATATGTTATTTTTGAACTACAATCAAATAGGGAAAATCTACTGTTAGAAAACAAAATTTTTATAAATCAACTTTATATATAGTCTTCCTTATATTTAGAAATAGATAGATTGAAAATGATGTTCTCCCAGTCTCAGCGATTTCCATACATCTTTTTTGCATACTAACAGTGGATAAGGACATTAAAATAAGCATATGCACATGAATTCTTAAAATCAGTCATATTACAAACAAAATTTACATAGCCTGAAAGTAATATTATTATTAACTGACATTACCTTTGAAGCACCAGCACTGATTCCTTCAAACATCTCCATGTGTGGTCCAAGTTCTAACTTAAGGACTTTTCTCAGTGTGGAACCAGAATCTGGTGTCATATCAAAGCCAGCAATGTTGGACATATTCGTCCAGTGACGTTCCCTCATACCTTTGTTACACATGATTGCAATCACCGGCACATTATCCTATAAAAGAATAGAAAACAGATTCATCAAAACTATCTTACCTTTTATCAACAGACCTTTTATCTTTGAATATACTAAGAAGCTTTTCTACAATACTGACAAAGCAAATCATTAATGCTTACTATTTACCTAGCTTGGTTTTTCATATATATTATGGGGTTTGAATTGAAAAGAACCTTGAATTTTTACTAACGTCAAAAATGTTAGCACAGTTCAAAAGACATATTTAAAACTTAGAAAGTCACAAACAAAAATCATTACATACTTTTGAATATTTAACTACTTCTATCTGACTAATTTATCTATACACATTTTACCATATGAAGGGTTAATCAGTCTTAATAAAAAGATGGTTAAAACTGTTCCTAAATCTAAACACAGTTATGTTATATCTTTCAACATATAAATATCCACTGTGGTTAATGATCTACCTTGAAATCTTTAGTTTGATCCATAACACTGTTACAGATATTAAAACCTTCTGGAATCTTAAGTTTGACATCCTGGTCCTCAGGATTCACTTCTCCATCTCCATCTTCTGCAAGTCGCCTCTTTTTCTTTTTATCCCTGTTGACTTCATCAATTTCCATCTGCATTTTCTTCACCTTCTGGTTAAATACTTTCTGGATTTTGTAAATTTCTCTAGAAAATTCATCAACCTCTCCATCTACTTGTTCAGCATCAAGGTCCAAAAAGGCTCCATCCATCCATCTAACAACAAAAAAGAAAATATGTACCAAGAAAGTAAAAAACTTTTACCCTTTTTTTTCAAATTGCCCCAATTTGTATTAAAGTGCAGAAAAACATGAATCATCAGAAAAGCATAACAAAAAAAACCTTATTCTTCAGAAAATTTTGTCCTTAAATGGTATTTCACAATAAATTCAACATTTGTCGTTTATTTTTACATCCCCTCCCTGATATATCAAATATATCCCTGTTTATGAAGAAATTGAAACAACTGACAGCCTAAAATGTTTTGATCTCTGACTGCCTTTCTACCTTAACCTTAATGTTAACATGTACCAGAAACAACATTGCCGATTTTTTTTATTGCTTTTTGCTCATGACCGGCAATAAAACCATATCTAATAAACTAGGGTATATTTTATGACTTTTGATAATAAAAGAAACCCCCAAAATTTACTTCATAAATGCATCTCATGACCAAAAAACTACAATTTTCTTAGGAAAAATTATACAATCTACTCACTTTTTCTCAGCTTTCTGCCATCTAAGGACAACATTAAACAATCTCTGGAATGGATCAACAGCAACTGTGATGTCATTGACATCTGGATATGTAGAGATGGGATATTTGTAAAGGGCCTCTTCCTGTTTAAATAAAAAAGAAGAAATGATCCAATTTGGTATGTAAAGAATATGTGCAGATATTTTGCAGCTATAATGAATAAGAAGTAGCTTGTTTTAGAGCATTAATTGATCTGTAAGTTTAATACTTTTTGCATCAAATCTTATCTTCAGTAAGCAACATTTCTGTTCATTTGTCTGTCTCACTTTGAATCTGTATTGTTCATTGCTATGATTTTTTTTGTACCAGTATTATAAACATTTCTAATAGTGAAGCCTCAATTCATTAGAGAGAAAATGCAGCATGTATTTCTGTGAAAAGTTGGAATGACAAGTCATGATTTTTTTAACAATAATAACTGGTTCAACCATTGAACTAAAACTTTTCTTTTTTAATTCTCCTCTACCATACCTTATTAATCCATGTAATCTGTTCTTGAACCTCTTGTAATCTTTTCTGTACAACTCTGACATCACCAACATATTGTTGCATCATGTCCATTTCACCGTAATCATTGAACTCATCTACTCTGGCACGTAATTTCTCAAGTTCTAATATAACCTTCTCTCTCTTTTCTAGGAGTTGTTTCTCACCACCGTGTTTGGATTTCTCTACAAGCTAGAACACAGATCAAATATGTTTATACTAATAATCAGGAAACATTTAACACAGCTGTAGAAATCAAAATTGATTTTACCTTAATAATGATTAAGAGTTTTAGCATTTCATGTTTTCTACTGTTTTATTAATATTTTGGTACCCCTCTACCTTTTTCCTAGGCTATACATTAAACAACCCTAGCACCCCTATATATCCTCTATTTTCAAAAACTTTCAAATGTTGTCAACTTGAATTACAGTAATATAAAAGACAAATTTAAAGATCGTATGTGTATAGTATAATTAAAGACTGGCATTGACAAATTAAAGGATCATACACTACACTTAACTGTTTCAGAATATAATGCATTCTGGGTAATATTTTCAAAGCATACACATAAACATTGCAATTGGCTAAAAACCTCTTGAAAAATAGAAATTCAAGCAATGAAGGTATGTTATTTTTTAATTTGGGGGTACACATAATGAAATAACCCAAAGTCCTTTTAGATAATGAAACAGCAAATTGTACTGCTACCAATAAACAAAATTATGCCTGTCAAAATATTGTTGGAACATATCTTTTTGACTGTATAAACATATTCTACCATCAGTGCAGATTTTTATTTTCAAGTTTTAAAGGACACAATGAAAACAGTAAAAATTATTGCACTGTGAAAATCTCTACTATCACAGTAGACTTCCACGAGAACTTACCTCATCATTTGCATCAAACACTGGATTTATTCGCTGTGGCCACGTGAGTGTCTCACAATTCAGTTCAATGTCTTCTGGTGGGAACATAAACACATCAATCAAATATTTCAATCTATTTTTGGATTCAGATATCCTATCGTTGAGTTTGACCATGCCCATATTTCTAGCATTTGTAATGAATGTCATCATTTCCATTAGATCTTCACTAGTTTCTGGTGTTTTCAAAGCTCTGTCTCGAATAACTTTGAATTCATTGCAGACCCTGCATACAAAGAAAATATTTATCAGAACTATTCTATTCCAAATCTTAATGTAAGAGAGAATCTAGAACAATCAATTTTTTGCATATAGTACAATGTTCAGGATTATTATGTTTTTTTTTCTGCTATTAATCCCCCTATAAAAAAAACCAGAAGGGAATAAAAAAAATTGGTTACAGTTGTGACTGAGATTTACATTACACACCTTCATGTGTGCAGATTGGCAAAAAAAAATAATTTTACTACTAAAATATTGGAACCCAAACACTTACGCTTGATTTTCAGTTCTGTGATCATTAGACACCTTTCTGAGGAGCTCATTAGCTAATTCCCTAGATGCTTCTGCTAATCCTCTCTTCAAATCTTCACAGTCAAGACGAATCATGTCAAAATGTTCAATACTTGGCAAACCCATAATTTCAGAGGCTAAATTTCTGTATTTGTCAATTTGCTGTAAAAGAAAGGATTTGTTTATATACAAACATAGGTGATATTTATTGGTTTCATAACGAGTGAGAATTGGATATCGCTTGATATCAACTCGAGTTATTTAATTTTAATATAATAATAAACGAGCCTTCAGCGATTTTATTATTACTATTTAGATTAAATAACAAGAGTTGATATCAAGCGATATCCAATTCTCACGAGTTGTTAAACCTATTTCTCTTATGGTCAACACTCTTTTTGTGTTAAATTAAAAATTCCCTGAATCGTTGATCTAGTCTTATGCACATACGATGCGTGACGTCATATGTCCTATTCCAGCATCAAACTTTAACATCAGACATTTTAAAATTTTTTGTACCCTTAAGAATGCAATCAAGTTTGACAAAAAGAAGATTTCCAGGTGAAAAGTGTGAGTGTTTTGTATATTATTGATGAAATCACATGTCCGTTACCATGGACAAAATGTACGTCGTCTTAACCTTTGAAAGTTATCAATGACCTAACTAATAGCCAATCGAAATGTCGTAAAATCTTCTCATGATGCTGGATAAGCCAATCAAATTAACGCAGTTTTAGTATCACTTTTTTGTATCACACTACGGGCAGTGTGATACGAGATATATCTCTTCATGCAAGAAATAGATAACAGGCCACAACCATAAGAGATATGTGATTATCACATGGTATAAAATTATTGTCTCTCGGTATCAAACTTCGAAAGTGAGCAGATGGTTATATTCAAATTACTGTTTATATCACAGTTCAAAATTCAAATGGAACAAAAAATAAAATTGAAAGTAAAAAAAAAATATGTCATAATTTACTTACATTCCTGAAAGTTTCATCTAAATCCATTCACTGGTTAAAGATAAGTTTTATATGCAATGTGCAGACAGATGTCAAAATTAACACAAACTATCACATTAAACTGCCTGCTTTACTAGGTACAGGTTAAAAAATAAAACTAGTTTAGGAGATGAAGAGTCATACTCATTAAAGTAGAGAACCAGGACTATTTACTTACTATTTGATATTCAGCAAATGTATGTTCTTCCTTTACATACTCTCTGATTTCTGCCAAAGCCTCTCCGTTAACAATATAATCATATCTCTTTACTGTAAGAACAAAAAATATTTATCAAATTGGACAATAACATATTATCAAAATAAAACACCATCAATTATATATTTAAAAGAAACTTATTAATAATTCATTCAACAATACCAGCTACTATGAAAAAGGTAAAGTTTTAATTTAAAAAAAACATGCTTATTAAATTTCATAATTTTCAAACATTATCTACCAAATGATTCTAGATGATCTTCTGGATCCTTGAAGTATCTCTTTACAGCTTCCTTCAGTCTGTCAGTAGATTTCTTCAAAATATGATCAGCAACAGATATCTCCATCATGTTAATAGCACTAGCTCCTGACAGCCATTGTTGTATGTTAGGTAACTGTTGCATAGATTTACATATCTGTTCCACAACATACAGAACTGTCTCCTCTAGATCTTCCTTCAGTGGATAAAACTGCATCTTCTCATCATCAAAAGTCAGCTCCATCTTCAGAATGGGTAGATATCTATGGTCAGCTTCATTAAATAAATCTACGTAGGCATTGATTGATCTGACTATCAGGTCTTTCAGCTGTAATAATACAATAACAATGAAGAGATACAAGAAAAACAGAATTAGGTGATATAGTGATCATAGGTACTCCTGCCTGAAGCATAAGTCTTGAACAGTATATGTCTACTGTCAAAATCAAACTTGACCTGTTTATTATGTCCATGATATTGATGTGTTGAAATTCAAAACTATTCTTTCAAATGAAACATTTACCATCATATGGAAACCAAAAATTCTTCAAATTTGAAAGAAAATTAGGGAATATCTTCTGATCAGAAAATTTCAAATCAATCAGATTCATACTTCACCTAAAGTTTACAGTCCTTTACATTATCTTAAGTGCTACTTTAGATATCTTCAGGAAACCAAAAGAGAAGAAAAAACTTGAAACAGTCAATGCCAAACCTACCAAAATCCAACTTGATCTTTAATAAGTCATTGCTTTCCTTATTTTCAATTTCATAGATTAATATTTTCAACTGAGAAAGTACAAAATGAGATGACAGACTGACTTGAATGGACAGACAAGTAGGTTTAAAATATAATTTCCTACACACATGGCTGAACTGGCAAGGGGTATCATATATAAAGCATTTCACATGCTAATGCTGCACCTATAAACGACATCTGTACTAATATCGCTTTTATCTGAACTTATATCCCTTTTTACTGTCACATACCTGGTTTGTGATAAGTGTGGTTACACTGTTATAGAAAGAATCTATTTTATCTGGTTTTACTGTAGCTATACATGTTTTGTCTGTGAAAATCTGGATAATATCCTGCCACCAGCTACAAAGAAAACATGACAAATCTGTTTAATATTGAGGCAAAAATATAGCATGCAAAATACCACAAAAAAAACTTTGCATAAAATCATAACAAAAATTCATTATCAATTTACTAAAAAGACATTTTCCCTCCTAGTTTATAATAATAATCACTATTAAATTCTATATGGCTCTCTCTCTTAACAAAAAGATACTGATATGGATTTTACATGGACTTAAGTGTACACAGGGTATCATTACCAGTTTTTTTTACCTAGGACAGCAATATGACATTGGGCAATTCTGTGGTTATGATATATATATATTTGCAAAAACCAAAAGTTTTCCTTATAAATATGTGATAAGGGCAAATATCTAATTATAATCAATACAAACCTATTCATCAATTTTTCTTCTGTCTTTTCTATTTCTAATGTCACATTATTTCTGAAGGATTCAAATTCTATTGGTCCTTGTACTCTGCAATTACAAAACAACTATTTAAAAAAATACATATTTACATTTACAGCTCTTATAATATTTTGCTAATAATTTATGCTATAATTTACTGTTTGATAATTTTTTTACCATAGTCAATATTTTAACAGACAGATAAAGACCTGAAATGTAAGTTATATCTATTACCTGAACTGAGAACAGTCAACAAGGAGCATATTTCCTAGTGTTGTCTGATACATGTTGTAGTTTACCTGAACTGTGAAGCGTCAACAAGGAGCATATTTCCTAGTGTTGTCTGGCACATGTTGTAGTTTACCTGAACTGTGAAGCGTCAACAAGGAGCATATTTCCTAGTGTTGTCTGACACATGTTGTAGTTTACCTAAACTGTGAAGCGTCAACAAGGAGCATATTTCCTAGTGTTGTCTGGCACATGTTGTAGTTTACCTGAACTGTGAAGCGTCAACAAGGAGCATATTTCCTAGTGTTGTCTGGCACATGTTGTGGTTTACCTGAACTGTGAAGCGTCAACAAGGAGCATATTTCCTAGTGTTGTCTGACACATGTTGTGGTTTACCTAAACTGTGAAGCGTCAACAAGGAGCATATTTCCTAGTGTTGTCTGGCACATGTTGTGGTTTACCTGAACTGTGAAGCGTCAACAAGGAGCATATTTCCTAGTGTTGTCTGACACATGTTGTGGTTTACCTGAACTGTGAAGAGTCAACAAGGAGCATATTTCCTAGTGTTGTCTGACACATGTTGTGGTTTACCTGAACTGTGAAGAGTCAACAAGGAGCATATTTCCTAGTGTTGTCTGGCACATGTTGTGGTTTACCTGAACTGTGAAGAGTCAACAAGGAGCATATTTCCTAGTGTTGTCTGACACATGTTGTGGTTTACCTGAACTGTGAAGAGTCAACAAGCAGCATATTTCCTAGTGTTGTCTGGCACATGTTGTGGTTTACCTGAACTGTGAAGAGTCAACAAGGAGCACATTTCCTAGTGTTGTCTTACACGTGTTGTTGTTTACCTGAACTGAGAACAGTCAGCAAGGAGCATATTTCCCAGTGTTGTCTGACACATATTGAGGACTTTCATCATAGCAGGATGTAAAATGTGAAGGTTTTCTCTGATGACTTCTCTAGCATCTACAAAGTCACCATGCCATGGTCTAGAGTAGTCTAATCCCCTGTAAAATAAATAAACAATTCAATGCAGAAAAGTAAATCCCCCCATACCACCTCTTAACTAGTACGTATTTATGTTTTCCACCTTTTTCTGTATCATTCTTTTCATTTCTATTTATCTTTGTTACTATTATAACAAAATTATTTCATTAATCAGGTATTCAGATGGAGTAGTCTGTACTACACTCAACTTTTCTTTAGCTGTTGACACATATCAATTATATCTTGTGAGAGCTTGCAATAGTAAAATAGTTATTACATGTATACCTTCTATTGTTGAACACAGCAATTGTCATGCAAGTGCATGTTCTTTTATATTTTTAAAAACTGAAGTAAAATTGAGTATAAATTCAGTGTTTAAAACAGTTCAAAGAATTGAAATGAACTTTCAAAAACTGTTTCTTCAAACTTTAACAAAGACCTTTCATTCTTCAAAGAAAAAAAAAGAAGAATGTGTCTGAGGACACGAATGCCCCCACTCAAGCTTGCTTTTTAAACAAAAATGGGACGGACGAAAAGATGGTCAAATAAACACTTAATCCCCCCTTCGCCTTGCAGCGGGGGCATAAAAACAATGTTGTTTGTCAATTTAGTTTGTCTAGAAATGAGGAAACAACACATGATTCACATTAATTGCTGCATATTTCCCTAAAATTGTATTTTAAATAATAATTAAGTTTAACATAAGCAAAATGAATTGATTATATAAAAATGTCAAGCATACATGAAAAACATCTAGAAAATGACAATGATATAAAAATCTGAAAAGTGAAAGGCTAAAATATATACCCAAAAAGGTGGATGTTGATTGTTTTTACAAATTTCTTATTGACCCTCAGCATGATGGGATGCTGAAAGAGACAGTTTTTCAAAGTCCTGCACAACGAGTGGTCCTTGATGAGCAACTTTGTCCACAAAGAAATGCCCTTTGAAGAAAACCTTTCTTGCTACAGTTGTCTATGGAAGGCCATTTTGGTAAAATAAAATTGGCCTAAATCGAATATTTACAATTTTTGAGTAAACATGGTCCTCAAACCAGAAGTAGTAACTTCATTGCACTAATCTTCTAAACACAATCCAGATATAGGACTCACTTGGTAAGGGTAAAAAACTTAATAAGGTATATCAAATCAATTCTTTTTCAACCCCCAACAATTTTAGATAAAAGATTCCAAAATACTTGAGAGAATAAATGTGTTGCTTTCTACCCCATATTTGCATGTAATATATGAGGTTATGCTTTCCTGAAGTATAGAGAACCAGATAAGATTTACTATCACAACAATAACAATAGTTGGGGAGAACAGGAAATGATACTTACATGAAACTATATCTATAACATATATATATGTAATTCAAAATAATAGCCATAGAAATAAAGGATAGAATCTGTAATCCTACAGACAGCAATTTGGAAGACTTTTTCATAAACATGCAGCAGAATGGTGATTTTTGGGAAATGAAATGAAATAAACAATTTGTTTTATGATACTATAATAACCAAGTAATAAGTCTTCATTATAAGAAAAGTTTATTGTAAAATGTTAAAAGGTTTTATTATATGACTATAAATTTTGTGTTTTCTCATTGGCTAAAAACATGGGAAATCCTCTTTGATTGATTATAATCACTGCGGCTATAATCATGATAGGTTAATATAAGATTTGGAACAGCGTCCATTTACCTAAATATAGATATTCCAAGGCAACGTCAATGACAAAGGCTAACGACGTCATGTAAATTCCTGTTTATTTCTTTTTCTTCTTGTTTGCGGTGTAATTTTTCTCTTCTTCTTGTTTTCTGTGTATTTTTTTAGTAAACTTTATTGAATATTTCAACTTATGAAAATTAGCAACTGCAAAAGCAGATGATATATTTAGTATAAAAACAGGGAGCAGTTTTAAAAGTATCTTAAGCAAATACTAGAAAAATGATGAAAGATAAAAAGTCATATAATAAAACAATTGTCGTCTTTTGATTTTAGTTGATACATGTACTATGATTTAACAACTCGAGAGATATGACATTCACCCTCGGCTGTTGGCCTTGGTGTATGTCATATCTCTGGGGTTGATGAATAGAGAATAATACATGGCAAAATCCGTATCATATGCCGTTTCATCCAGAGATACCAATATCAGCCCGAGGGATGATATTGGTCGAGGGTGATACGGATTTTGCCATGTTTTATACGTTTTATCATATATTTAAACAGGAGAGTATATATGAACTGCTTTCTGATCCCTAGCACCTGGGTTACCTTCAGATTTACTTTTGTCTTGTTTTAAAAGCTTTAAAAGAACTGCTTAATTATTCATCCGAAGCACCTGGGTTACTTTACAATTGGCGTCCTGTTGTTCATAGAAATATTTTTTTATGTTTTGTGTGGTATTTCATTGAGTTCTTTTTTATAGTTGCATTTCGTGTGCCAGAAAATATGAAAGCTCGACGTCTGTGACGTCACATGCCAAACAATGACGTCATTCATGTCCTTACGACCGTTTCATTTAGGACCCATTGAGGAAAAATATTTCTAGAGAAGCTGGCATAAATTAAAACATGGACTTCATGTAAATTTAGTCGGAATCACTTCTGTCATAAATGAGAAATTTGAGTAGGGGTGTGATAAAGGGTGCGCATTAAAGCTTAGCGATACGGATTAAACAGCAGGCTATTTATTAAATATTCAAAACTACTGTATTTACTACTAAATATATGATAAATCATTGTATCAACCTCATCAAAAGTCAATAATTGTATAATATCAGTCAATCAGATTAGATAAATGAAATGTTATGATATCTACTATGAAATTTTTAAAAGTTGTTTATGTTTTTTTCTACTATGAAAACAATCAATTCATAGCGAGCCTTACTAGCTGAAAACTGACTATATGCTACTAAGTCTTCCTATAAATTTTTTTTACTTCTACAACTACACAAGTTTAACTATGACATTTGATCTTCGACCCTATATACTTACTCTGGCTCTGCTGGGGGTGGTCCAGCTACATCACCGTCTAGTCCTTTTACCTCTGGTTTTACTAATACATGTTGAACTGAAAATAGATTCAAAACTTAAATAAATGATGCTGTAAATGTCACAGGCATAGAGTAACTCAATTGAACATAATTATCAAATATGTTTTAGCAAAATATAATGTCATATTCAAAACACAGAACCAAGTAGCAGGAACTGCACTGGCCTCAAAATACTTGTTGCCAGATAAATTGCCAGCTTCAAGTTTTGTCACCAGTATTAGAATATTTACACAAAGTTCCATGTAACCCCTTCTTCAGATGTGCATCAAACTATTGTATGCCTTCATATGAAGTTAGATTTTTCATATGAGATATAATTTTTTAATAAAGGTTTCCTTGGTCATCGTTTATCATTAGAAGACTTTCTTACTTTAATAGCAAGCAGAAGATAACTTACATGTTTGTTTACATTGAAACTGAAATTAAATCATTTTTAACCTTGAAGAAACTGCAAATCTTTCAATTTTGTTTTACAAAGTCATTGTATGTTATATTTAATATTCAAATTTTAAGTCCTGTGATTAGATTCATTTACTACAAGTTCATCATATACAAAAACTTGTAACAACAGGACAATGAACATTATCATCCCATTGAAAGTTATCTCCCCTGAAACTGTACCAAGTCGTTGTACACTTGATACTTAACCAAGAGCAGGACAAATGGATCACACAGACCAAAATACAATGTTCCAACCATTTTAAATAAATAAATAAAATTTACCCATGGATTTTTTCATGCTTCCAGTATAGTCTTCTTTTATTTCCTCAAACAATTCATTGATAACTTCTTTGAGAGGAACAGTGTGTTGTAATTTCTCTGGAATCATGGTCAGTATATGTTCTGACCATTCTTTCTGCATAGGTGTGATAGGTCCACTTTCTACACATTTCTTCAGATACTGGTAATTCAGCTGTAGTAAATTATGCAACAGTATGAATATTTCATTTTAGAAATGTAACAGCTTTGACATGGTACATTTTCAATGGTGACCAATTAAACTTTACTTATTCTGGAAAAAATCACATTTGTATTATTTGAATTTTTATGAAATGCAACATATTCAACTGCATTTCTGAAAGTCCTGTACCTCACAAAAAGCTTTTTAAGCTGCACCATCTGTACATTCATCATGGTTTTGACAATGTTACATATGTTGTTTAGTCACTGACCATTTTAAAGACTTGTTTGGACCAATTCATGAGTAATTCACTTGATTACAGATATTTACAAATTTCATCATAAATTTTTGCGTGTGATAATAATATTAGACAATGTTCAGGTGAATGTTGTATAAAATTAATAAATTACAGGACTGAAATTAAAGGATGGGTATTAAGTCATTTAGAATAGTAAATCTTGTGATAGATGACTGCATTTTTTCTAAAAGGATAAGATTAAGAACTCTAAAAGCAAAAGCATCAAACATTATTTATACAACTAATACTTATAATGTATTCCTAGTTGAATTGATTATGAAAAGACTTTTAGGGCTAAGAAAAGCATTTGATTTACCTAACTATGTATTCGACTCATCTTCTTTTTTGTAGAGTAGTTTTATTACATAAATATCTTGGTAAGTGCAAAAAATTGCAGTGTCTATTTGATTATGTTTTTGAAGATAATGAAATGTATTTTAACTACATAAATATTGGTAATGTGTATTTCAGAAAATTTCTTTAGACATTTTTTGACAAATTTTAGGTGTTTTTTTTCAGTATAAAATCAGTATGATCATATATAATAAAAAATAAATCTTTTCAATCTCATTTGCCAAAGTAGAGTTTTAACTATTATTTAAGAACATAAAAATCTATCAATATTTGGAAAATTACCAAGTGCAGGTTCAACAAAAGATCTTTAAAAAGGTTTAATCAATATTAATCAGTGGTTTGTTGTAGTCTATTAAACTTTAATGTAGATAGACATTCTGATTCATAACAGAGGTCAATTGTGTTATCCAGAACAGCTGATCATTACATGAATTTTTTAAGTAAATAATGATAATATTTGGAAATGTATCAAATCATGGGGAAAATTGATTATATAAATAAAAAATGTTTTACACCCAAGGTAAATGGTATTCAATCCCATAATAAACTTCAAGCTTACAAAACTGACTGTTATGAACAAGTCAAGAAAGAGTTCATTATATGAATAAAGTGAGATCTGTGGTATGTATCCCAATGACCAGAAAATCAAAATACATTGTACGAGTTTACATACAGATATCAACAAAACACAGGTCTCTTAAATGGTTGCACTCCCATTCATGTCATCTTCAGGACTGGATTTGCAAATTTACCAATTGTATTACTTTTTTTATGTTTTAAATAAAAAAAAAAAACAATCCATTTTATTTTCAAACAACTTATAAGTGACAATTTAATTGTTGATACTTTCAAAAACTTGTAATATTGCATAAAAAATTGGTGATTCAAACGAGACATTGATGAGAATACTTAGTTATTACATGTAATATACTTCATATTATAATGTTTTATAATAACTAGTCTTGTCTTAGGCAAATTAAAATCACAAAACATGAGAGGTATTACAGAGAGAAGCAGGTATGTTAGACTGATAGACCATAAGACTATGGGTTAAGCATAAAGACATGTTTCATTATTCAAAATTACTTTAAATATCAGGCCTCAACAATAACTTTTTTTTCAACTTGTCCAGTAGGACAAGTACATACCAAAACTTACTTGTCCGAATGAAATTGTAACTTGTCCAAAAAAAATCTTAATAATAACCTTTTTTGCATTTTAAGTTGATTGAATTAAAACAATAGAACAGAATTTTATTTTAACATATCTTTTGCAATACTTTTCAAAAATATGAGTCGAGAACAACTGAATCTAGTCATATCACAGGACTTAAGTTCTAGTTTTCATCAATGCCAAAGTCTCATCAGACTCTGCACATGAGGCACCGTCTGATAGGATTACCAATGTACACTCATTGGATTTGTATCCTGGTTTTTTAAGTTGAAAAAAGTTTATTCAAATACAATCAATAAAAAAAAGAAGATGAGGTATGATTGCCAATGAGACAACTCTCTGCAAGAGATCAAATGACACAGAAATTAACAAAGTATAGGTCACCCTATTGCAAGTATTGTTTTTTTCTACATATGATCAAATATGGTTTTGTGAATTTTATGGTAAATAATTTCTTCATTTTTATTTAAAAAATATTTTTGTTAAAAAAATTACAGGTATGGTATTTATTATAAAGCAACAGAATAAGGTAGGAAAATGAGGTACTGATTTGTCTTGGTCCCGTAATGTCTCCTGCGTTACCAAACTGTCTATTAAATATGTCTCCTACGGTGCCAAACTAACTGTCTATTAAACTTGGAGCCGAATCGCTTCCGAGCTGGTGACGAACTGTCTTGTAAATTTACCTTATCTACAAAGCGCAGCGATATTCGGATCAGTAAGACTGGTTTCCGAGAACTGTTAAATAGTACCTGACAAAGAACCAGTTTTAAATTATCGATTGCAAGTAAACATGTCAAATTAATACTTGTTTTTATCTTCTTTTCTTGTTTTTGGTTTATAATTACTTTGTTTATCAAAGTTGGATTAAATTTATTTTCTGCAGAATAATTTTACTTGTCCCGTCGGACAAGCTTGATATAGCTTTTACTTGTCCGACCTTTTTTTCCTCTGGTAGCGGACAATCGGACAAGCGTTATTGTCGAGCCCTGAATATATAGTTCATATCACTTTTTCAGTTGGTATAGTCAGCCTGTATTCCTGTACTATACAAGTTAATAACGAAAAAGGTAGGTGACAACAAACAAGTGTAAAAATATTTACATCTTCTTAAATATCCCCCAAAATTCTCTAGATCATAAAACTGTATTAGGATTTGTTATTAATAATTAAATGGATAAACCTAGGTGAATCATGTGCAAAGTTTAATTTTAAAATTTTCTCAACTAATTTATATTTCTATAGATGAATCTAAGATTTATTTTTTCTTTTGTCAACATTCTTGCAAGGTTCTGGTGTCTTTAAAACATGAAAATGATAAGACTAATTTTGTGATATTTTCAGTAATTGCTAATGATTTGACTGAAACAAACAATGCAGGTCAAGGTGTATGTAAATTACTTAAGATTTTCAAGGCAAATTTGTTTTAACTTTTTCTTCTTCATAAGTCAACAATGGACGATACAAAAATTCAAACTGTCTTAGGGACAGAGATCTGAATCTAAAATGTAAATTACTAAAACATCTGCTAGGACTGGCAAAGAACACTCATAGCTATCTATCATAAGAACTTACAAAATTACTGCAACTAAAATGTTTTAACAGGACATTTGAAACATGCCTTTAAAGAGCATTAACTGAAACTTTTCTAAATATGGCTAAATACACACAAGTGGGCTTCATAGGCAAAGAAAGTACATTTACTTCAAGATTAAAGGGAACCACAGAATTAAATATTCCCTTCTTTTGATTCTAAAAATATTTCCATCTGTATCTATAATGGTGACAGTTTACCTGAGTCATATTCCTTTATTTCCAATATTTATGTTAAGATAGAAATTTTTTGCTTCTAATAGTTCTGTCACATTCATTCAACTTATTCAATGAAAAATATGGAGGTAAAATAGTAATGCCAAAAAAGTTTAGAAAATTAAAATCCCAGTCAGTAGAATACCAGGGTGTTGGATAAGGCATTCTTTAACTCATGTGATGACATTTTTAGTATCAAAAGACCTAACCACTAAATCAATTTCAATTAATTATATGTTATATAATTAATAAGAATGGTAATTTCCTAGATACATTGTATAAGCCAATTTAGAAAGGTTTCACAAGTTATGACACACAGGATCTGTTAGTAAGCTACCACCATCCTATACATACCCTGATTCTACGATCCTTTCCCATCATCTAATAACATAATACAATGTACAGTGTGCATCTACTACTACTACTTATATATATGTACCCTAACAATGAGGTGCATGATATTACAATGTGCATTGTTTTATTACATCTATCGTCAATACATACCCTGATTTTACGATCATTGCTCATCATCTGGTGAATACAACATGCATTGTTACAATGACGACATTAAATGTGTTTTTCCTTGTGCATGTGGATGAACTAAACTTGTTCCAAGTTGTGTAAAACTTAACCCTTAATTCCCTCAAAACAATGATTTATTACATCTATCGTCAATACATACCCTGATTTTACGATCATTGCTCATCATCTGGTGAATACAACATGCATTGTTACAATGACGACATTAAATGTGTTTTTCCTTGTGCATGTGGATGAACTGAACTTGTTCCAAGTTGTGTAAAACTTAACCCTTAATTCCCTCAAAACAATGATTAATTTGAATTACAATTTGTTCTGAGTTACCAGAAATTAAAATAATCCAGTATATCGGAATACAAAATGTTCAGTCAACATTTATATTATAGATTCCCATCAGAGATCTGACGAAAACTAAGAGCTTCATTTTCACCCATTTATGAACATATTAACATCTCATTAACATTGTTGTGTGGTCAATTTTGCCATCTTCATGTACCATCACATCTAATAGACTTCAATTACTTCAGAATCTTCTTATTGCTCATTCAGGACAGTGAATTATTTGTTGGCAAAATCTTTTGATTATATGGTGATTGCATATAATTCTTTTGTTTTACCAATTGTGATAAAACTTAAAAAAGGACTTTTAATTTTGAACCAGTGCAGTCTTAACATGGCAACAGATAACAAAAAAAGCTAGCATAAAGCTCCTACCTCTGGAGGATAGTCTGGACTTGGTGGTTTTTCTGGGGCAATGCTGTTTAATTCTTGGGTCTCTTCGTAATCCTGCATGGATTTTTCAGTTCTATAAAATAAATATAAAAACAATTTCAATAAGTTTTTCCTAAACTTTCATATCACAGGGAATCAATCGTCACTAAGATCATTTACTGGCTATGATGAGACATTTAATTTTCTATTTTGGAGTTTCAAAAGTAATGTATGATTGCATATATATTAATACAATAGAATGAACATTAAGTGATAGATAAATTTACAAATAATCTAGAAAAAAAAAACGTGCTTGACAAATTGAAAAAACCCGTGCCAGTGCGTCTTGAAGACTACTTGAAATGTTTATGGTGATACACAGCGTGGGTTTGTGTTTCTCAAACTGTTTTTTATGCACTGATGCATTATGTTGATACTGATAGTTTTCAGTGGCGGATCCAGAAATTTTCATGAGGGGGGGGGGGGGGGGGGGGGGGGGCCCACTGACTGCCTAAGAGGGGTCCCGCTCCAGTCATGCTTCAGTGATTTCCAAAATAATCATCCAAATTTTTCCCACAAAAGGGGGGCCTGGGGCCCCTGGAAAACCCTCTAAATCTGCCTCTGGTTTTGATTAGTTTGTCAGTTCTTCTACCATAGGAAATTGAAATTCCAATTAGTAGCTTCTGTCTCTGTGTTACACAGGTGCTCCTAGAACGGAGGAAATAACTCAGAGAAGAAGAAGACAACCTAGAACACTGATGATTAAAACATTTCTCAGTGGTGCTAGTTTGTAGTATTTCTTTTTTTTTCGAAAGGTGCAAGTCAAGTTCTGTCTCTGTGTGATACGGGTGCTCCAAGAACGGAGGAAATAACTAAGAGAAGACAATCTAGAACTCTCTGATGATTTAAAACATTTCTTCAGTGGTGCGAGTTTGTAATATTTTTTTTAGATTGGTGCAAGTTCTGTCTCTGTGTGACACAGGTGCTCAGAGAAAGGAGGAATTTACTATGAGAAGAAGAAAACAATCTAATGATTAAATACATTTCTTCGAGTTTATTATACTTCTTTTTTTTGAGTGGTGCGAGTTTGATAAAGTGATGCAAGTTGTAATAATAAGTGAGAGTGTTTGAGTGGGGTGAGTTGGCCTAGGGCCGAGTTGTCATAAATCCAAGACAAATTGAATACAAAATCATTTCCGCCTGCTTACAAAATGTAGACGGTAAGGAACCAGCTACTGAACTTTATTTGGGGTTTAATTAATTAAGCTACGCTAATTAAAGCAATTACTATATGAAGTTATAAAGTACATTTCGTACACTATATATTTATTATTATATAATACTTTAGAAGATCGTAGGCTCGTAGACAAACCGGCTAAAAAATGTTGGTCTCCAAATTTATTAGAATAGATAGCATTGGAATATAATGTACATGTACATGTAGTTTTCAAGTTTAAAAAAAATTAAAACAACAAAGCATTTCATCTTTTACTGTAAAGTCTTTACTCTTTAACATCTAACAAACCTATTTAGTACTTTTAATGTACCGGTAACAAGATCATAATTTAAGATAAATTTGGGACAAACTTACAAAATATTCATAAGCATGGCTTGTTTGGCATTGGCCAACCTGTAAGTCATCAGTTTACTGTTGGCATAGGGGTCATCAGCCCTCTTCTGTGGTTTATTGATTGGGGGAAGTCTAGGATATCCATTAGGTCCAATACTTCCAAGTTTGGTCCTCTGAGGTCCATTAGAATTTCCATTAGGTAATCCATTAACACCATTGGACACTCCGTTTGTGGAGGCTTTACCACTCATTGATGTCATCTGTATAAAAATAATAATTCTTTGAATATTGGTTGAAATCACATTATATTATTGCTTTGTGTGAAACCTGAATAACATTTTACTGCAAGCTACAAGTACATGAATGTGTAAAGTTGCTCTCAGAAAAGATATCAGTTTTCACAACATGCTAGTGTACTTTCATGACATTCCAAACAAGTAAGAAAAATTATATTCCCAGCTTTGAAGATGTTATTTGTTTATTTGGGTTTTGACAAGCTATTCAGCCAGTCAACATGTAAATTTATGTGATAATTATTTGTAATTTTCAAGTCTCCTTCCCAGACAAATAAGTCTTCAATTTTGAAGCCCGACTCCAGGTGAGGGATTTTCTTGCTGCGTTGAAGACCCATTGGTGGCCTTGGGCTATTTGACAAATTCCCCGTTATTCATTCTCTATTTCATTTCAAATCAAAACTTATGTATATGATGAGAAATATAAGCACTATATACATAGTATCTTCTTTTCCATTACATTTATTGAGTTTAGTTACATGCTGTCTACATGTCATAAATAATATTTTTTCATTTGTCTTAAGACATTTAAAATCATTAAATTACCATCCTTATATGATTGGTAGTTCAATTTGTATTTCATTTATATTCTTTTATCAATTAACATTATTTTAAAGAGGGTAACTTATATGATTATATATTCATCATTGACACTAAAACGTTATTAATGTTGACATCGATAAAAAAAAAGAGACTGACAGAATTTTTGAGGTTGAAATTTTGAAAAAAATGGAAGATTTGAATTATTAACAGGAGGGAATGAAGAGGGCTTAAAAATCGGGAGATTTTGACTCCCGCCAGAAAGTACAGGATCTTGGGATTTTTTTTGAAGTACATGTAGGCGATCCCTGCTGGAATACACCTTATCCCTATATTTATTTCAATCTGGATAAGTTCTGACATTATATAACTTTTTCATCCTGTTGAAGCTATCTGGGGCCCTGTTTAAACTATGTATAATGCGTATAACTTTTCAAAGAGACATGTTTAAACCATTGTAAACATTTCATACAAAGCATTTGTACGATTTTAATTTGTGTTTTAAAAAAGCGGATCATAATCTATCATAGTTTCAAAATGTCTGCTTTACTGACGCAACAAGCACACAAAATTAAGGTAAGAATTTGTATATACATGTATGCACACATTTCTAGCTGTCAGTGAAGATTTTGAGTTAAAATTGGGTCTCAAAGTTCAACCAAAAAAATGGCAGGTACCACGATTTCCTGAGGATTGCAAGAACAAATGAATATCCCAAGGACAAATAGATTTGTCCCGAAAACATGATTTTACATGGTGTTATACTACTTTAAACAATATTAAAGAATATAATTTTAAGATATTATTCGTTTTTACTCAATAAAAGTGCAATTTCACTTCAAGAAATTGATAAGTAGGTCTTGTATGCAAATTCCTTGTTGAAAACAATATGGCGGACATAATTATTCAAAAGGTAGACAACTTAAAAAAAATAAAAGTATTAAAAGTACTGAAAGAATAGATTCTTTAAAAAACCTGAAATGATGAAAAGTTAATACAGTTATCTTCTTTCGGGTATTTAAGCTTATCAAGCTACAGTACTTTGCTTTCAAGTCGAGTTATCTACATGTACCTTATGAATAATTACGTCCGCCATATTGTTTTCAACAAGGAATTTGCATACAAGACATACAAAATGATTTTCTGAAGATAACTTGTACTTTTATTGAGTGTAAACGACTAAAACGTCTTAAACTTTATAATTTTATGCTGTTACACTAATTTAAGCAGTATAACACCATGTAAAATCATGTTTTCAGGACAAATCAATTTGTCCTCGGGATATTAATTTGTTCTTGCAATCCTCGGGAAATCGTGGTACCCAAAAAAGGCCTCAGCACAATATGAAGTTGTAGGAAATCATCACAGCAAAAATATAAAATAGCCTTTATTAAAGACAACAAAATTATTTGGACTACTGCTTTAAATAAATTCAAACTCTTCTTAACACATATAATTATGCAAATAATCATATTAATTATATAACAATACTTATTGTATCTACTGTCTTACTGTTGCAATCACCAATTTATCTTCTTTTGCTGTTAGCAGGTGCTTGCAGCAACTGTTACATATAATTTTCCCTTACATAAATGGCTGTAAGTTTTTTTATTGCCTAAATACATAGCACTTATTGAAACGATTCGAGACGGTGCTTCACATGGCACAATGCCATAAACGAATGTCAATGCCAAATCCAACAAATAATTACAAAACCAATGCCAATGCATAATGTCATTAATGACCATAATCACACTTTTCTCGTGTTTTTCAACTTGTAATACTCACCGTTAAATTAAAACTTTAAAAAAATACACCTTATATTTGCTTCGCTATTCCTTTCGTGATTACATTGTATCAATTTTGACCAAAAATTTAAAAAGTTCAAAAAAATGTTCCAATATTCGCACTGCCTGTGTTGTTATGGCGCAAGCCACCCCGATGAGCTTTGTTACGACTATTCTGATTGGATACACTTTAACGTTGAACCAATTAGATAAGGCGTTGTAAAACCAACTCGGCTTCCATTTGGTTACCTAGACGTCATGAAAACAACCTTTAATGGCGGCATTATGTACATGATAGTTTAGGTAGATTTTTTATTGACACATTTACACGGATTTATTCATTCATTGCATGGTAATTTCACAATATTCCATAAATATTCAATGATCCGTAAAGTTGCACAGTCAGTATAAATTTTGTCTATCAGAAGAAAACAAATTGTAAGAGGATACCAAAACAGGTCAGGAATAACCACCAATTGGTGGATTATACCTCAATTGACGTATAATCCACCAATTGACATATATTGGTATAGACCAATTGACGTATAATGCAAGTTTTTTGTTATAAAATGCTAGTGTGAGATAGGAGCATCATTTTGCAACTTACAACATATTTTATGACCATTATTGAGTCCTCCGAAAGTTTCAGTTTTGTCAAAGCCTGCTGCATCTCTTGAGAATGCATGTGTACAACAATTCTTTTGTTGAAACATCTGTACTATTGACCATGATTGACTTTTAATAATGAAAGTCAAGTATTAACAAAGAGCTCCATTCACCTGTGGAGTTGTACTCATAATCACATGACTGCAGACAGTATTGATGTCCATTGACAGGTGATTAGTGGTAAATTTACCAATCAAGAATTGACAAGATAACAATAGAAGAAACTGCAAATACAATTATTGATTAAATGCAATATGTTATGTCACTATACTAAACTAGGAATGTTTGACATGTTTTCATACAATAATATGGTTTTAAGAAAACAATGCTCCATTTTGGTTGAATAATTTGCTTTGAAAAACAAAGAATTATACGTCAATTGGTCTATACCATTATATGTCAATTGGTGGATTATACGTCAATTGAGGTATAATCCACCAATTGGTGGTTATTCCTGACCTGCAAAACAGGTTCAGTAGATGTTCAATTGCCTGAATTGGAGCTATAAACTTGGTTGGGCTTTACAAGCTCAATTGAGCTATATAAATATCTCTTTTTAATATTTTACAAATCAAATCTAAGTAAGGCATTAATTTTTACAAGTGCAGTCTAACTTTACAGGTATGATATACACCATATCGCTATTTAAAATTCTGTAACCCTCGACTTTTTCACCCTAACATTATCTGCCCGCCATAACAGGTTATCATAGATGTTCCCTGTAAAATTTTGACATCAAAAGAGAAAATGTCTGATGCAACATGCAGTGATTGTTGTTATGAAGTCAATAGTTTAAGTGTCGTAGATTCATATTCTTGTATCAATATAATATTTATTATTATTATTATATTATATAGACAATAAGGTCTATTGTCATCAAACAATCATTTAATGTTGAGTTAAGGAATCCACCTGTCCGATAAATATCTCCTACACATACTCCAATTGTTATTTCATTACAGTTTGAAAAGTGAAATCAGTGTTCTCCCTAGGCTGATATGACGCTGCGCCTTCAAAATATTTCCGTTGATCACGCAGCACCTTAATTGACCGCTGTCTCTTAATACTTGATCCTGCAGCGTTTTAATTTTCACATTTTAATTATAAATGTTGGTTAAAATTGTCAAGTTGCTGATCACCGCTGAGAGGTCAGTCAATGTTGCGCAATAACTGATAACTTAAGCAAAACTCACCAAAAGTCTCTGATTTACCTGTTCCAGCCTTATCAGACCATGTAATCAGGTTATAGTGTAAATGATCATCAAGAAGATAGATATTTTTAGAAGAAAATAAAAGTTTTTAAATACTTCAGTGCAAAAATTGAAGAAATAGATCACAAATACATAGTATTTACGCATCGTCTGTGTGCGATCACTTGGCCATATAAGTAACAAATTTTTTCATTGGTCGAGAAGAAGAATCTATTTAAACACGATCAATGAACATGATGAATACATGTGATAAATTTGAATACACATTACTAAAGAAATTTACATGAAATTTATGAATGAGAGTATTTGTACGTCAAAAAAGTAAAATAAACTTTTATTAAAGATAAAGAGGAGTGATTTATTTTGTTAGAAAGTGAAAAATTGTTGCTAGCAAGTAAAATTCGTCTGTCAGCTGTCACGTTTTAGAAATACAATAATTTTTTAACATCGATCGTTAATTCGTCCATCGGGAAATATAAGTACGTAATGTCTGCAGCATTTGTACATGTATAATGTCACTAAAATTTCACTAGTCTTAACTTTGACGAATTGTCAAGTTTCGTTTATATCTACCTGCCAAAGAAACGTTTTGACAATTATACACACGGAAGCGTAATGTCAAACTACGGACACTGGTCAGCTGGTTCGTTACATTTTTTTTGTTTTAAAAAGTTGTATACAAAACATCTTTAACATAATCAATTTTAATGCTGAATCAACATGTTCTTTGCAAAGAAGAAATGGGTTAAGCGAAAGGCAGATGATGTTTTCAACCCTAAAGAGGATAAAGACTGAGTAACAGGCTGTCCAACAAAATTACAAACTGCCTTGTTACTATATCTCTAGAAGGAACAGAGAGTACAGAAATAAATATTTCTGAAGCTGTTCAGCATTGGAAGGCCCAGAAGACCATGAGGATTTTTCTTGAACTATATATACATTTTGACTTATTTAATTGACTGTGATATAAATGCTTTTTGTGTTTAAAATGAATTTATTTCATATATATATTCTTATTCCTGTATATTAATACTGTGCATATAATGATTTATGACCGATTGCTTCAGGTCACAATAGTTCACTCTAAAATAGAGATACGCGCCCTTGAAGTTTTGCGCCTTAAAAAATTTCTGGGGAGAACACTGGAAATGACTTCTGCTATAGGGTGGACCGATTTCCCGGAAATTTATATCAGGTACATTGTACATTGATGTTCGGTCAATCCACATGTCAAAAGGCTTTGAACTAATGATTCACAGTGTTGTTGTCATTCAGTTTTGTAAATAATTGTACCATGTGCTAGATTGAAGGTTCAATTCTATGAAAATCTTTTGATATTGAAATAAAAAAAACAATTGAAAAACAATCAAAAAATATACTTTACCATAGATCTGCTTTGGTGGATTTACTGGGCATGGTTGTTTTCAGTAAAACATGGTTTGTCCACTTGTTTTGTGGATTTTTTTTTTTTTTGCATTTTATTGAAATATTAAGATTTCCCCCAATTTAAGCATACATGTATCTTAGAATAAAGCTTGACTGATGTGTTTTAGTCACACTTTTGTCATGTTGATGATCAATAGAACTTATTATCATATTTTTTTTATATGAGACATATTTGAGTGTTTTTTGTGAAAAGTAGTCACCTATTCATCTAAATAGCCTTCTACTTAATTTTGGCCATCCTTTTTTCTGTCAATTATAAAAGTTATAAATAAAACTTTTAATACCTGTTTATGCACTTCCTTTGTCTTAGCCTTCTATTTTATAAAACAGCTTTATAGATAATAATATGAGCAAGCATTGATTTGAAATCTTCCTATTGTTAAAAGTTCTACCTATATCTTAGATCATTGACTTGAATTGGTAAGTTCTTTATATCAATATCCGACTTAGTAACCATATTAGAATTGTAAAGATGAAAATTTACTTTTGTTTCAAATTACAGAAAATGGCAGATCAGGAGGGAAGTGCTCCCACAGACCAAGTTCAGGAAGAAAAGACTGAAGAAACTGTACAACAGGAAATTCCAACAGAGAATGCTGTGAAAACAGAAGAACCAGTAGCAGAACAAACAGAACCAGTAACACAGACTGCCCCTGAAGTACAGCAACAAGAAGGTGGGTAACAGCAATAATATATTGTCATATGAGTAATAGTGTAGTACCCATACCAATCATAGCTTTATTGAAAATTGACATGAAAAGGAACAAAGTAAATTATTATTGTTCTTTTTTTGGAAAAAAAATCATTCAAAGCATCCAGTTTAAGTCTGATTTACAAAAAGGACTTGTGCCATCACAGAAAGAGGGAAAAGTCCATATCAGTAGTTATTTAAATTACTTTATATCTTTCAATTCTCAATTATATTAATATATCTTAAAGACAATTATAAAAAATGATTTACATATGTTGTAAGAATACCCTTTGTTATCATATTTTTGGTTGCATTTTTAAAGTTTACTTTGATGCTTCACATATATATATATATGATGAAGAATGCCTTAAAAATGACAAAGATACATATCAATATATTTTTTAATCTACATTCAATTAATTTATATGTTATCTTCATTATTGGTATAGAATGTGTTTCCTATCTTATAAAATCCAATGATAAATAATTGTTAAAGACTTATATTATTAGGTAAACAAAAATAAGAAATTTGTTATTGTTGATCAACTTTTAACTTGCAATTAAACATTCACACAATTCCAAGAAAACTGCAAATGCACTTATCCTAGAAGTACTGATTGAAAACATAAAATGTTGAGGAATTACCAATCTTTTTTTATACTTCTTTGATAAATCCATATATCCTTGATTATATTTTTGTATTCTATCTTTGTTGTTTATATTTTTACTAACTTAACGCAAATTCACATATTGTTATTCAGAAGAAAAGAAGGAAGAATCAACAGAACAAAAACAGGAAGAACCATCTCAAGAGGAAACAGGAAAACAGGAGGAACAAACAGAAGAGAAAAAAGAAGAACCTGCTGTGGGACAGACTGAAGAAAAAACAGAAGATGAAGGACAAAAACAAGATGATGAAAAAGTTGAGGAACAAACAGAGGCAAAGACTGAGGAACAAATAGAGGCAAAGACTGAGGAACAAACAGAGGAAAAAGTAGAGGAAAAAACAGAGGAGCAGAATGAGGCAAAACCTGATGCACCCCAAAAGGACAAAACCAAAGAAAGTACAGATATTCCAGCACCTCCAGGCACACCTCAACCCACACAACAAAGTATGGGTACAGAGACAGAACCAACAAAGGATGATCATGAAGTGGATCCTCATGCCACATCTCCTAGAACCAATTTAGAAGCTACTGCAACAGGTAAAAATTTCCCATATTAAAAAATTTGATTCTTGAAAATAATTATTTATTTCCTAAACCTTTACTTTCTTATTACTTTATATCTTTTCTGTAATCTTAAGCCACATGCCACCAAATCCATGAAACATAACTATGTAGGTTATGTATAAAAAAAGAACCAGACAATGGTTGAAATAAGAAAAGACAAACAAAACACAAGAAGAATTATAATGAATTTAGTTGGTACTTATATTGATCAGCATCTTTCAACTTGAACTTGTGTAAAGGAGTTTTGCTGCAGTGAAATTTTAGTAGTAGAAACGATCAAATAATTTTTGTACAGTTATCCAACAATTCATCGTGCAGGCCTTTTTTCATGTGAATTAAATACCCATTGAAACCTGAAATTTTTTATATGGCAATTACAATGTAATTATCTTTCATCAGTTTGAAATTTCTAGAAAAATTAGTTCAAGATTTTCAAATATCTAATTCATGGTTGAAAAAAACAATTGGTTTAGGAAAACCTGACTAAGGCAGTTAACTCCCATTTGCATTGAAAATCCAATAGCCACTTTATTTGAATTTTTCTGAAAGAAAATTCACTTGATTAAAGTACATGTACAACTGAGCTAATTGGATGTAATATCCAAGTTGTAAACAATGTGAAGCAATCTGAGGTATTATAATCAGAAATAAGCCACCCCATGGAATGAAATTAAAAATTTGGACTGATATGCATAAAACTACTTAAGTTAAGATTTTTTCCGAATGGACAGATTTTTCTACATGTCCTATGATAAATTAGTACTACGATTGAATATCTTAACTTGAGTGGTTTTATGCATATCAGCCCAGATCTATTACTGTTTTACATGAAAATCTCAGTATATGTGATCAGTATTTTATAATTTAAATAATTTGTGTAATATAGATACTTTTTTAATATATAAACTCATAAATAATATGTTTTTCAGTGAAAATTGTATTGATGCCAAGTGGTCAGGTGGTGACACTTGCCTGTACATTAGGACAGTCTTTAAGAGAACTCAAAGATCACTTTGCTTCAGAACTTAAGATGCAATTCAACATGATCTACTTGATGTTTGATGGTAAGCAATAAATAAAAATTTCAAGAGAGATACTTTAAAAGTTTTTATTACATTTTAAATTATGTCACTGATATACTACTGTTAATTTAGAATAAGATTTGAACATGTTGTTACTACTGATAAATTTGTGCAAATCCTGGGTATATTATTGTAGAATATTGTACATTTATTTCCCATGCCTGAGGGAGATATGAAGATTTGTTCACCCAAGACTATTCATATTTCACGAGGGCTTTGCCTGAGGGAAATATGATTTTTCGAGGGTGAGCAAATCTTCATATCTCCCGAGGCAAAGGGAAATGAATGTTTTATTCCACTGCCTATGCTTTGTTTACTATCAATACATTAATTATTATTTTGCATACATTTTTTTCTTATCCGTTTGTTTTTATAAGTTAAACTAAACATGACATACACATTGATAAACAGTACGGATCAAAAGTTCATTATTAGTCTTTTTGTTTTATCGTCTGATATAAATTTGAACATGATAATGATTTTTGCTATCACTATTTTAAGAAGAATAAGAAGTTCAAAACGTTATGTACATTAACCGCGCCTAACGTCCCACGATGTAATCCCGACAATTCAGAGGGGAATATGATCCTCGGAAGGGAATATGAAGATTTGTTCAATGACACGTGGGATAGTCTCAACCAATCAAATATTGATAAAACTATCAATATGTATAATCAGTGGAATAATACTTAACATTTTAATCAAATTTTCATCATTGTGATGTTCCTCTGGTTGCAATTATAATATTAAAAAATTGCATAAATTTATAACTTTAATGAATTACTTATTTTACTATTAATTAAGTACAAATGCAATCTAAACAAGCGAAAATCAAGACTTGTCAATGATGCAATGAGTTCATATATATAACAAATCAGTTAAATCTAATTTAAAAAAACATCAAAGTACAAAAATAAACTAAAAATTTGTTTGAAAATAATTCAGTTTTGCAATTCATAAGAAGTCATAAGGTAATGTTTATTTCCTAACATTGTATTTTATATTCATTTTAGGGAAGCAAGCTAATGATAGTTTGACACTAGCTGATTTAGGAGTAGGGCCTAATGGCACTATTCAGTTAGAGCTCCAGTCCACAGATCCTGTAAATACACCAATAAAAACATATCGTCCTAAACAAGAATATCATATGCCAGATGTCATCACTGTAAGAATTCAAGGCAGTGAAGGTAATTCATTTTGAATTGGAGTTTACTTTTAGTTGAATATTGAAAAAAATGAAAATAATGTGAGATAGAATTTTACAAGTACTCAGTACACTTAAAGAATCAAGGGTTTTATTGTTAAGCTCATATTAAACATATCTGGTTCTTAGATACCGTTGTAAGGGAAAAAATGCTATTTGCCTCTATTTATAAAAAGATAAAAGCCAATTTTAAATTGCTAAGGAAGATAACTTGATTTTATATTAATTCTAAAAATATTAATTTGAAATGTCTATGCTATGGTGACTTCCCTTTTCTTTTTGTGATTTTGAGTTGAAAAGTTATTTTCTTCACAGTTTTAATGTACGTCAAAGATATATATGATTGTTCATTGATATATATTTACGTAACTACATTTATAAATTATATTAATTGTCTTGACAGGGAGAAAAAAGATTGTTATATTTCATTTTAGTCCAGAAATTGTCAAGTTTATACATATAAAAACACATCCTACCAATGACTAAAAAAATTCTTTTTATTCATTTTAATCAGTTTTCTAGCTATACACTATGGTGATTATAAAACAAAAAGGAAGAGAACAATCCAAAAAAAATAACATCTAAGTAACTTGTTGTCTTTCATACCTATCTTAATGTTCAATATAAAATCATGAAATATACTTCAAAATTTTCCAACATATAAAAATTGTTTTAAAAAATGCAGATATGGTCTCCTGTCACATTCCATTTTTAAATTAATGATATTGGAAATTTTTAGATATTTCAGCCATATTTGGCACATCTTCTTGAAATTTTGGTATTCAACTTAGCAATCGGTTTTTGCCTTCCAACTGTTTTAATTTGAGTCCCACTGATGAGTCTTGTGTAAACAAAAGGTGTGTCTGATGTATAAAAGTATTGGCCTGATATATTTGATGACTTTTTACAACCACTGGGTCAATGCCACTGCTTGTGAACATTGAATCCCCAAGGGTATCACCAGCCCAGTAGTCGTCGCTGTGTGTGACTGACATGAAATGTCATTCATTGATATTGTCATTTTCTATAAATTTACCGTTTATATACTTTAAAATCATTTGAAACACTAAGGTTTGGCAGAGCTTTTTGTAACTTTTGGTTTTCAATGCTCTTGTCTTTGCTATTTATTTGGTCTTCCAGGAGTTTTGATTCAAGTGCCACAGATGACTCTTGTGTAGACCAAACAAGTGTCTGACATACTAAATAATAAGACTGGTATCTGATGAGTTTATTTTAATACTGATTAAGTTTTTTTAATCCAAATAGATGTATCTTTATTATATAGATGGTGAGGGAGCCAGAGATGTTGTTGTTGAGATAGAGAGAGCCACTCGTAAGAAGCCATTTATTGGTGGCTACAGACATAAACAGAGTGGTATAGAATTTCATCATGCCTCAGCACAAACAATGAAAAAACAGCCACCCCCATCCACTGTTCCCAAATATTGTAGAGATACACAGACTGTAGAACAGAAACATACAGTACAACAGACCACCAATGACATGTCAACACAGATGTCAAAAATAGGTGTATTTGTATCAAATGTTCCTGATAAATTGTTGACACCTGGAAGTTACACAACAGCAGATGATCATCATAATATGATATTACAAAAGGTATAAATGTGTTATTTGAAATAAATTCCAAAAACTATAAACCTTTTTAATCCATACAGTCAGCAAATAACAAAATATTATTGATTGAAAGTTAGTTACAAATATGAGGTGGAATTTATGATAGATTTCTAGCAGTGAAATTTATCTGACTAAAAGAAAATCAACACACAATGGTTCTGTTTGATCATTTTATTTTTATTATCTTTTCAGATTATACTAATTCAGAAATATTACAGAAGATGGTTAGCAAAGAGATATGTAACAAAATTAAAAGATGACAAAAAAAGCAGAGAAAAATTTGAAAAACAAGAAGAAATTAGAAAGAAAAAAGAAAAGGAGGATAGAATAAGAAAAGAATTTGAGAGAAGAATGAATCCGAAGTCAAAAGAAGACTTTGATTTATTGTATCATGCATTAGAGAGTAAGTTGTTGTAGGAAATTTCCCTTATGTATGATAATAATCAGTCCTTCATTGCAACATGGTGACAAGAAAAAATATTTATTCTGAATATCAATACCATTGGTAGTATTTATCTAAACTATGCTGAATGTTCTTAGCTCATAGATTCTTACTTTCCTGCTATGTGGAATAAATAATCTTTTGGAATTTATTTTAAATCGTGGTTTAAGACATTGCAAATAATGTGTTCAATGTTGAATATGCATTTATTTTGGTATTGATATTTGTGGGTTTGAATAATTCTGAAATCTATGTCAATGGGTATCTCTTTAATGAAAGATACTTTAATTCATATTTATTTCAAAATATTATTTACAAAAATAATCAATTAAAAAATCAAAAACATGTAAAAAAAATTAAGTTATCATGCTATGTTCAAAAACATAATAAAAAGTATGAGGTCACCAAGCTTTTTTATGCCCCCACCGCAGCAGAGGGGGCCTTATGTGTTACCCTTGGCTGTCAATCCATCGTTACATCCCAAAATTAGTTTCTGTTCTCTAACTTTAGTATGCCTCAACCAAACGTTATGAAACTTATACTTAATGCTTATGACCACAAACTCAGATAAGTTCGAATTTTGGTGGCGTCACTTTTACCATTCTCGAATTATGCCCCTTTATAAATCGAAAAATTGCAGAATTTTTTATTTCTGTTTTCTAACTTTAGTTTGCCTCAACCAAATGTTATGAAACTTATACACAATGCTTATTACCACAAACTCAATAAAGATTGAATTTTGGCGTCACTTTTTAAGTGTGCAAATGAAAAGTCTCACAAATAAATTCCATTTGCTATTTTCAGTAAAATGTAGATTGTTCATTTGCAGCTAAAATTTAATTTAGCCCAGTGAATTACCTTAATAAGTCTACTAAATTTCTGAAATATCTAGCTCAATAAATATATTTACCTGAAACTTGTTTTTTTTTAGAATGGAGAGTAGAGGAAATGGAAAGAATAAATCAGACAGCTGATGGCGCTGAACGTAAAGCTGCTCTCTGTATGTTATTAGACCAAGAAACCCAATTAATATCTGCAATTGGTCGACATAAAATAGAAGCTGATACTGAAAATAAAGATAAAAGAATACAACAATTTCTTAGCAAAGTATGTATCATTATTAAACATGTCACTAATTAGTTATATTTCATGCAAATCTTCTGCAACAGATAGGGAAAACAAATAAAAAATATTCAGAATCTAAATGTTGAAATATTAAAATTAAAATGCAATTCACTTTTATGTACAAATTAGAACTTTAGGTTAATGTATAAATAATAAGCATTCTGTATAAGTTTCATAACATTTGATTGAGGCAAAAGACTAAAGTTAGAGAAAGGAAACCAATTTCGGGACGTACGGATGGACGGACGTACAGACGGACAAGGGTAAAACTTAATGCCCCCTCTGCTACGGCGGGGGCATAAAAACAAATGCAAAAGACAAGAACAATAAAATTTCCAGTTGTAAAATATTATATTAATTATCAATAACGGACATTTAGATGGAGGGAATTTAAAATACATAAAACAAATAAATTGTTAACTTATTGTAAATATTATAGGCAGCAGCACCAAAGAAATGGAAGGGATTTGATGGTAAAAGTACAGAAATGGACACACCATATACGATACGAGCCAAAGAATTACAGGATATATACAACAGTATCAATATGAAGTACCTAACACAGGATGAAAGATTAGATGTTTTATTAACTCTCAAACATACTGTCAAGGTATAACTTACAAAACTGGTTTTCAAATACAATATATACTGAAGTGTAAAGTTGATAAAGTAATTCATAATAAATTTGTTAATGTACATCACAGTTTAGAAGTTAGTGCAGCCAAGGAAAATAAGGCAATTGTTACTGAAATGAGCTCATGCAGTAAAATTGTTTTGGCAAATGATGCCATTAGACTAGCAATGTTCTACCGGCACTGCCATAGTGTTTTCCGATTGCTGTTATCAAGTCATCAGAGTTTTAATTCTTTTAAAACATTTTCAATGGTTCTAGGTATTTATCTCAGAAGTATCAATATCTTGGAAATGCACAAAACTCCTAAGCTTCATTTATTAGCAATGATAATTTCATATTAACTCTTGGTCAATCTTTTGAACAGAATTATGTTCCGTCTGTCAAATACCTTATTTTACCTGGGCATATGTGACCTACAGAACCTTGATGAGCTATATAAAAATCCAAGATGTGCAATATTAAATAGTGCTCTGAATACACTCACAACTATTTTACTTGTTTGACATGATTGATTAGCAGTAAGTCTTTAAACTGAACTGCAAATTACAAATAAGTAATGTTAGTGTAATCAAAATTTGATTTATATAGAATATGACAGGAGTGTTTTTGCTTACAGGAACATGACTGTAAGTTAACTCAGGAAATCATAGAATTAATAGACAGAGAAGCAGATTTGTTAATGAGAGGAGTTCGAGAAAACAACTTAGATGGACTTAGAAAGAGAATTTCTACACTGTTCCTCCAATATATTAAAACACCAACCTTCAATCCAGAAGCTGCCAAACTTCTTAAAGTAAGTCTTCAGTGTCTTTAAAATATTTTCATATTTATCCATTTTGTAATGAACTATGAATTTATTTTTATGTCAATTCATACAGCCTTTTTACTGATATGGAATATTATTGAAAGCAAAAGTAAAACAAAATTATGATATCGAATAAAATTTCAAAAAATTTCAAGATTTTAATGAAGAATTTTGCATTTTTAAGATAAAAATTGTTTATATTTCCAGGTTCCACAAGATCCATCAGTGCTACGAAAGAACATTTACTTCTGTCCTAGTTGTAACCAGTATCTGCCTTCCACTGACTTTGCCTTGTCGTCCAATTCTCGTACTGTGGGTAAATGTAGGAGATGTACCAAGATTGACAATGATGCTAGAACTAGACAAGACTTCAGTACATTCCAACATATGCTCAAATCTCTACGTAAATCTGAAGAAGGCTTCAAAGATGGTTCAAAGATTGCTTTCTTGCTACAGGTAATTGAAGTAGAATCAGTATACATATATAATCATCTCCCCTTTATTGTATGATGTAAGACTGAAAAGAAAGATTGGTCAAACTGGCTAGAAATTTCCATGCAATTTCCATCAGGCGATTATTATGGAAATGTCACCATAAAATATGAAAAAGAAAACCTGATATATTCAAAATGAACACTTTTTTGCACATTCCAGCAGTAATGATGTCACTTTTACATTATATTTAATTGTGCATTTGGTGATAACAGTCTACATTTTAACAAAATTCTGTCTTGATTCTGATAACTTTAGCTCTATAGAACTTTGGTCATATAAAAGAAATCTGCATATAATAATTTGTGTAAGGATGTTTCTTTGCCAATATGCATCCCTCTGTTACAGTTTTGTTTTGGTCTAATGGGGTGTCCAGTGTTTTGCAAAATGAAATATACCTTTAAAATGCATGAAATCAACAAACCTATCTAACCTTTAGAACATTATACTTTTAAAGCTCTCAAAACTATCTGAAGCAAACATTAATAGAAGTTGGTTTATTTTAATGTTTTTATTTTACAGGAGCAAGATTTACGTTATTTGGTGGAGAAGATTTGGAGTGGTCAGAGTATACTAAGTGCATGGGAAGATCTGTATGATTTGACATTTGTCCGCTGGGACAAACACCAAGAATGGTCGCCATGGAACTGCATCTTACTAACTAAGGATGAAGCTGCATCACATGTTAAACTTGTTGATCTGGAAGAGGTAAACAAATGATTATTTCTGTTAGTTTTCTAAAAAAAAATATTGTAAATATATTGTTTGACTTTTCATGTATTTAAAAAAATTTTTTTTTTTAAATATTAAAAAAAAAAAAAAAGACGAACATCAAATATGTCTACAAGGATATGCTTAATTGGTGATGATAGATGTTTTGCACTTACCTGGGAAGGGATGTTGCTTATCACCATCATGATGTGCATAAGCTCACTTAAAGGTCATTTACAAACTTGACATGTTAATTTCTGTGTCATTTGGTCTCTTGTGGAGAGTTGTCTCATTGGCAATCATACCACATCTTCTGATTTTTGTCGAGCCTTCGACTTTAGTCGAAAAAGCGAGACATAGCGGTCCTACATTCCGTCGTCGTCGTTGTCGGCGTCCACAAATATTCACTCTGTGGTTAAAGTTTTTGAAATTTTAATAACTTTCTTAAACTATCCTGGATTTCTACCAAACTTGAACAGAAGCTTGTTTATGATCATAAGATAGTATCCAGAAGTAAATTTTGTAAAAATAAAATTCCTGTTTTTCCGTATTTTACTTATAAATGGACTTAGTTTTTCTGCCGGGAAACATTACATTCACTCTGTGGTTAAAGTTTTTAAAATTTTAATAACTTTCTTAAACTATCCTGGATTTGTACCAAACTTGGACAGAAGCTTGTTTATGATCAAAAGATAGTATCGAGAAGGAAATTTTGTTAAAATTTGTACCTGTTTATCCGTATTTTACTTATAAATGGACTTAGTTTTTCTTCCAGTTAACATTAAATACAGTCTGCAGTTAAAGTTTTTAAAACATTTATTAGATTCATAAACTATCCTGGATTTATACCAAACTTTGACAGAAGCTTCTTACAATCAAAAGATAGTATCTAAAGGAATATTTTTATTGATTTTTTTCCTCATTTTTGTTGAGCCTGTGATTAACAGCAAAAGTAGGCGAGACACTGGGTTCCGCGGAACCCTTACAAATTTTTATATTATATGAATCATAATTATAACAACCCATTGTGATTGTCAAATGATATCAATATGGGAAAGTTGACACTGAAGGTTCAGCAAGCAAACTTCAATCAATTAATCCAAAAAGGAACCATTGAAGGTCATTATACCCCACGCAACGAGTTGCGGAGGGTATAATGTTTTTGACCAGTCCATCCTTCTGTCCGTCTGTCTGTCCGTCCGTCCGTCAGTCCTATTTCTTGTCATCGCAACTCCTCTCAAACCACACAACAGAATTTCACGAAACCCTTTTAGATAATAAGGACATACTATGTAGTTGTGCATATCGACAGGAAATTACGATTCAATTTTTTTTCTAGGAGTTACGCCCCTTTGAACTTATTTACTTTAATGTACTACTGCAACCTTTTATCATCGCAAATCCTCTCAAACCACACAACAGAATTTCATTAAACCTTTTCAGATAACAAGGACATACAATGTAGATGTGCATATCGACAGGAAATTACGATTCAGTTTTTTTCCCAGGAGTTATGCCCCTTTGAACTTATTTGCCAAATATACTACTGCAACTTTTTGTCATCGCAACTCCTCTCAAACCACACAACAGAATTTCATGAAACCTTTTCAGATAATAAGGACATACTACGTAGATGTGCATATCGACAGGAAATTACGACTCATTTTTTTTCCAGGAGTTACGCCCCTTTGAACTTATTTGCCCAATATACTACTGCAACCTTTTGTCATCGCAACTTCTCTCAAACCACACAACAGAATTTCATGAAACCTTTTCAGATAATAAGGACAAACTACGTAGATGTGCATATCGACAGGAAATTACGATTCAATTTTTTTCCCAGGAGTTACGCCCCTTTGAACTTATTTGCCCAATATACTACTGCAACCTTTTGTCATCGCAACTCCTCTCAAACCACACAACAGAATTTCATGAAACTGTGTAGATAATAAGGACATACTATGTAGATGTGCATATTGACAGGAAATTATGATTCAATTTTTTTTTCTGATAAAATTTTTTTTTCTTACACTTATTTTATTTCTCCAATGACAATGTGGGGACGTTAGGTATGTGAGCGCGCTCACTAAGGTTCTTTACTTATGTAAGCTTCAATGAGCTTGTTATTAACTAATTGATGATTGTCACTATTCTCACATGTCAATTCATTGCCATGAACATAATTAATATTGTACAAATACATTTAACCATGACAATCTAGCACATTTGATTCATTATTAGATTGGTGGTTTCTTTAGAACACTTTTATACAAACGACTATATGGTGTTGTATCAAATTGGATGTTTACAAATGAACATTTCTTATATTTATTTAATATTGATGTTTAACACAATGATGTTTCCTTCCAGGGTTATATTTATTTATCATTGATGTTTAACACAATGATGTTTCCTTCCAGGGTTATTTTTATTTAATATTGATGTTTAACACAATGATGTTTCCTTCCAGGGTTACGGTCAAGTTTTCATGCAAAAGGTTAAACAGAAACACACACTGGCCAGGAACTATTTCTCCAGACTGCCTGGTATGGCAGAACATGTCAGAGAAAAAGCCAATGAAAAATCAATGATATCAGGTCCTTCAGTAGCAGGTCAACCAGTTCCAGTACAATCAAGAGCTTAAGAACCAAACATCAAGTGATAACAGCCTCATGAAGACTGACAGAAAGACGATTTCACGTACAAGATCAGACACATTTCATCCCTAAAAAGTTGTCAAATACTATAGTAACTAGTTTGAACTTTTTGTATGAAGGATGTGTCTGTACGCATGAATTCATTTATTTATAAAGTTTACTTGAAATGAACTGTGCTATATATTAATCTGTGATCCAAGGTAATTCTTAAAAGGCAATGTGATGTAATTACTTTACAATAGTTAAAGTGTAATTCAGAAATATTGTTTCCTAAAGAAACTTTTAATTTTTAAACACAACACATTGAGTCTGAATGACTTTTAAATAAGTAAATTTGAAGTCTAATGAACTCTTCAGTGTTAATTTTTTTTAAAGATATTTTTTAATAGATTTTTAAACCAAAACAGAGGGTGGATAAAAATGATGTTGACTGTGATATTAAGTTTTAGCTGTACAAGTATATATACAATTAAATTAATTATATGAAAAATGTACTGTTTTTATTTATTCTTGAATATATTAAAGACGACACAGATAATGGTTTTAAGGGTGATTCAAAGGTAGTCATTTTGAAAGAAAGTGTATTATGTTATATGAGCTTTGAAACAAGCAAAAGGTTTTTAAAGGTCCTTCTATTGAACATATATAATAACCATTATTAGTCGCTTTGGAATTGCAATAACTAGTGCCTAATATAATTTAGAATTCTGGACATAAACTTAAGGATAGGTGTTATGCATCTGTGAAACACATATTATTTTGTTTCTCTTAAGGGTTTTGCATGGCGTGTGATACAAAAAAAAGATACTAAAACTGTCTTAATTTGATTGGCTGATCCAGGATCATGTGAGGAGACATTTCTATTGGCTATTTGTTAGGTCATTTATGACTGTCAAAGGTTAAGACGATGAACATTTCATCCATTGCAAGGGACATATGTGAGTTTTTTCAATAATATACAAAACACTCACACTTTTCACCTGAAAATCTTCTATTTGTCAAATTTTATTACATTTGAAGCCTACAAAAAGTTTTAAAATGTCTGATGTTAAAGTTTGAAGCCGGCACAGAACATATGACGTCATACTGGTATATGCAAAAGACTTGATCAATTATTCGTGAAAATTTTATTTTAAGACAATGAGAGTGTTGACCATAAGAGAAATAGGTTAAACAATTCATGAGAATTGGATATTGCTTGATATCAGCTCTCGTTATTTAATTTCAATAGTAATAATAAAATCTCCGAAGGCTCGTTTATTATTATATTGAAATTAAATTACTTGGAAGATATCAAGCAATATCCAATTCTCACTTGTTATGAAGCCTAGAAATATATAATGGCCTTGACCATCTCTCATACCTATGGTGATTTTCAGATTAAAATACTGTTCCTCAGTGTCTGTGCACTGCAAACAATATTTGGTATGTTAATTCTTTTTAAGTCAAGTATATGAATTTTTTCTGACATATGCCATATGGCATTGACCTCATTTTCATGCTTCAGCAGTAAATTGAAGATCAGGCCCCTTTAGCTTTCAGTGGCTATTTGATTTTGCCAAATTCTGGATACAAGCCTATAGAAAATTTCTTCTTTGTTGGACATTTAAATTCATGATTAACCTTTATCCTTGAAATTCACAAAATTTGGTTACCCCACTAAAAGTAATGAATCTACAGTACCTTAATATCATGATGACCTGGCCCGAGAACACAGTTATTTCGTAGTGCATTTCTTTTAGACAATAAATTAAAATTAAAAAAATCGCACCTGCTCTATCTTAAAAAGATTTTTACAGTGTAGTGTACTACTACTGATACAAATAATATCAAAATTATAGAAACTTCTACCAGCTCTAACTCAAAATATTGACAATTCTGTGTTAAGGGGGGCTAAAATTCAGTTTGACAGCTTCAGACATTCTAATTTTGACCTTTTTTAACTGGACCAAATCACTACTTAACATAAAGATTCAGCACCCAAATTTTTTTAACATGTAATTTCATCCCCTTACCTAATATTTCATGCATAAAATATCAAGAAATAAATTGGAAAAGTGTATCAAAAAAAAAATGCAAGTTATACACTGTTCACACTAGGGACTTTATTCGTAGACAACGAAAACCAAAGGACGATAACTGTGTCCTTGGACCTAATAGGATAGAAAGACTTGACCAATTTTAATAAAACTTTGCATGACCTAAGCTTAGGCAATTATAAGATAGTTGGCCAAGTTTCATGGCCATAGGATATATATTATAGAAACTAGGGCCATTTTAATATTGAAATTTGGATGTTTATTTTTGACGTTTAAATCAAATATTTTCAACTGTCAAGATTTTGGCCTAAAAAATTTAAATATTGCAAAAATTTGCTTTTTAAATACTCTTGAATTTAATATAATAAGTATTAAAAGCAACGGAACACTCATTTGATTTATCAGATTTATTACAGTTATTCAAAAGTCAAATTTATATGAGCCTGTGCCTGAAAATAGAGATTTTCGAACTAAGGGAAGCCTTACATAAACATGCATTTTTTTCAACCAATTTGAAGTTTTTGAAGTTTTTTAACCATACATTATTCTTCCATATATATTAAATGTACTTTAAATGTAAAGAAAAGTTACAAAAACCATACCACATGAGTATAAAATGGTCTTAGGCCATGTAAGACTGAGAATTATTTAGAGTCGATTTAGGCCGTATCCCATATTTACAAATAAAAATGCACACAGAGGCTATAAGAAATTGAAATTTGTTACTTTTTGCTCATTTCTATGCTAAGATGTCATGATACAAGAAGTCTAATTGCAAAAGGACTCTTGAAATCAATTTTTTTTGCAGACAGTATGGTCTGATGATCAGTTTTTCACTTTTCAATGGAAAACTTGCATGTAGTTTTAGTCTCATTTGGCATATATTTGAACCACTTACTATCCTAAAGAAGAAAATTATGGTAGCATATGAAATGAATAGGGTGTACTGATCATTGTAAAGTGTTTTTTTTACAGATTTAGTGAAATATTTGTGATGGACTACAGATTTTATGTACAAAGCTCTTCACATTTCACATACATCAAACAGGCCGTTTAACCAGGGACATAAATACAAATATTCTGCACATTTTTTTCTGTGATAATCTACTTTTCTGTAGATTCCGAGTTCACAAATGGTTAATTAAATTTGATTTAAGCATAGAAACACAAATATCAGGAACATAAAAAGCTGTCAGATAGAAAGTCAGCATGGCTCTTAGGCATAAAATGGAAACTGCTTTAAAATGCTTATTTTAGCCGTATAAGGCCAAAATGGGACATTTAAACAGAATTTCTGTCAAACAAAGATGTAAATGATTTACTTTTATTGAGTTTGACAAATTGAAACCAGCAAACCATTCAGGAAAGTTGCCAAAGTACAGAATCTACATTTACGGAATTCATCTCTTAGGTCCGAGAACACAGTTATTTCGTAGTGCATTTCTTTTAGACAATAAATTAAAATTTAAAAAATCGCACCTGCTCTATCTTAAAAAGATTTTTACAGTGTAGTGTACTACTATTGATACAAATAATATCAAAATTATAGAAACTTCTACCAGCTCTAACTCAAAATATTGACAATTCTGTGTTGAGGGGGGCTAAAATTCAGTTTGACAGCTTCAGACATTCTAATTTTTGACCTTTTTTAACTGGACCAAATCACTACTTAACATAAAGATTCAGCACCCAAATTTTTTTAACATGTAATTTCATCCCCTTACTTAATATTTCATGCATAAAATATCAAGAAATAAATTGGGAAAGTGTATCAAAAAAAAAATGCAAGTTATACACTGTTCACACTAGGGACTATATTCGTAGACAACGAAAACCAAAGGACGATAACTGTGTCCTTGGACCACCTGGTTTAATCTACTGAAACCTCAAGGTCGTGGTTAAAGAAATTCACATTATTATTTTGTGATAAGGTAATTATCTAATTCTGGTTTGAGTTACCATAATCTGTGTTCTGTTATGTCATTACAAATGTCCTTGTCTAACAGGTTTAAATCCTTAGCAAATAAAAGAACGGAAACCCTGATGACAGTCATAATATGTAACTTATAATAATGACAAAAGCCAACAATAAACCTTACCATCTCCTTATTTTTATATTAAAAACTCTGAAGGGGAGACACTCACTTTACAATAATCATAAATAATTTATAACTCATTCCTCTTCATTAATCTGCTACATTGCATATAGTTTGGCCTAATCACAAACATGAAAACTATGCAAAAGTTTTCCTTGCCTTTTACATCTCTGAATGATACTTGGTATGAACAACATACATGAAGCAGGAACTGCTTACCCTTCCAGAGCACCTGAGTTCATACCCAGTTTTTTGTGGGGTTCTTGTTGCTCAGTCATGTTTTATATGTAGTATTTTTGGATTTTTGCCATTGGATTTATATGTAGTATTTTGTGGACTTGTTTTTCTTTGGGAGTTTTGCCATCCCATTGTCAGGATTTCTTCATTTTTTGAGTTCTGAATCTTGATATCTTTCTCCACTTTCTTTTCCTTTTTAATGTTTGTTTTTTTTCCTTGTATCTGACACACCTCTTCTTAGTGGTGAATAAATCTTGCCAAGTTTTATCACCAAACTGCAATGTCTTTGAGAGTAAGAATAAAACAATTTTTGTACTTATGCACAGGGGTGACCAAGTTGAAATAAGTTTTTTTACCATGACTCACTAAAAAATCCTAGTAGTGGTGAGTAATAATGCAGTTTTATTACCAAACTACAAGGAGAGCAGACAAGCTGATTACTATAGTCTATCTGAAAATAAATTGGCAGGGCCAAAACTATGCAAATGTTTCAAAGTCAATCAACCATGATTGAAGGGATGTAGAACTAGAGGCTCTCAAGAGCCTGTGTCGCTCACCTGTATTTACTGATGCTCGGAAATCATGTAAAATAAGGTTAAAATCATAATTAATAGTATTAGATATTAGATATTATAATGATATCTAAGATAA